AAAAATATATATAATAGGGGGAATAATTTGGATTAAATAAATTAAAGTAAAAAAGAAGGAATAAAATATATTATTTGAATAATGAAAACTAGGGCTTGTTTGAAATTTTGAGTTTTAGTTTATCTCAATTAACTTCTTTTTCACCCAAATAACTCTAATTCTTGTGCGACTAATTAACTCAGTTTTTGTGCTTCAAAATTAACTCCCTTTTTGGTGAGTCGAAATAACTCCGTTTTTGGTGTGCCTATATAAGTCCATAATATATAGCCTGGCAATAGGCAGAACAAGACTAGCAAGAACAATTGGGCACCCGAAATTTCCCAAGTCACCCTAACAAAAAAGGAATTCCTTTAGAGCTCCTCTGAGTAGACAAAACCAGCACCAAATGTGTTCCTTCATCTGGAACTTTTCAAATTAGACCCAAAAAAAATGGGATCCATTTAAATTATCTTTTAAATTTTATATAGTTTTTCCTTCCTATTATTAGATAAGCATACTATAATAACGCTAGTAAAAACGAAAACAATAGGCAATATTAACTAGTATATCCCCAGAAACTAGAGCTCAAGATATATACTATTGTATTATCTTGCAAAGGGATTTGAAGAGACCAGAACCATAAAGACTATGGTGATTAATAAAAAAAAATGATAACATTAAAGTAATTCACTCTTTATCAATAACCAAAATTCACTTCTAAGATCAGCTATCCAAAATAATACTTCCATTAGAATTTAATAATGACCTTAAGTCTTTCCCTTAATGATCAGTAAACTCTCCATTTAAGATTAATGCTCCTTATACTTCCAATGCTACCTATTGAGAAATAATAAGAATAGAATAGTTTTCTGCTTAATAATTAACAATAAATACCTGAAAGAATATTAGGTTGTGATATCAACGTTTTCAAAGCTAATAAATCTTCACAACTCTTTTGAGCTGGTTAAATTTTCTTAACACACCAAACACGAATAGACTTATCCTTACTACCAGATAATAAAGTAGTTCCATCAGGAGAAAAGCATACTGAACAGATTGAATCACAATGTCCATTCAATATAAATTTTACTTATCCTGTCTTGACATCCCATAAACGAATAGACTTATCACTACTACCAGAGGCTAAAGTAGTGCAATCAGGAGAGAAACATACTGAGTTAACATAATAACTGTGACCATCCAACTTGGCTTTTTCTTAACCTGTTTTAACATACCATAAACGAATAGACTTATCACTACTACCAGAAGCTAAAATATTACCATTTGGAGAGAAGCAAACTGAGTAGATTCCATAGCTATGACCATCCAATTTAACTTTTTATTATCCTGTTTTGATATCCCATAAACGGATTGACTTATCAATACTGCCAGACGCTAAAGTAGTTCCATCAGGAGAAAAGCATACTGAGTAGACTGAATTAAAATGTCCATCTAATATAAATTTTACTTATCCTGTTTTGACATCCCACAAACGAGCAGATTTATCATCACTACCAGAAGCTAATATAGTTCCATCAGGAGAGAAGCAAACTGATCGAACATGATCATAATGATCATCAAATTAGGCCTTTTATTATCCTGTTTTGACATCCCATAAACGAATAGACTTATCTCCACTACCGGATGCTAATTTAGTTCCATCCGGAGAGAAGCCCACTGAATAAACATGATCATCATGACCATGACCATCCTAAAAATATAAATCATCTATTTTTAAGTATTTCCAATTACAATCAAACAATTAAGCTCCACTTAAGTTAATTCCATTGATATTTACATTATCAAATTTAGATTTTGATAAATTAGATTTTGCAAAATTACATCCAAATAAAGAAGTATTTTAAATTCTTATATTTCCAAAATTTTAGTTAGTTAGATCAGCCTTCATTTCGACCAATATATTTAGTAAGTTAGATCCACTTATTATAAACTTATTATCTATTTTAGTGAGATGAACCATGAATTTAAAAAATTCTATAATCCCAACCTCTTAAGAAATTTTATTAATAAGAAAATATCTTGATGCAGCATAAATTTCTGTTGAATAATTAATAGAATTTATATCATGATTTTTTATCTGATTGATCAACTAAGTAATTGATTTAAGAGTCTTTTACCAATTATCAATATTTTGTTGTGAATCAAATTGTGATAGATTCTCCAAAGAATTTTTATTATGGTTGCAATATTTTTAAAATATAGATGATAGAAATTCTAAGCAATTCTATTCTGAACCATTTTCTTAGGACAAAACTTCAATTATAGTTTTTAATATAGGGATATTGAGAGCTTTGGATTCACTTAAAACTTGATATAAATCAGCTGCAATTAAGAACTCTTATATAGATTTATGAACAAAAAAAAAGCAAGCACCATTTTATTAAACAAGAGAACAACTTCTTATTTCTTTTTTATAAAATCCATTTTCATCATTATCATTAAAAAATTAATTTAACCATTCTTCTTCTGTTCTTTGGTCCTAATTTAGTTCTTATTATTTATATTGAACTTAAGTCGCTTAATTCTTACTCATTTTTTTTGCAAGTTAAGTTGAGTATTAAAATAAATCAATCAGAAAAACTTCAATATTCATACCTTTTCTAAAGCTAATCTTTTTTTGGAATTATTTCAAATGGAAATAATTGATAAATTCCAAATAAAAATCATAAATTGTAAGATTGTATTCTTTTAATGCATCATAAACAATTTAGATTATGTTTTCATTTTGAATTTATACTTTGTTACATATCAATTTTGGGAGATTGGGTTCTAATATTAATTACAGGGTATTATACATCCGATCAAATTCTTCAGTGATTTGAATTAGAATTGAATTTTTTTCTAAACAATTCCAAATGTCACAAGCAACTAAATTGTATTCAATTGTTTCCAAGTATTACAGATCATTTGGAGTAATTTCCAATACATCATATTAATCATTAACAGTTTCAGTTTTATATCTTTATTCAATTTCATTTTCTAACCCCATCAAATGCGTATTCTATTACTATTTATACATATGAAACATGTATTAACTTTTTAAGAACTCTTTCAACATAAGTGAGAAATTCTTAACAAAATTTTATTTCATGTTATTTTTATTAGTTACTTCATCCATCATCTAGGGTAATACTTAAACTACTATCTCCATCATTTTAGGAGTTTACACCAATTTAGTTAAATTTGCTTACCTCATCATTTTCTAGTACATTTCAACACTCCATAATTTGTGTAATTTTAGACTCAGATTTCTTTGATCCTCTTCTCTTTGTAAAGCTTTAAATTCATTATCCTTAGAGAATAATATAATTTTTTCGATTTATTACTAATCCAAAAGACTTGCTGAATTCATCTTAAAAATATCAAATTTCAACAATGACTATAATTTTTCCCAAAAAAGTTCAAGCCTATTGATATCCTCTATTTGGTCAATATTTATCTATGATTCCCATAATTCGAAAATCAGCAATTTTATACTTTAAATGACAAATTATTTAAGATATTCTTTTTGTTATTCCTTATCAAATTTTAATAGCTTGATTTCTTTAATGTTGTTGTTTTCCATTGGTGCAAACCAATTTCTATAATGAATACTTGTCAAAATTTCACTTCTTGTGGTAAAAATAACCAATGGGTTTGACCAGTTCTATTTAAGTTTATTAGTTATGTATAAATTTTTCTCCATGTTCTCTTATTTCAACTCATCATAGCTGTCCATAATCAATACAAATCGAAATTCTTATTTTTGCAACATTTCTTAACACTTTTTTAATTAAAGATCATCAAAACCATAATCATCTTAATGAAGAGCTTCCTCTACAGCTTAAAAAATAGGGTTTTTTAAAGAAGCTAATGAAATATAAACAGGTATCAGCTTGTAATTCTGAATTTTTGTATTATTATCATTTAATTTCCAAATAAACTCTTCGATTTTTTTGGCTGCTCTACTTTTGCCTGATCCAGCCATACCATGAATAAGCAATACGGTTTTATCTTCGTGTAAAAACTGATTCACTTCACCAAATTTATCATCAAGTTGTTCTAAATTCACCAAATTATTGAGTTGATTTTTACATCTCTCTTTAGTTTTTAATGGTACATAGATAGAAGTGGCGGTGTTTTTTGCTGCTTCTTTAAAGACTTTTAATTTTCTAATTTCAAGTAACTATCTAACAGATNGGAGTAATTTCCAATACATCATATTAATCATTAACAGTTTCAGTTTTATATCTTTATTCAATTTCATTTTCTAACCCCATCAAATGCGTATTCTATTACTATTTATACATATGAAACATGTATTAACTTTTTAAGAACTCTTTCAACATAAGTGAGAAATTCTTAACAAAATTTTATTTCATGTTATTTTTATTAGTTACTTCATCCATCATCTAGGGTAATACTTAAACTACTATCTCCATCATTTTAGGAGTTTACACCAATTTAGTTAAATTTGCTTACCTCATCATTTTCTAGTACATTTCAACACTCCATAATTTGTGTAATTTTAGACTCAGATTTCTTTGATCCTCTTCTCTTTGTAAAGCTTTAAATTCATTATCCTTAGAGAATAATATAATTTTTTCGATTTATTACTAATCCAAAAGACTTGCTGAATTCATCTTAAAAATATCAAATTTCAACAATGACTATAATTTTTCCCAAAAAAGTTCAAGCCTATTGATATCCTCTATTTGGTCAATATTTATCTATGATTCCCATAATTCGAAAATCAGCAATTTTATACTTTAAATGACAAATTATTTAAGATATTCTTTTTGTTATTCCTTATCAAATTTTAATAGCTTGATTTCTTTAATGTTGTTGTTTTCCATTGGTGCAAACCAATTTCTATAATGAATACTTGTCAAAATTTCACTTCTTGTGGTAAAAATAACCAATGGGTTTGACCAGTTCTATTTAAGTTTATTAGTTATGTATAAATTTTTCTCCATGTTCTCTTATTTCAACTCATCATAGCTGTCCATAATCAATACAAATCGAAATTCTTATTTTTGCAACATTTCTTAACACTTTTTTAATTAAAGATCATCAAAACCATAATCATCTTAATGAAGAGCTTCCTCTACAGCTTAAAAAATAGGGTTTTTTAAAGAAGCTAATGAAATATAAACAGGTATCAGCTTGTAATTCTGAATTTTTGTATTATTATCATTTAATTTCCAAATAAACTCTTCGATTTTTTTGGCTGCTCTACTTTTGCCTGATCCAGCCATACCATGAATAAGCAATACGGTTTTATCTTCGTGTAAAAACTGATTCACTTCACCAAATTTATCATCAAGTTGTTCTAAATTCACCAAATTATTGAGTTGATTTTTACATCTCTCTTTAGTTTTTAATGGTACATAGATAGAAGTGGCGGTGTTTTTTGCTGCTTCTTTAAAGACTTTTAATTTTCTAATTTCAAGTAACTATCTAACAGATTCCTCTCTCATTTAATTTCTTTTTCCCTCTAGTATTAAAACACATTTTTTAAAAGGATTTGCAAAATCAGTCGTCAATCCCAGCTATTCACACATTTCACTGATATTTTTAATATATTCATCTAATTACATAATAATTTCATCCATTTCTTTTAAATTAGCCTTATAAAATGTTGATTCTTACAATTCATCAATTTTCTTTAGAACTTATTATATTTCTCTTGCTAAACTTTCCTGTTTAGTTTAACAATTGTCCTAAAACATCTTCTTTTAAAAGCTAATTAAGTGTGAATTTTTTAATAAACTTCTAACTCTTTAATCTTTTTCGAAAACCCAGAATTAAATAAGAATATTTTAATAAAATGAGATGATTGCGTCTGTAAAGCTACATGATGAAATATAAATTATATTAAAAATAAGTCCCTATTTAATCTTCCACTCATCATTATTTAAAAAATCCTTATACTTTTGATACAATATATCCAATAACCTTAATGGTATTTGTTGATTTGATTCTACATAGTCTTCAATTATTAATCCACTTTTATTATCATCGTTCAACCCAATATTGAATGGGTTATTCAGCTCTCCAAATCTTTTTGTTGTCAAATAAGGATTATTTATTAAAATTTTATTTATCATTGAAATCCAGAAATAATGATCCTACCAATTTTTTGAACTTTTCATTAATTTCTCATATATTGCCTCAATCTCTGAAATTATATCTTCAAGAATTCTTTCATATTATTTATCTTTATCTTAGAAATAACCTATTACTTCCCATTACAACATATCTAATTAATAAAAAACTTCATATTCTTTCTTCCTTTGAGGAATATCCTGCTTTTAATATGAAAGGCAGGCTCCCTGATATAATGCTTAAAGTATTTCAGATTTTGGGCTCATTGTTATGAACAAACTAATTATTTCGTGTAAACATCCTTATAACATTTCCTCCTTCTCATTCCTATTAGTAGGAATTATTTCTAAAGAGGTTTTTGTTAAAAATAAAAATAGTTCTAGTTAATTTTGAATAAAGTTATTTTTTTCTATTTTCAGATACTATTGTGTTTTGTCACAAATTTCTAATAATTAATTTTTTGTTTCTCTATTCATCATATACCTCAATTTATAGTGTAAGTGGAAGCTAAATATTACTTTAGATAGATATGCTGTAACTTATAAGAAATACAAGCATTTAAATATATCAGTTTTGAAGTAGATCGAACAACTTTACAATAATCGTCTAATTCCATCTAAAATTAAGTTATAATAAAATATTATGAGCTCAGCATCCAGATTAAGTTTGTAAATGTTTTATTCCTAAAATATAAACCATTGTATTGCAGTGATTATTTTTTTTGATTCTGCTACAGAAGCCTCCGTCTCTATCATCTCAACATAGTGAATGAAACTTTTATTAAAATCAGTTGTTATATGGGTGGCTCGTATTTTTTTTGGTCTAATATATTTTGCACTTAAGCAACCACCCCCTCGAAGTAAGAATTTTTGCTTCTAGATTTAGGTAAGCATAAATATTTTATGTAAATAATTAACCAACTTTCGAGTAAATCACGTATTTGAATGCTTTTATTAATTAATAGTAATATCTTTTTTTTATATGTCATCATATGCATGCGCCATTATATTACATAATCAAAATATTTATAATATTTATATTTGTTAAGAAAAAGGATAATTGAAGAAATAAAGACGATGAAAAAATATCATGATTTTTTCATTATAAAATTCCAAATATTTGGAAAATAACTACAAAAGGGGACTTTGGTACGTTTTTATCTTTACAACTACAGTTTTACAATGAAATCATCAGATTAAAAACAAATCAAAATTTTCATAGAAAGCTTTACAAATTTTCATCTTTAAATATAGAATAGGTTTGAAGTTAAATTAGTTATTCAACTTTTATCAATTATTTTAATCAACTAATTAATTATAGTCCTCATTAGAATGTTAATAAAGTAAGTTTATAATTATGTAATTTAAATATAATTATTTATATTAAATTTAATTATATGGTGAAGGCTTCTCAGGTCATCAGTGATTGGGTCAAAGGCGCATTAGAATAATAATTTGGCTTGAAGAAGATATTGCCAGAATAAAAAGTACTGATGAAAACCGAAGATTTTCAACATAAAAAGGATAAGAAATACAGGAAATAGAATATTTAAGAGAAATTGGTAACTTGCTTCGGACCCATTAACACCAGATACCGTAATACAACTAGATATAAATAGTTCCTTGACAGGAATCAATAATAATAATTTAAATATAATGCAACCTCTTTCATATATATGAAATATACTATCAAAATAGGCATCACACAATTTTCATTTGAAATGGAATTTGGGGTTGCTAAAAATCGTTGCCAATTAATAGGATAAATTTGAGTTAAAATTTCTAACAAAAGTTGTTTTTAATTTTCGATCTAGATCACCTAAGTATTTTGAAACTATAAAATTAGAAATCCTAGCAAAATAGATCATCTTCACTACATATAGTAACAATAATATAACAGCAAATGATCGGCTAAGCTTTTTATTTAAATAAATTAGAGATATAATTAAGAAAAGAAACTACATTTAAACTTTGACGAATAAAATAGCAAAAAGCAATATTTCTTCCATAATAAAAATGATAATGGTTGTAAAATAAATTTGAAGAATTGTTAATAAAGATTATTAATTGATTCCTATCTAAGCACAGAGTTAAACATATTCATAAACATTCAATTTAGGCTTAAAGATGCAGAAAGCTTTAGTAAAAGGAACTTAAGGTAATTAAAAAGAATAGATGAGGTTATGACATGACATAAAGAAAATTAATGTCTTTTTTTCTCTTTATACATAAAATTTTAGAATAAGATGTTATTTTTATGATTCAAAGGAAGGGAAAAAAAGAAAAATGAAAAGAAATAAAAATAAAAATAGCTGCTTTAATTTTTGAATTTAATTTAAAAGAAATAGTTTCTAAGTCTTGAGTTTATTAATTTATAAGTGATTGAAATATTAAAATCATCAACCAATATATAGTAGACATCAATGAATAAATATTATAGATATGGCAAGAAAATAGTCTTAAGTCCATATTATGAAAATAATTTAAGAATATATTAAACTGCCTCAATAATACTATTACTTATAATATTGAATTCTTCCAAGAAAACTAAAATTGATGTTTTTATAATTAAAAGCAACAAATCTTTCATTATTGATCTAAATCTGATATATAATCTAGAAAAAAGCACATGAAAATGATAGCAAAAACAAATATCATAACAATTAAGTGAGTAATTAGACTTAGATCTATTAAGAATATAAAACTCTATTTTAAAGATTCTTAATTATTGAATTAATTGCTATAACAAATATTCATTGGGAAAAAAAAATTCAGACTTAATCTCCTTAAAAGGTTCTAGTAGTTATGGAGCTAATTGATTGATTTTTCCCGCCTTATTGATCTTATGAGGAAAATAAATTCAAATTCTTTAGATAAGTCTTTGGGCTTAAAGATACTGATCATATCTTAGTTAGTATCTTTTCTAGCTAATTACTTCATTTTAGAGTTAAAGACCCTAAATTAATCGTTATTTAATATATTTTGGTTGGTTGTGAAAGGAGTGGAGATTGATACATACCCTATTAGGATAAAAATTCTTGGTGGTAAACCCCAATCATGAAGTAAATTTCAGGGTAAAACGAATATATCAAAAAGTTCTTGGGGTATTTAAACAAATATTCCAACAGTTTTAAAACAATTCAAATCATATATTAATTTAGTAACCCTGATAATAAAAATTACATAATACCACCAAAAGCACTTTGCAATTATTAATAAGTATTTAAAATTAAAAAATATATAAATCTTAAATGTTTATATAAGACAGATAAATAGGAACTAATCTATTTCAAAAGTTAAATTTTTTTTTCTAATTACACATTTTTTCTTTTCTTTTTTATTAATTAAAATGCTTTCCTATTTTGTGAATTAATATTGCACAATTAAACAAAATTAGAGGTTTATTTCACTCTTACCCCAAAACATTCCAAGGACTATGGTTGAAAAACTGCTTTTAAAGACATTTGATATCCATAATTTATTTTCTGAATAATATAAATACAGCAACCCAATCAAATTAAGAGGAGGAGGATGCAGATAGAATAAAGAATAAAAAAATATTACCTCCCAATAACAAAAAAATGAAAACTATATAAATTCAATATAATTACCTTGTGGTTATCTAGCAAACCTAAATAATTGCCTATAACTAATTTTCAAAGAGGCTATATTTATAGGTGAAACTAATAAGAGAAAAGAAGTGATAAATAATATATAATGGTTTGTTCATAATAGAGAGCACTTGAATAAATTTTGTATTGATCAAAAAGCAATTAGCTTTGTGTATGAGAATATCAAAATACATCATGAAAGTTTATTGACAGTACTTATAATATACTTAAGGATTTCAGGTTTTCTTTGTTATTAAGTGTTATAGATTTGCAATGAATTATTAAGAATTATGTATATGTTTTAGTTTTTAGAATCTAAAAGAGTTTTTAAAGAAGTTGAAAAATAAGATTATTTATAAAAGTTATCAGAATTTGAGACTTAATTAGAAATAGAATAAGCACATGTTTGGAAGACTGGTATTGAATTTGAAATAACATTAATGAAAATTATGATTATCAATTCATAAACTGATTCGACTGAAGGAAAAGATAAATTATTTACAATTTTTAAGGAAGTGGGAAAATCAATTTTATCATTATCACCATCTGAAGGTTTACTTTCATCAATTTTAGAAACAGTGGAATATTTGTTAAAAAAAGGAGTTAATAAAAAATTATATCCTATAGAAACTTATTAAACCTATAATTTATTTTAGTTGATGAAATGGTCAATCATAAGCTAATTAAAATCTAAATATTCAGTCTATAATTAAATATAGTAATTAAAGGATATCTTTTAATAATATATATTTGTATCTGATAATTGGATTTTACATTTCAGTTGGATATAAATGATAACTGATATATTATCTTATCGTCCTATTATTTCTAAGTGTGCTTTATAGGCTTAATAACCAAGTTTTGAGTAGACTCAATGGAATCTACTTTTTGAAAATAATTTAATTCATTGTGTTTCTTATAATAAAACTGAAGGAATCATGAATTTATTTTAAGAATCACAAACACTAATACAAGATATTGAAATAACAAAGTTATTGGAGATTTTTAGCAAAAAAAAGTTTGTACTATTTTCTTAATTTCTTTTAAATGGAGATTTCAATCAAAATTACAATCATTGGAATTATTATAAAGAATTCACATTTAAAAAGAACAAAGAAAAAAAATAAGAAGATTATGAAATCATTCTGGCAAGTTATGAATAAGAAATATTATTAAAAATAATTAACAATCTTAAATTTGAGAGAGATGAGATAATCTCAATTCATTCTAGTATTATTTCATCATTTCAATCATATTTTAAAAACCCAAATTAAATGTTATAATAAATTATTTAGGATGATCAGCAGGCATTTGAAGATCAATTTTTAAATACTTACAAAAAAATTATCATACTAACTAATCATTTTTATGAATTATCTGTATTTCAAGCAGCTAAATTGAATTTGATTTCAATTGATCTTCAGAAACTAGATAAATGTTAGAATAAAAATTCTTTAACTTAATTATAAAATTTGAAAGAAAAAGTTGATTGCTTTGTAGAAGGGCAACTTACAACATTAATACAGAAATTATTGGATCACTTTTTAGTTGCCATCTAATTTGCAAGTTATACTGCTGAATTGAGTTTATCCTTAACTACTAAATCCGAGATAGATTTAAATAATTTAAAATAATGTTTTGAAATAGATGAATTTTAAATGATTTTCACAGATTTGGAATCAAATTTTAATAATTTTACATTAAATGTTAATAATTATAAAGAGAATTTGATAAAATTTTTTCAGAATGTAAAAGAAAATAAATAAATGACAATATCCGCAGTAGATTAAAATATTATAAATATTATTAGGTTCAATTTTAAAGGTGAATGGATTAAAATTATAAATTAAACATTTTAAGAAAAATATATAGATAAGTTTACGTTATTTAATTCTTCATTAGAAAATTTAAATGATGCTTAATAAAATTTTATTGGTTGCAAGTTTATCATTTTATATTTACAATATGTATCATAATTCTACCATATATAATGTGAATATCTATAAAAATTTGGTTAATGTTTTAAGAAATGCCGACAAAAAAATGTTTAACAAACTTAATAAAAAGATGATATTTATAAAAAGACAGTTGGAGCTATTTTAACTTAATAAAAATAAAAGATTTCTTCTTTTTTGAGTAAAAATGAGAATGAAAGTGATCATTAGATTTAATAAATAAATTGTAAAAACCTATTAGCTTAAATAAAGTCTGACTACATTGTAATGAAATGTTAAAGCGAGAATGATAAAATGAGAAATAAAAAAATACATAATGAAATACTAATGCTATTTACAAATGCTTAGTTTAAAATTCTTTAAGTTTTTAATCACAATGCAAATATATCAACATTCTCAGATCTTCTAAATGATTATCATGAACAATTATAAAATATTGGGCAATCTGATGAACAAAATGCCTAAATTGAGTTGGAGAAGTAGGAAGTTGAAAATTAACTTTAAACTTTCATAAATGAATGTCTGAAGAATAATCAATAATTAATAATGAAAATTAAGGAAATCAAATAATATTATAAATACTATGAAAATTTATTAAGCCTTTAATTAGATATGATTTCAGAAAATAATTAGATTATGTAAAATTACAAAAAAGCAACTAAAACAGATAATCAAGTTCAATTATCCGAAAAATCCAATACTATCTCAATAGAAAGTTAAATTAAATATTAAAAGAGAGGAGAGAAAATTATTTTAATGAAAAAATAAGGATATAAATTGAATAACTAAGTTAAAATTTAAAGGATCCATACAAATGTAATTATGATAAATGTGAAATTAAATTAGAATTGCCAGAATTTTTGTCATTTTTATATACATTATCAAATGGTGAATACGAAATAGAATTAAAAGGGGATAAAATTAATGATTCCATTTGGTAAGATATAAAAAAATACTAGAAAGAAACTAAAGAAAAGCTTCTTAACTTAATTGATCTTAAGCATGATCATAAAGTAAGAGAAGGATTAGTCTATAATTTAATAAGACTATAACAAAGTATTTAAGAATAATAGATAAATTCTTTCTGTTGTAAATAATTATAATACTTTTGGATATATGAAAAAAACTAAAGAGTAAGAAATTTATTAAAAAATAAGGAATTAATTGAAATATAAAAGTAGCTATTTGTTTAAGACTAAGATAATTTATAAGATTCATTATAGTATTAATTGAAAAAAAGTATGCAAATTATTCAAAACCTTTAATAATAAATTAAACTAGAAGGTAATTTATTAAAAAGATAACAAATTTATTCATTATTGAAGAAAAGTTAAGATGAGATTGATGATGCTTTAGAAAATATTTCAGATATGTCTGAAAAAATGGACATAAGTCTAATATTTCTTAAGGATGTATCAAAAGATGTAAAGTCAATGAGAATTTAAATTGATAATTTATAAGATAGTATAAATTAAATAAGTGATGATATTAGGAAACTAAGAGGAAAAAGTTATTATGAATTATTAGAAATTAGAAAATAAAAGATTTTATAATAATCAAAACGAACAGAAATAGATTCAGTTTATGTATAATTAAATACAATTGAATATGATCCTATCACAGGTAAGAAAATAGAACATGAAAACGAGTTTATAACCAAATTAATGGTTGATTAATGGAATGATAAAAAAGGAGAGATTAATGAGTTTTTTTGGTAATCAGATACATCTATATTAAAAGATGTTATGTTACTTTCAGGAAATGCGGGTTCAGGTAAAAGTAAGGCTGCCAGAAAAATTGAAGAATTTCTTTGGAAAGAACAAGGGATTAACTCCAAATGGATTCCAATTTTTGTGTCGCTTCCAACTTTGAAGAACCCAAAATATAATTTATTTGAATAAGCATTAGAATCTGAAAATTATTAATTTGACAAATATTAGGTAAGAGAATTTAAAGAGGCTATATAACATAAGAAAGAAAAAATAGTATTAATACTTGATAGTTATGATGAAATGAAACAAGATTGTATACAATAAAATTTATTAATAACAAATAAATTGTACTAAGAATTAAATTTTGATAAAACAGACTGCTAAATGAAAGTAATATTTACAACAAGAAAAGAAATACTCAATACAGTTGGATATTAAACTTGGTTTTATGGAGAGAGTCTTCAGACTTTGAAAGAAGTTTAATTACAAAACTTTAATGAATAATAATAAGATGAATATTTGAATTAGTATGTAGAATTGAGTGTTAAAAGGAAAATAAAAGAAAGTTATGAATTTGTTAATCAAATCTCTGGATAAAACTTTGATTTGAATGAATTTATTAATATTTGGAATTTGATTTCTCCATAAGTTAAAAAATGTATTAAAAAATCTGAGATTAGAGAACTAGAGGGTATCTTTTAAAATAAAGAGGAAGAATTCTTAATTAATATATTAAAATCTCATTAAACTTTTTAAATATTAAAAGAATAATAAACAACTGGATTACGAAAAGAGTTATAAGCCTTATGGAGTGCAAATAAGTTTAAAACATCTATAAAGAGTGTAAAAATTGAAGATCTATTGACTACTCCTTTTATGTTAGAAATTGTTGTATAAGTTTTACCAAACATGACCAAATAATCTTCAGGATCAACTATAATTAAAGAGATCTTTATTTAGAATTATATTAAATTTAAGAAATATGCAAGATAATCTATGTATGCAATAGAAAGTTATAAAAATAATTTATTTAATCAAAATGAACGAAATAGTATGACTAATTTTGAAGATGAATAACACCCTAAAATATAAAATGATGATGAATATCAATCAAAAGTTGATAAAGTAAGAATATATGGAATAGTTGATAAACTAGAAAGTGAAAAATTTTTCTAAAATTTTTCAATTGTTAGTTTATTAAATGTTGCTGGGGACACCATCATATTAAATGGTCAAAAATTTAGAGTAAATACGAATGATTTTAATTACGTTGTAACTGCTTTGTAAATGAAAAGGTTTACTGTATTTGAATTTTATGAAAGTTTTATCAACTATTATCATGAATAATAGATTCAAAAATAAAGGGAACTTGGTAAAATATCAAATTATGAAAGCTTTTCATTTGATATTTATTAATTTTCATATTCTCTCGCTATTGAGATGACTTTAAGAGAATTATCACAAGTAAGTTATAAATCACAAGGAAAACTTGATTTAAGGAGTAAGTACAAAATCGATTAAGATATAGATGATTGGTTAAAATAGTATTTTGATGTTGAGGACGAGTACAAAAAACTGATTAGAAGTTGTATCTTATTAAGTGCTAAAGGAAGCACATATTCATTTACTCATAAATCGATTTAAGAATTCTATGTAGCAAAAAATATTTTTGAATTGTTGATTTTTTTGGATAATTTTCAATTTGATGATGTCTTGGAGGATAACAATGAGAAATTAGAGAGAAATAAAAAAATTTTAATTAAATCAGTATTTAATGATCCAAAATTTAATATATCAACCGATAATTTTAAAGGTGTAATCAATTTCATTAGATAAAAATTAATTACTACTGATAAAATGAATTAAAAATTAATAGATATTGTAAAGCTTTCAAGAATAGGTATATTAAATAGATCAGCATCAAATAGTATTTATTTATTGTGTTAAATGAATGTTTATTTAGGATCTTAAGATTTTAATAAAATAGAGTTAGCAAATACAAATATATCAGGAGTAAGTTTATTTGATTGCAATTTAAGTAATTCTGTATTTTCAAATGTTGAAATTAATTCAAGCAATCTAAATTATGCAGATCTATCAAATGTAAAATGGGAAAATGTGATTTGTCAAGAAAAACCCTCTTTAAAAGGTCATAATGAAAGAATTTTGGAAGTTTAATTTTCACCAAATGGTCGATATATTGCATCTGCAGGATAGGAAAAAGAAATAAAACTATGGAATGCAGAAACATATTAATTCATTTAAGATTTAAAAGGACACGACAATAGTGTTAATACATTATCATTTTCATCTGATTCATCCGTACTTTTTTCAGGTAGTGATGATAGCATTATAAGAAAATGGGAAATTAAAAATCATTAGTCATAAATTAAAAGTTAAATTGCTTTTAAAATGGATAGTCCAATTTCAAAAGTTTAAATATCCCAGGATTCTAGAAAATTATATTCTTAAGATAAAGAGGGAAATATCTAAATTTTAAATTTAACAAAAGATGGTCCAATTGAAGAATGTGTATATAGTGTTTATAATACACCTATTGATTATTTTGCATTACATCCAATGGAATCAAAAGTTGTATTCATATACTAAAATAAAAATATTGATTTAATCAACTATTTAACTGAAGAAAGATCAAAGATTATACCAAATCTTCCAGCATTTTCGGAACTAAATGAAATAATAGATTTTGTATTTAGTCATGATGGAAACTATTTTGCAGTGGCTACTTCTATACGTGTTTTTGTTTGGAATATTTAAGGAAAAGAAATAAAACTAATGTATAGTTTTATTTTTTGTTCAATCTCCTTAAATTCCATAATATTTTCTGAAGATAATAAATAATTAATCTTTTCTGAATCTTAATTTATATTTATGAGAGACATAAATGATATATAACATGAAATAAAAGAATGCTTTGAAATTGAAATATCTCCTAAAGATAATATAGCCGCACTAGTGTACGAAAAGCAAATCTGCTTAATAGATACAATATCATAAAAGCAGATAAGGGAGCCAGTCATATTTCAGTTTTAACCTAAATTAATAAAATTTTCTAAAGATGGATCAAAATTATCCTTATTTTTAAATGATAAGGAGCTGATTAAACAATTTATAATTTTTGATGTGCTTGCACACAGGACCATTTATATTTTACCTTGGGATTCTACGAATTGGTCTAGATATTTATTATCTAATAATTTTGATTTTTTATATGTCTCATTTGACAACAAACCTAAATTTTGTAGGGAGAGTTCAAGTCATGAGTATCCTCAAAAATAAAACTTAATGGAAAGAATTATAAGAATAGATACAAATAAAGTATATAAAAATTAAGAGTATAAAACACTCTGTTTTAATATTGCTCAATTTAGTGTTAATGTTTAAAATTGGACTATTGCTTATACAACATCTGAAGCTGATTCGATTTCTCTCTATGATTTAAATAAGGCTTAGAAAATTTAGGGGATACTTGAAAACTAAAATAAAATAATTTAAGACTTTTTGTTTTCACCAACTTCAAATAAACTAGCAGTTGTATACTAGGGAGAATTATTATTTTGGTGTTTAGATTCAAAACCTTTTAAAATATTAGAAAAAAAAATAACTTTGGATAAAATAAATCTTAAATCTATTAATTTTTCTCCAGATGGTTCTTAAATAGCTTTGGTATATCAAGATTACTTTCAAATCTATGGTGTATCAACTTGTGAATTAATTTAGTAGTATCAATTTAGTTCAAATGGTTATGTAGAATTTTCATAAAATAATGATTAGATTGGTTTCTCCAAATAGAATGGTAAAGAAATTTTGATTTAAAATAACAATGAGGATTAATTATAAGAATTACCACAAGTTCATAAGGAAATTATTAAGAAAATAATTTTTACTCGTGATAACAAATCAATTATTTCGGTGAGTCTAAATGAAATTATTTTATGGGATCTATAAAATTATTAGATCAAAGAAAATAAGAATTCTTATTTGAAATACTTTACATTTATCACTTTTTCCCATACTACTAATTTAATTGCATTACATGAAGGTGGTGATGTAGAGTTATGGAGATATTCAGATAACACTTTGAATTTTATTGGATCTAATTTATTTGAATTACCAATTTTAAAATTAAGTATTATAAATAATGATTAACAAATTTTGATATTATAATCAAATTAGTAGTCACTGTTATGTGATCTAGATTGTTTTTAGTTTTCATATATATTTGGATAAAGTTTCGATTGTGGTGCAATATCATCGAATGGTTTAATTGCTTTATCAATAAGATTGAATGTTGCTATATTTAATAATGAATTTGAAAAAATAGAATTGTCTAATAAATAGAAATTTTGGCCGCAATATTTATAATTTTTTGAGTATAAATAGGATTTATTGTTAATAGGTGAATCGCAAAATATAAATATTTGGGATTATTAATAAGATATTGTAATTTCAAAAATAGATTGGCGTAGGAGGAATTTTAGATATAATATTTCATAATTATATTTAAAGGATGAGATATTAATTTCTTATCATGAAACGTTTGTAAAGATATGGAATATAAGAGACCTATAAAATATTAAATTATGTGGTTATCATGAAAACTTGAAATATCTTTCTATTTAGGAAAATGGAGAATGTGGAGTTGGGTTATAAATAATATAAGATAAAACATTTCTATAACCAATAATAATCAGAGATATTTTTAATATCAGTTTTTCATTTCCATGTAAATCAGATTAAACTATTAAGAAAATTCTAGTCTCGAATTAAAAAAATTATTTTCTTATTTTAACTCATCAATAAAAACTCTTTCTCTGGTTAAAGTTAACACAATAATTACATGAATTTATAGGAAATGCCGTAAATGTGGCTATTTGTTAAGATAACAACTACATAGCAGTTTTAACAGAATCAAAACTTTAATTAGTAGAATTCGTAAATGATAATTTTAAAGATTATGATACTTTTGATTTTTATAACAAAATTGAAAATTGCGTAATGAAATTTACAAATGATGGGCAAGGATTATCATTAAGTACATATTAAATGACCAGAATATTTTCAATAACAATAAAACAAAAATTTATTTGCAGAGAGATGTATTATAATTTTGATAAACCTGAAAAGTTTTGGAATTAGAAGTAAAGTCATTATTATGATGATTTTGAAAAACCTACTTTAAAATAAAGTTAGACATAGCTATTTTAAAAATAAGGAAGTAAATAATAACTTCTTGCTATATTGAATTATGAGAAAAAATAATTTAGAATTGTTGACCCTTCAAAATCGAAATAAATTTTACTTTTAAAAAGTAAAATATCAAATAAAAATTTTTTCTAATTAAGTCTTGATGAAGAATTAGTTTGCTTTGTTCATAATTCTAGTAATATTTATATTCTAGAAAATTAAAATTTAATATTAAAACATATAGTTAAACTTAACTATATTCATTTTTAGAAATTAATTGGTAGAGATTCTATACTTGTTTATGGTAGTTCTTAGGCTGTTGAATAAGGTTAGTAAAGTATCTTTCAAATTTCGCTACTTGATTTTTCCCAAATTCAAATATGCACAATGTATGAATGTACATCAATGATTTATTTGCCTTTATAGTAATTTTTTGCTATAAGTACAAAATCAAATTAAATAACCTTTTGGGATATAAAAGCTAAAAAGAATGTTGGAACACTAAAAGGACACTTAAAAACAATTAATTGTATGACGGCTTCATCAGATGGTAGTGTTCTTGCATCTGCAAGTGATGATAAACTCATAAAACTTTGGAATATTAATTAGAATGAATCTTCAGATGTTCAACAAGCTCACTAATATTCAATTAGTGCATTAGCATTTTCTAAAGATGGTTTTTTAATTGCAACAGGAAGTTTAAAGGGCTTAGAATCTGATGTGCCAATACTAATATGGGATCTTTAAAACAAAAATCTAATTACTAAATTATAAGGACATAGAAATTCTGTTAATTGTTTGGAATTCTTTGATAGTTCAAAATATTTAGCTTCAGGATGTGAAGATGGAATTATAATATTTTGGAATGTTGAATACCCTTAAGCAATAAAAATATATTAGGTGATTAATGATTTAAATTTCCCTATCAACACTATAAGTTTTTCTTCTATAGAATAAAATTTTATTACACTTTTTGATTTCAATAAAGTTTAGAAATGGAACTTAGATAAATTATAATCGGAAGACTATATTCTAAATATAAATGTAAATTCAAAATAATACAGCTTTATTTCAAATGATTAATTTATTTATTTTGATAAAGACAAAATGTAATTCAATATAGTAAATTTATAAACGAAGAAAAAAGAAACTATTTTAGAAAATTAGGGATATATATTCTAAATAGAAGCTTCCGAAAATAGTAGTCAAATTTTGTGTTTGGACAATTAGGGGAGGTTATTTACTTTATAAAAAGATTAGGAGAATATATGGTTTCTTGAGTCAATTCCTGCTTTATGCGCTTAAAATATTTAAATTTCTCCTGATAGCAAATTTTTACTTTAACAATGCGATATTTCAACTTACTAAGATAAAATGAATTAACAAAAAAGACTCAAAATCTTAATTCATAATTTGTAAAAATTGAGAAATTAAAAGAAAAACTTAGTGTTTAATTTAGAACCTGGAATGAGGGAGACATATATTTCATCTGATTTTGCTCAAATTGCAATAATTAAATAAATTGATTCAACTACTGAGATAGAATACTATGAATTGAAAAATTCTTATTTAAAAGATAAATATCAAGGATTAGATAATCTGCTTATGCTTTAAATATCAAATGATAAGAAATATTTAGCCTGTTATTATAAAATTAATGAATAAGATGGAATTAATATTTGGGAAATTAATGATCCAACAAAAAAGGTAGAATTAGAAGTTAAAGATACTGGATTAGAAAAATTTCAATTTTCTGCTGAAGATTCAAATAAAATATATGCTTTGTATTCAGATGGAATAGTAAGACATTGGAATGTTTGTACAAAAGAGGTTAAAGAAGTCTTTTAAATTCCTTATAATATTAACATTGCTATTGCTACATTTTCAAAAAGTCTTAAATTCTTAGTTTACTATGTTAAAACCCAATATACTTAGAATATAGTTCTGTGGAATTTTGAAAAGTAAGAAGAAACGGAATTTTCTGTTGATGATGAAGCTTAGATATTAGTTTTTAGTTAGAAGGAGGATATGTTTGCTGCTGGTTTGGAAAAATGTATCATTATTTTTAAAAATGAAAAATAATCTACAGTCTCTTTTCTCAATGTTTATTCAAATTACTATTATTGTTCAATAAATTTTCTGTGCTTCTCACATAACGATGAATATATCATAATTCATATGGAAGGTTTAGTCTAGATTTACTAAATAGATAAATAATTTAATATTTAACTCCAATTATTTTGGAGTGTAAACATTTCATAAATTCTATTTTTTGATTTTGTTGAAATGAAATTTTTGATTGTACTTGAATATCAAAGATAAATCACAATATTTGAGCTTGAACCATCAATTCTCATAAATAATGATTTATTTGTCAATAATCAAGAATTATAAGATGAGTAAATAATTTGTTTCTCTCCTGATAGTAAATACTGGGCAAGCTTGACTCCTACTCTTTAAATCTAAGATTTAAGTAATCCCATAATAATTCATTAATTCAAAAGTTTTAAAGGAAACTTGATTTCATTTTTATCACAAGATATTTTAGTAATTGCCGAAAAGAATAGATTATAATTAATTAATATCAGTTAAATAGATAAGATATAACTTATTAATAATATTGATTTATAATTTAATATAACTCGTATAGTCTTCAATTCCAATTATTCAATTATATAATTTATGATTGATGGCTTAAATTATGCTGATATAGGTCAAATTAAAAATTTGAAAGAATATTAATCCAAAGCCATTTATAATATAAAAAGATAAAATATTATTTTAAATAATGGAAATTATTTTGCGATAAAGAATTAATAGAATAATATTTTAATAAAAAATATTGATCAAATTCTTAAGGAAGGTGTTATTTACCTAGAATAAGACATAAAAAAAGATGATATAGCTTATTCAAATGATGGTAACTCGATTATTTTGTGTTTATCTTATAATATTCAAGTTTTAGATCCTAAAAGTTTAGCAGTTTAAAATATAATAAAAATAGACACAAATTTATTTCACTTTTAATATTCATAAAATTAGAAATATCTTGCATTAATGAATTAAAATATTGTTAATATCTATTAAACGTAGAATCTATAAGATATGAAATTATTTTTTACTATTAAGGAAAGTGAATATTCGATTAAATGCATAGCTTTATCCCCAAAAGGCGACTTCTTACTTATATATAATAAAGAAGATTTTACAAATTCAATTAGATTATGGAAGGTGGAATAAAAAGAATAAATTTGTAATTATAATAAACTAGATGATGAAGTACTTGTTCTTAAATTTTATCCTGATGGAATTAATTTTGCTGCAGGTTTATCTGACGGATCAGTTAATTTATATTCAATAGATATAACATTAACAAACTACTATAAAAATTAGAAGATAAAATCACCATACGCTATAGTCTGTTTTTAATCATTTGCCAAATAATCTTTATTATTAGCCCAAGAGTGTATTTTAGAGGAAAGTAGAATATCAGAAAAAAATTCAATTATAGAATTATTCATTTAGAAATCAGTCAAGAATTGAGATATTAAATATCATTATAAAATTTAATAATCATCATCAATAATAAAAATATTTTATCATACTGATAATGTAAATTTTAATATAAAATGAAATCATATGAAATCAAAATTGCATCTAAACTTCAAAAATGATGCAAAACTAGTTTAATTTCTACAGTTTGTGTCTTTAGCCTTTAGATAAACAACGCATCCTAAATAATCGACATTTATTAAAAATAATAATATAATTTTATCATTTTTATGCATAAATGAATTTAGAAGAATTATAGTTATTAAATTTAAAAACTTAAAAATTTTTTAGTCAAATTGCAAGCAGCTTATGAAATATTTTCCTTTAAAGTTCTAATACAATTAGGAAAATAATTAATTTATTAGAGCATTAGTATTTAAATTACTGCAGAGAAAAAATCTAAATACTCTTGATTCCACTCTTCTAAACATTTTCCTACAGATCTTACACTTGATTAACAACTATTTGTATTTACATTAAAATGAATTTAAGATTTCCAACTAGTCTTTATACGGAATTTTTTTCCTTTTGATACACATTTTAATATTTATTAAAGATATAATCAGATTTTATTGTATCCGTATTGAACATAAAATTTATTATCTTCTGCTTATGCACTTAGAACCCAATAATTTCACCTCTTCTATTTCAATCTGATACTTTATAATAGAAGTAAGCAGCATCTTTTCCTACGTACTTTGTACGCAGATCTGAGAGGATTAACACACTCTTGATATCCCAAAGAAATATTTGCATGATTTCTAAACAATAGTAATCTCTATATAAACCAGAGCTTGTTTATATTTTTTTTTTTTTAAAAATAAAGTCTTTGAGTTGATGTATTTCTTAGATTAGTACAGGTATTTACATCATGGATATAAAAGGAAGATATGGTTTAACAATCTCTAATTGTAGTTTTGACATAAGCTTAGTATCCTCCAATACCAGTACATAAGCGATATTTTAAGCATCAACTAAGCCTAAAATTAGTAGATAAATTAAATAGAAATTTACATTAATAAAAAATATTGATATTCCATAATTGCTTTTGATTAAAAAGAACAGATCTTGTATTCAATTTGAATAAAAAGATTAATAAAATTATTGATTTGCAATAATGGATGCAGGATAATTTAATAAAAATTATCATTTAAATAGAAAAGTTCTGAGGTATTAGAATACTTTTTATATGCTCAAATGTTCATACAAAGTAGAATGGACAGAGTTGAATAAGGAAAAATCACTTTAATTTTGCTAAGCTAACTTTTATTCAATTTAATTTTTATTATTGTTTTGAATTATAATAAATACAATAACTTGAAATAGTAATAATAGGATAAGATTTAAGGCATTTTTTACTTATAACAATGACATTTAAAACCTATTAAATAAATGAAATTTAAAATATGTTTTATCAAAAAATTAAATGATTATAATAAAAAAAACAACTTAAAATATTAAATTTTTAATAGATTTCCTTTCCACTCTGTACTCCGATAACCAGAATAAATAATGCGTTAACAAAAAAAATTTAAATCGTATTAATAATATTTATGTACTCCAAAAGTTATGGATACCCTTTGTGTTTACAAATAATAGAAAAGTTATTATTGTCGACGAACTAGAGTATGTTTTCTGATTCTACTGTCAAATGATTGAAAACATAAAAGTTCTTTCATTTACTTTTATCCTTATATTAAAAAATAATTATCAAAATTCAATTTTATTCAAAGACATCTCTACTTATATGATCATAGATTATAAATAATATCATCAATATCTTTTTTGCTAATACTATTAAAAATCGATGAATTGTATATTGAAAATTAGCAGAATTAATGCTGTTGACTTATTCATATATTTCATAAGACTATAATTTTTTCAATAAGGTTGAGCTATGGCTAGTATGAGTATGATAACTAAGTTACTATTATGATAATGCTCTTTTAAAACCTTTATTAAGTCTAATAGATGTTGTGCATAAAGATAAGAATTTAAATTGCTTTAGACTACTTGATACAATGAAGCCTTCTTGTCCTATAACAACAACATTTCCAATGTTTCCAACATAATTTTAGGTTACTGTAAATTTATACTTTCTTTTTATTTAACAACCTGTTATCAGCATTTGTTTTTCTTAACCTTCAATAATATTAAATGATCAATGCATTAAAATTGTTTTTATATAGAAAAATATAATCATTGATTTTTTTCCTGAATATTGGATTTTCTTATTGAGACAAATTATGAGGTTAATTTATATTCAATTAAGAACTTTAATACTCTCTAATTTTTTGCTCAATTTTTTTCTACTCTATTTTTTTAAATCATTTTCGTTTAATTTCTTGTAGTTTTAGCATAGAAATTCTGTATTTCCTTTTCTCTACTTATAAGTGTGCTGTTTTAAAAAATTGATTTATTTGTTGTGACCAAGGAAGGTATCCAAAGATTTTAAGTTTCTAACTATTATTAAATAAAAAATAAAATAAATCATATTCAGTAATTCCAAGCACCTCATCTGAATCCTCAAATTTAAAAAAATTGCACATTCTTTATTTAAAGTGTAAAGCACTTTAAATAGCCACTTATTATCTGGTAATATTTTTAAGGGTGAATCCTCAGTCTATTTTGTAATGTGAACGCTTTCTTTATCTCATATAACAGCTTTATTTTGTTCACTTTAAAAACAATTATCCTATTTTCACATTATCCTTTGCTATCCTGAAACATTTTCCTAGTGCAAAATTCAACAAGTATTCACAGGTTACTACTGACAAAGTAACATCAAGGATATAGTAATTTTTAGTACTAATGGGGCGTGCATTCCTTCAACAACATAATTTACTACTTCGAATGATATCGCCATGTGATTATATATATAATGAAGGTTTATAAATATAATATCAGAAATAAACGTGAATGCTAAAGGTCTACTAAATACCATTTTAATACAAATAAATTTTTTAATAAAAAAAATGAATTAAACCTTGAAAAATTTTTTCTTAATATTACAATAAATGATGTGATAATATAATATTGATTTTTTTTTGAAAAATAAATTCAAATTTTTAAATTAAATAAAATAATTTATATTTTAGTTTAATCATCAATTTTTAATTGAATTGGTTCATATTCTTGTTGGTCAATTATAAATCTTTAACTATTTTAAATTAATATTTTGATGATCTAACGATTTAATAAAAATATGCAAATATTTGCAAAAGATTAAAATTAATTAAAGGTAAATAAATTTTCAGTCTAAATAATTTTTTCAAAGTTAAATATGTGTTCATTATAGTTTCCCTTTCCCAAAAATCTAGGAAATATTTCACAATGCTTTCAGACTGATTCCAGGAATGAGAAATCATTTGAACATCAGAATTTTATAAATTGAAGTGTAACTATTGCCTGATGAATCATATTTCTTATTTTGAAATGAAAATGTAAATTAACATCTCAGTGCATTTAGGTTATTAATCAATAAGTATTAACTAAATAAATTTCATTTTAATCAAATTCTTAACTTTGAGATTATTTGAGCTCATTTCATGTTATTGAACTTATTACCTTTTTATCTCATAGTATAATATGTGGAATTAAACGCCTAATATTTGGAATTCAAAGCTTCAATAATATTTTTAATAATAAATATAATTGAATGAAACGTTACAAAAAAACATCAATTTTATTACTCAATTCAAAATATTATAAAATTTGGATTCCATTGAACTAGAGGAGAGTATAAGTAAATATCAATCTTATTCTAATTCAATAGCAAATGTGCACATATTATCAATCTATCAATGAGCAGCAATAATATTTTGAACACTCCACATTATCAGAAGTCAATTCCATTTAAGGTTCAGTGAAAGTCATTATTATGGATTTGATTTAAAAGGTTGCTAATATTAAAACTAAAACCCAATTGACTTATTATTTATAGACATAAAATTTTCTAAGTTAAATACAAAATTAAAAATTGATAAGCAATCTTATTAATTATTTTCCTTTATACACTTTGAATTATATTTAAGCTTTAATTATTTTCTATATCAATAAGGAGAATTTTGGCCCTTTAATTTTTGCTATCTAATTCAGTTGTATATTTTAATGCACTAAATAAGGGTAATTATTCAAGCATTTTTCTTTTTTTAATAAATACTCTGGATTTTCTTCTTAAATTTCAATTTGATACACAAATAATTTATATATTAACAACAAAATAAATAATCATATTCTAGGAATTAAATCGTCTTTCTCTTTTGTTTTGCCTTCTTTCAATATATAGCGATTATAAACCATAAATGAAATAAGCGCCAATGAAGTTGTTATATAAAGATAAGAAAAGTCATAAGTTAAAGGTTTTTTATTAAAAAATGCCCACCAAATGGAGGATAATCCAAATCCAATACTTTAGCATAGATTGAAACCAGCAAAAGCATGTATTTTAGTTGAGATTTATTTTGTTATTATTATTAATGCTAAAGATGAAATCGAACTATCTGAATATCCAATTAAAGCACATCCAAATAATATTAGCATAAAACTTTATTTTATAATTCCAAATTAGGATAACAAGATTCCAATAAAGTTTATTAAAAAACTAAAATATAACACATTATTTTCTTTAAACTTCTCACTTAACTTGCCAGCTGTGACCCCTCCAACAACTTAACCAATCCCAGTGATTAAGAAAGTTAAAAAGATTTTATTATATAATTCTGAATCTTAAAATCCTAAATTTTCTACAAGAACAGGCACAAATAAATAAATAACTGAATTCATCAACCCAGCAAAAATAAGAACTCCTAGGAATAATAAATATTTCCTATAAGTAATTTCTTTGTATAAACATAGGAATTAATATTTAACTTCTTTTACAACAGATCGGTTTTCTTTTGATGGCTCTATTTTATTGTCTTTTATACAAAAAAATAGAGCTTGCAAAACAATTGAGATTACAACAATTATGACATAAAAAGTAAATAAATTATAATATTGGTTTAAATAATAGCCTATATATATTAAGTTGTATACCAATTATATTTGATAAAATATTCGACATACTAGTAAAAGAAAAGCTTATTCCAAAAAATAATTCCCTATTTGAGTTGTTGCACATAAAATTTATGTAAGCAACGAAAGAAACATAAAAGACTGTTTGGAGAACACCAGCAATCAATGATGAAATCACTGTGATAGTTTCAACTAAGGAAACTGAGCATGAATATTAGCATCCTGCTACTAATAATCCTCCTACCAGAAAAATATTTAAGTTAAATGAACTAATTATAAATATTTTTTTGAAGCTAATGGATTCTATTATTTTATCAACAACAAGCAGCATCAACGGTCCAAATAGATAATTACAAACATATTATACTGAAGCTAAGGTATTAAAACCAAAATCCGAATACATTGTATACAATATATTTTTTCCTGCACTTGTGAAGCTTAATAAAAGCATGATTATCGTGTCAAAGTATACCATCCAAAGAAAACCATTAAAATACTCTGATTTTTTCATTCAAATATAATTTTTAATGAAATAAAATTATTTGTGATGATGTAATCATCATTAAAAAATGGAGTCAATTCTCAATTTTTATTTACAGAAATTCTAAAATTTTGCAATAGATATTACAAAATTTATATAAATTTAGAATTTATTTTTAATTCAAAAACCTCAAAGTAATTTTATACAAAATGAGTTTAAAACCAATATTATCTCCACAAAAGTAATTTTTAAATAAGAAAAACCCCATAAAATAGACAATCGCAAAGGTAAAAACAAAACTTCTTTTATGAAGATTGAATAGGTGGATGCCCAAAAAAAATTGAATTCCACACTTTACAAGTTTAATTTGAAAAAAATATTACAATAAAAAAAGAAAGAAGGATTAACTAAAAAATCAAATAACCAATAATTATGATTATTTATAATGATAGTATTCTATAATTTACTCATTATTTCATTCATTTTCTTTTAGTAACTCTACTAATTCATCATAAGATAATTTATTATTTTATTCTTTTGAATCACCTAATTTCATTAATTCTATCCACTCATTGTCAGTAAGCTTAGTTTTGACAAAATATACTTTAAGTTCATTTGCTGATATTTGGCGACTACAGTCTTAATCTAATTTATTAAAAAATATTCTTATATTTTCATCACTTAATAATTTTTTTTTATCACAAGTAGCAATCAAAAATTCATTGAATCCTAAGTATTAGTCTTCATTCAAATCAAATTTTTTAAATATCCCTTCAACTTCTTTCCTCCCTAAGTTATCATTGCCTAAATTTTCTTAGTATAATTTTATTAATTCCTTTTTTGATATCCTTCCATCAAAATCAGTATCAATTTTGTTAAAAGATGTTGCAATTTTATCTCTCTCTTCTTTTGGTAATAAATATTCTATCATTAAACTTATTAATATCATTTTTAATTCATTATTTCTTTTAAAATTTTTTGCCCTCAGCAGAGCTCCTGTTACTTTCAATGAAGATTATTTTATAGATTTAAAAAAGTCATGTTGTAGACATTCTTTAGCAGAAGGTCTAGCTCTTTCATCTTAATTCAACATTAAAGTTATTAGTGATTTTGCTTCTTATTCTAATAATTTATAGTCTGACAAATTTTTGAATTTATTCTCCTTGATATTTTCAAGGGTTAAATTCTTATACTTTTCTTTAAATGGATGTACTCCAAGTAGTAATTCATATAATACAATTCCAATTGACCAAATATCAGCTGAAGCCTGCCATTTGTATAAATTTGAGAACGTTTCAGGTGCTCTATAACTAATTTCAGTGTTTAGATCTTGATGATTGTAAAAAATTTCTTCATGGCCACTTATTTTGGAAAAATAAGTTTCTTTTTACGCCAGGAATATATTTTTTGTCTATATGTTTTTGTGAACCAGATTTTATGCGTGTATAAAACATACTGCTGTCAACAGTTACTGTATGGTAAATGCGATATGTGTCTTATTTAAATCACTTGCTTCATTTTGCAATCTTTAAATTAGATTACCTCCTTCACAATATTCTTTAACCAAATATATATGATTTTCATCATTATAAACATCTAATAGCTTTATAATATTTGGATGATCCTTATATAAAATTTTTAATTACTAATTTTTTTATGGATTAAATATATTGAATGTATTCTTATAATTAATGATCGGTTAAGACATTTTTTATAACTTTAGCAATTCTCTTCTATCCTGTAACTTTATGTTCAACAATAAACAGTTTACCTTGATGGCTTTAATTTGATATTTTATCTTCCGTAATGAAATAGTCTGATTGAAACTTCTTATTTCTGTAAATCTATTAATTTTCCAGTTAAAACAATTCACCTACCTTCTTTTATACATTAGGTTATGATTGCAAATTTTAATTTTCTTTAGGTTATCCTTCTTAATTTTTTATAGGCTTTGATTTAACTGCTTCATGGTTATGATGTAAGTTTTATTTTTAGTCACCTTTAGGTTAATGCTTCTCAGATTTGCTCTATTTTTAGGAGTTACAACCCATGTATAACTTGATAAAATAAAAATGAATAATTAAATATTTAGTTTATATCTATATAATTCATGAAAAAAGAATTGATATTACTTTTAGATAATTATAATTTGCTCAAATAAAAAATTTAAGAGATATTATTTCAATTGAATTGTTTCTTATAATCACCAGTTCTTTCCTTTTTTATTCTCAATATACTGATTAATGAATATATACATATATATATATATATATCTTCATGAAAACATTTTTTTAGCTTCTTAATATATATCATCCTGAATTATATCAGGCTTTTCAATTTCCATCATTTATAAAATATCTTTTATTTCAGGATCTAAATCATTTCCTTTATCGTTTTAGTTATTCAAAATACTAAAAATACTATTAACAACTCCTAGTTACACTTGATTTTCCAATTCTTCTAAATTTACCTATTTTCTTAAATCTTATTCTAATCTATCGATCTTTTATAAAAAATTCTCTGATTTTAATTCTATAACTTATCTTTTCATACTAGATATCAACTTTTTTTTCATAAAATTTATCATTTCTTCTGATAAATATTCTTTATAAAAAGGGTCATCCAAAATGATCATAAGTGAATCATAATTCATTGGAATAAGTAATCTTTATTTTTACATACTTTTTTTATCTTTGAATTGCTTTTATTCAACTATAATTGTTTCATTGTTATTCTGTTAAGGCTTCATATAAGGGAGTAATGACAAGGCTACTTATGATAAATTAATACCCATGAAATCCTCAGTTCTTTTCCCATTATTAAATTCCTATAGCTTTTTCATCAAATCCTATCCGAACATTTGCATATTTAATGGTGACGCTTTGTTATCACGTTTATAGTTTTTTCTTTCTCTGTTTCTACTAGATGTTCTTGATGATTTCTAATTAAATAGGAGTCAAACTTTTTTTTTAGACTTGTATTTTGAAGAAGATCTGTGGCTGCTAACTTTTTCTTTTTTTTTATGCTTATTTTTTTTTCTATCTGGGGTTGGCATTTGGTAAAATAAAAATAATATTAATTATATTTTATGAAAATATTTGATATCAATTATTAATTAGTCATTCTCAATAAAAAAAAACTAAACCTCCTATGTTTTTATAATACTTAAAGATTCTATTTCAATTAATAAAATTAAACCTTTAAAATCTTGGACCAAAGGTTTTTAGATTTTATTTCTAATATTTATTCTGTTTAAAAAACTATGAAAATACTTTGATTAATTTTGATTGCAATTATTGTTATGATAGATAAAATTATTCATCTTATGTAATGAGTTTTTTAGGATTCTTATATTAATTAGATAATATTTGTTCTGTTATTTTGAGTATTAAGTCAAAAGTTTTAAATAAAAAATATTCTACAATATTATTATTTTAATTAAAAAAAGAGCAGCAAATGAATTAAAAGCCTCTTTCTTCAAACAGTTCAGCCAGTTAAAACTTAAATTTTGGTGATTATGAGAAAGTCAAATTTACATTTAGTGGATTAGACAAGTATATTGTCATGGTATTCAAAATATATTAATGGGAAGGAATTAAATACTAAAATTGCGTTGGAAGATTTAAAGTTCACATTTGCCAACATTTTAAAAACAGATTTCTTTGCAAAGAAGCTTGAATATCATGTTGTAAAAGGATTTAAAGATAAGACATTATCAGCTTAAAAATCTTTGGCACATTAAGAAATATCTAGTGATTTTAAAGGCCAAGGCCCAGGTCAGTAATTAAATATACAAGTTAAATTTATCGAAGAAGGTGCTTGATTTTTCTTCTATTATATTATCAAAAATTAAATATAATGTTAAACATTTTTTCACAAACTCCAACTTATTTCGAAAGATGAATTTGATTATTCTTTATATTAATTTAATAACAGTGCATATACAAATGTTAAAATATAAGAAGCTAGTTTTGTATATCATAGCGAATTATTAAATGTTTTAAGGGATATGATTTTTAAATTTTACCATTAGATGCATTTAGCAGATTGTATGATTTGTTATGTTAAAAAAAGGGTTAGTGCTTTAAAAAATTGACATTATTCTATTGAAGTATGTTATTTTTGTTAAGTTTTTGTTTTAAGAAAAAATGTTTGCAATAATCATCTTTATCTATTTGATAAAATTAAAAATAGGTAATAAAAAGTCTTAGAGCAAAATGCCTTTTCAAAAATTTGAAGAAAAAGGAATGTATTAAATGAATTTATTTTTTCAAAAAAAAAATTTCAACTATCTCATAATTTGAAAAAATCTATAATTTTTTGAAATCATCTAAATAATATAAAATATATGCATAAAACTACTCAACAAACTGTATTACTTTTATCCAAAAGTATAAATTTATTTATTGTCTCTCCTCACTCACATACCCTTTATTTAGGCTGGATAATGAATCAAATTATATATTGTTTACACTAAAAATTTTAGGTTTAGTCGTAATATCTCTTAGATGTTCAAATGAAGTTTCTTTAACATATCAATTTCCTTAATTTGTGTTAATAAATGCAGATCAAATTGCATGTAGAGAAAAGAACCAATTAAATTTACTTTAATTTGATGAAGAAAACCTATTAGAGTTATTTAAATATGAAATGATTTTTTTTCCTATTTAATTGCTAAAGTAATTTCAAAAAATAATTACTTATAGATAGGAACCATTACCAGAATAATATAAAAATATAATAGCTTTTCAAACAATTAACAGATAGAATCTCTTAAAATCTTAAATAAAAAGGTATTGATCTGTTAATTTTTCAAAGAGCGCTAAAATTTAATTCAGCCATTACAAAATTTTTCTAAAGGAATTTTAAAATTCTAAGAAAAAGTGATACCACTTTTTCTTGTTTTTATTTATTCATATTATTAAATAAATTAATATAATGAATTTTAGTATACATTAATTATAATAGTTGTTTGAGGATAAAGAGAAAAGTGAACCACATACACCAATTTTTAATGGAAAAACAGGTTCTTTAGATAAATTGGATTTTCTTATCTCATAAATTGAAGAAATAAGATTAGAAAATATCTAATTTCAAAATTAAATCTAAATTTATTAGAATGAATTAAATTCAAAATTAAGTATTTATTTGTTACATAATAAAGAGAATAATGATGTCATAAATACTTAAATCAAAGAAATTGAAAAATAAATATAAAATGAAATTATTCAAAATAAATTATTAACATTTAATTACATATAAAAACATGAGGATTGTTTTGAGATAAAAAAATAAATCATTAATAATAATAGACAAGATTAAATAGTTTCAATACCAGACCTTAACAATCCCAATCGCCCCTCTGATTGCTCTACAGCTCCTAGTCCTGGAATGAAAGTATAAATCATGAGAGCTACTAAAAAAGTTTCTAGTGTCATTTTTAGTGACTTTTGATTAAGATCTATATATATTTGAAGAGAGAATGAGTAGAATAATTAAATATTAATAATTTATAAAATAATGAGTTTTAGTCATGAATAGTTGATGAAGATATTAAATAATGAATCCTTTCAATTATCAGAACCGACAACACCATAAGTTTAACCAAAAGAAGATGAGACATAATTATTATAGAAATAACTATTGGAATTAATATAACAAAACTCATAATTTAATAATTAACTAACTTAAATTAAGGATTAGATAATGAAATAAGATAGTAAAATATATTGATAACTTAGTGATATATTAAAATTTGGAAAAAACAAAATAAAGATTAGAGAACCAATTAAAAGAATAAATATAAAAAAATTAAAAATTATAAGAAGAATGTGATTAAAAAGATTAGGAAGAAAAAGAATTAAAATAATAAGTATTAATAACAAGACCTAAAAAAAGATTGTTTACTTAATAAAGTGTTGGCAAGGTAGTAAATTATAATATGACATATAAAAATAATTAAAAGAAAAATTCAGTTATTGTGTCAATAAAAAAGTGATTAAATAAAGATCATAAATTTTGAAATATACATTTTATTATGATTTCTGTATTTGGCAATGATAATCCCATTAAACATTTATTTTAAATAATCCATTTACTTGCTTATTCTATAAATTCTGGGAATTCAACTTAATCTTAATCTAGCTGCTTATTCGTATCTAGATTAGTGCTACTGGTTTGGGAAGAATTATCTTAAAAAGAGTTGTTTTTGTTTGGTTCATTTTCAAGCTAAATTTTTTTACTCTTTTAATAATCTAATTAAGCTTGATAGACAGTGCAATAAGAATAAGATATCTAAAGATTTAATATAATTAATTACTATAGTAATCCATTTATTGTCCTTATTTTCATCGTACCTTAAATTATTAGGTAATTATTCTTAAAATATTTATTTACTTAACCCTAGTTAGTTTAAATATTCATCAGAATATTCCCAATGTCCATTTTCTTCTTTAAATTAGATCAATTCAAATAAGTTTTAAAATCTTTATTCACTCATATATTCTAAGATCATTGATGAGGAGGCTCCACCTAAAAGACCTCCTATAAATCCACCTATTAAAGCTCCAAATATTGGAACTGGTATTAAAGCTTGACCTATTAAAGCTCCACTTATTCCTGAACCAACATTTGTTGTAGTTGAAATTAATAATTTATTTAATTAAGTATTCTTGCTTTTCTAAGATGAAGATTCATTTGAGTAAATTTTTGCTGTAAAATATCCAAATGCTCCCAATGCAAATAATTAACCAATTACTGGCATTTAAGTAGCCATATATGTAAGAGACCCACTAACAACAGCAGTTTAACCAAAATCAACCAAAAATTCTTTTCGAGAGTTATATTTATTTATATTTGCTAAACAATTGCCTAAAGATGCTCCAATATCACCTGCTGCACTTGAAAAATGAGTATTAAATGTTTCACCTTATAGACCATTGATTTTAATGGATTCAGAAAATGCACTCTATATTTCTGCTGTAGACTCATTGAATGTAATAAATTGCATTCTTTCTTCACTAAGATCAAAATCTTCATGTATATTATTAACACTTTATTAAAAATTTAAAGAATCGAATGCTTATTAGATTGAACTATATTCATTTTTGGATTCTTCTTTTTTTTTGAGTAATTATTCTGGGGTTAATCCTTCTAAGGCTTCAACAAACATCCATCTATTTTATACAAGTTTTGCATTAGTAATTACAATTTTATCTATAGGTTTATGGATTATGAACCTTTATTTAGATCCATCCTCACAATCAATATCCAAAAGTATTCCAGATCTCTAATTTCTTTTGGAGACAATTTTATGTGTTACAACTTTTTTATTTTTACTAGTTATTTTAGTAATAGCTTATTCGATAGCTTCTAATTCATCATTATTTTCTTTGACATATTTCAACACAGAATTTTAAAATGGAGTAAATACTAATATATATTTATATATTTACAATCTTCATCATGTCTATTAATGTATAAGTTCATTAAGTCAAAATAATTGATTACTAAGCGAGCAAACTCTTCTTTAGAATCATGACTTGATAAATGAAAAATTGTGAAATCTTAGTAATTTTCAACTAAGTCATATGCTCTAACTGATAATTCCTAAAATAAACCCATTAGTAAATATTTATTGCATAAATTACATTTGTTAGTAACATTTACAAACTCATTTGTTATTGTTTTTAATGAGTTAGAACAGTCATTAAAAATTTATACAACAATCTTATTTAACTAAAGAATAAGATCTTGATAATTCAATTGTTCGATAATCATATAATATAATAATCCTTTAGCAGTTCCAAGAACATTTATTAAATAAGCAATAACCTTTTTTTCTATTATACTATTGAACCAATTTAAATTTATATTGTCATCAAGGATGTCTTACCTAAATTCTCTATATATATGAATACATCTCAACATAGGTAAAGAAATCCTATTTGAAAAACATAGTATAGATATCTTATATTTAAGTTAGGGCATATAAAAAAACTTGAAGATCTAAAAGTAGCTATGATTTTAAAATTGGATTTAATTCGGTATTTTTAAGGTTTTCCTCAATTTATTGAGTTATAAATAATTTTTTAGGTACCATATCTCTTTTAATTGATAAAATGTATAGTTTTATTGTCAATTGGAACTTTTCTTTAATTATTGCCAATATTTCATTAAATTCTTTCGAAACTTCAGTATCGTTAGGATGCATTTTATTATATATCAAATAATTAGGCAGAAGAGTATCTATTCTAACTTTAGGATTGGCAATAAATTATTCTAAAAAAGTCGATATCATTTTAAATAATATAAAATTATTTTTAATTTATAATGATAGGAAGGAGTCTTAACTTCTCACTTTTTTTTTATGTATTTCTATTTTTGTAAATTTTCAGTTAATTTTTTGTTAAGTAACACTATTTTACTTTCTTAATCTAACAAAAATTTATATATTTTTTTTTTAATTAACTCAGTTTATTAACAAAATTTGATCCAATAATATATCATTAAATAATGTTTACTCAGTTTTCTAATGATTAATGTATTTGCACAAAATACTACGCTCTGATAGTATAGATTCTTCATCTTTTTGTGTTTCAAAATTATAATCATGCTTAATCACAGTATTTTCTTCAAATATTAGTATTTTGCATGCTTTGCTATACTATAATTTTGGTTCTAATTGTTATTTAATTATGTGATAGATTACTTTATCGTGATACATCTTAATTAAAAAGTTTTAATGATAGTATTAAAATTTTGTAATCAAGATAAATTTCATAATGAGAATCAATTCCGATAATCATTTCCAACTATCTTTTGTTAGGTAGGGAAAGAGAAGAGAATTTGATAGTTAAGGATTATTTGATTTAATTTATAATTCTATAACATCTAATTGTAAATTGAAATATTAAAACATGACGATGTAATTTAATAATATTTAAAAAAGAAATAATGAAATCCTTCAAAATATATTTAGTAGGAGAATCTGATAGTGGAAAATCATCAATACTTAGTGTTTTATAGAATAAGCCATTTAACTATAACATAGCTTAAACAATAGGTGTTGATTATTGTAGATATAAAAGAAAATAATTCATCTTTGAGATTTATGATACTAGTGGTTTGGCTCAATTTCAATAATCAACTGTAAATAGCATGAAAAATGCTAACTTAATTATTCTTTGCTTCGACATCTCTTCAAAAGAGGCTTTTCAACATATAGAAAAATGGTTGAATATTATTTAAAAGTCTACAAAAGTAATTCCAATTGTCCTAGTTGGTAACAAAATAGATAAATCACTATAAAAGAAAAATGAATAGATTAAAGGATTGATACAAAATTATATTTTGCATTATACTTCAGCACTTAATCCTAAAAGCGTAAAAGATATGTTTACAAACATTTTTCAAGATATTATAAATTCAGACGAAAACTTGAATAAAACATTAATAAGACCTTAGAAATAAGATTAAAAAGAGAATAAATGGTTTTGCTTTTGCTGATGCTAAATTAATAAAAATTTAATTCTTTAACTTTGAATATATAGTTTAAAAATATATTTTAATTTTATTTTAAAGATCTAATATTAATTTGAAAATGAAATGATTTTAATAGCTTAACAATAAAGATATCATATATGATAAAAGATTACTATTATTTATTCTGTTTAAGATATAATTAGATAGAGATAATGTTATTTATCTTCAATAAAGAGAAAATTAGTAAAATAATCTCATATCAAAGATGTAAATTGATTCCAAAATTATTATCTTTATTATTATTTGCTGTCTTTCAATTATATTATTATTGGATGTCCATAATCCATATTTCCTAAGGTTTGATGGAAAATTATGGCTACTTCATCTTTATTCAATTGTTTAATTGATATTCTGAAAATGCATTTATAAAAGTTGATTACTCTATTGATAATGGAGAGTTATTAATATTATGATGGTATTTCTTTTTGAACATCTTTGATAAGGTTAAAAAGTTATTTATTGTAAGCTTAAATTTGATTCAATTTAATTTGAAAATAATTATCAGATTCTATTTCTTCTATTAACTTTGACGTTAAATTAAAATATTCTTGATTTTAGCTTTATAAAATTGATTGATTTTAGTCCCTAAATGCTTTGCTCAATAATTTGATTTCATTGTTTTATTGAAGTTGCTAATCTTTAAGTTATTATGTCTAATGTTTAACAAGATTAAGCATAGTTTCGATAGTTTGTTTTTCTTCAGTGATAGCAAATGGCGCAGGCGATTTATTATTTTACTTCATATTTAAATTTAAATTAATTTTTATGTAATTTATATGTTATCATTAATCATTATAATATTCATTTTAGATTCTTTTTTCTTTCTTTGCCTTCAAATTTGAGACTCTTTATGCAATATATTTCAAATCAATAATGCTTTTAGAATGTATTTTATCAAGTTCTTTCAATTCATCTATAATATCCTTAATGACAAGCTATCTATATTTTTAAACACTTTCAACAGATTTAGTATACTAATCCAAATATTAATCATAAAGATTGACTTTGTCTTAGGCTCCGCTATTTATTAAATCATCAAGATTGGCTTAATACTCATTCATCTTTTGTAATCGAGTTTGTAAATCCTATAGAAATTAGTTGTGATTTAAATTGTACCTTATAATTTTTGGTGTAATTTATTAAATATTGAGGAGGAGCAAATTAAGTTTTTATTTTGTCTTTGCTTAATTTATTTGGATCAATAGTTTCAATCATAATTGAAATATCTGATTTAGAGAATATTTGTTTTTCTTCCCATTATTTTAGAAGATCTTTGATTTATTATTTCAAGTCTTATGAAGAGTTGTGATCTTTGAGTAAAGTGAAGGCTTTGATAATTTGTTTTTTGAAAGCATCCCTCATAGTAGCATCTAATAAGTAAAATATAATTTATGTACATGCTCCCTCAAATTTTATTACAGATTCAATTACTCTTTATGCCATTTAAAGTAATGATATTATTACTTTATCTCCATCTACATTCCCTTTAGCAAAATGGAAATGATTGCACCACTCTTCACATAAAGATTACTAAGATTTCTAATCATTACTATGTCTAATGTAGAAACGGGCAGCTTCATCAATATGGGATTACGATAAATGAATGTTGTTTAGGAGTTGACTGAGTGAAACAATACTTATTTCGTTCATCTTTTATGTCTTTAATGTTATTGAAGTGTATAAATTTATTAATACAAATTTTATATGTAGTGAAAATAATTATAGGAAAATATATTTTATTAATATAATCAAATAACAGATAAATTTTATTAAAAAATAACCATACATTTGTTTTCCAATGAATGATTAAACACCAATAAAGGAGATTGATCTTAATAAACAATCATGGACTAGTCCTAAAGACAAAAGCGATCGAGTATATATTCATAACAATATGAAAAGTTCATCCCACGCAATGTTCAATCTAATCTCTATCAATTATTTATGAGTGAAGAGAATTCTCAAGGCAATACTTATAATAATCTTCTCTAATCTTCAATATTGGGAAAATCACCAGCTATAAATTAAAAGCTTTTTAATTACAAAACAGAAAATAAACAAAATGAAATGAATAAGATTATTAATAATGGATTAAATTTCTCTACTACTCCAACAAAAGTGGAACCTGAAAAACCTCTACGTAAAATTAATAAGAGACCATACAAAATACTAGAGGCTGAAAATTTATAAGATGATTTTTACCTCAATCTTTTAGATTGGTCACCATTTAATGCATTAGCAGTAGGACTTGAAAATTCAGTTCTGATATGGTCAGGACATACTTCAAAGGTTTCTCGGTTATGTACACTTGAAGATCCTGACATGGTATGTAGTGTAGCATGGTCTCAACGCAATCAACATCTCTCTGTTGGAAATACAATGGGTGATGTTGATGTCTGGGATGTAGTAAAATAAAAAGTTATTAGAAAATGGAGTGGACATTAAGGTAGAATTGGATCATTAGCATGGAATAATTATTTATTAGCTACTGGAAGTAGAGATAGAAACATATTAGTTAGAGATGTTAGATGTCCTAATGAATCTATTTAGAAATATGTTGGACACAAGTAAGAAATTTGTGGATTAAAATGGTCATTTGATGAACAACAATTAGCATCAGGAGGAAATGATAATAAGTTATTTATTTGGTCTTTGAAGAACTAAGGAGAATTAACTCATTTTTCACAACATTAAGCAGCTGTTAAAGCAATTGGTTGGTCACCTCATTAACACAATATTGTTGCTTCTGGTGGAGGTACTGCAGACAGATGCATTCGATTCTTTAATACTTAAACTATAGAATAAGTGGAATGTATAGATACTGGTTCTCAAGTTTGTAATTTAATGTTTTCTAAAAACTCAAATGAATTAGTTTCAACTCATGGCTATTCCTTAAATTAAATAATTGTTTGGAATTATGCTAATATGTCGAAAGTTGCTACATTAACCGGTCATACTTAAAGAGTTTTATATTTAAGTGGTTCACCTTGTGGATAAAATATTGTTACTGGAGCAGGTGATGAAAGCCTTCGTTTTTGGAGTGTATTCCCATCATCTACTTCAAAAAATAATCATGGGATTACTAGAGCAGAAACAATTGACTTAAGATGATTGATTTTAACTTGAATACTACTATTATATTTATTAATTCATTATATTATTCTATATGTCTATCAAAGTAGCTACGAGAGTCAGACCATTCAATGATCATGAAATTTAAAAAAATCAACCATTGTGTATTGCTATGAATGGTAACAAGACTATCCTATTTGGTATAAGTGACTTATCAATTAAGATTCTGATAAAGAAAAAGTTTTTCATTTTGATTATTCTTTTTGGTCTCATGATAAATTTGAAGTTGATGAGAAAGGTTATCGTAAACCACTTCCAAATTCAGGATATGCTGATTAAAATATGATATTTAATACTGTCAGAAAGGATACAATAAATCAACTGTTTTAAGGATAGAATTGTTGCATTTTAACTTTTGGATAATAAAAAGTATTAACTAAGATTATCTTTTTTAAGTCTGGCAGATCTTATACTTTATCAGGAAGTGATGATAATTAAGGATTGATTCATAATTTTGTGCAAGGAATTTTTTAGTAATTATCTTAAAGTTAAACAATTAATACAAGTAATGACTAACTATTTATTATTTAATAGAATATGAAGTTTACACCAGTATGCTATTTATCTCTAATGAAAATGTTTATGATTAACTTTCTCCAACAAATTTCTAATAACTAAAAGTTAGAGAAAATGCACTTTAAGGAGTTTATGTTGAAAATCTAATTGAAGAATAGTTTGATTCACCTGAAAGCTTTGAATAAATTAGAAAAAAAGGTTTAAATTCCATTTTAAAATATTAAACAATGATGAGTATTCTGTAATTTTGTTGTATTTATAGTTATTAGTCTTACACATATACATACAATCTTCCAAATATAAATTAAAGAAACTAAAATGTTAGATGATTAATTAATAGAGAATTTTAGAAGGATAAATTTTGGAGATCTTGCTTGCTTAGATAAATCAATTAAGATTAACAACTCTAGTGGATATTAATCCATAAGTAATTAAATTTTCTAAAATAGGTGTGAATATTGGAAAATCACTATCAACATTGGGGGAGGTTATTTGTAAAATATTAATGTAATCTCAATAATAAGATCAAAAGATTTATCCACCTTACAGAAATTCTAAATTAACCAGGATTTTACAACAGACTTTGAATTTAAAATCGAATATAATTCTAATTTTAACAATTAGCCCAGCCATTAATGCTTTTGAACAAACATTAGGTAACCTTCGGTTTGCATATCAATTTATGAAAATTAAGAATAATGATGGCTGTAAGTAAAAGATAGCAGAGAATAATTAATTTCTAAATTAAAATGAAGCAGAAACCCAAATTTAAACATAAACAAAAATAGTTTAAAGCAATATCAAATAATAAATTGAAAATAAATAAGATTGCGAAATATATTAAAATACATAATTTATTGAAAAATTTAATAAATCAGAGGAAATGTATAGTAATAATGATATTCAGTATAAAGCAGTGATTTCGCAAAGAGATGGAATTATTGAATTGAAACCTTTTTCTCAGGAATCTTGTGAAAATATTTTTGTAAATAATCAACAAATAAAAGAATTAACAAAATTGTCTCACAATGATAGGATTACTTTTGGAAAATCAACTACTCTATTAGTATAATATTTTGGATAAGAGAAAATACAATCTGATTCAAATATAATCTTTGTAGAGAAGGATACAACAAAAACATCTGAAAATAATCCAATCATTGAAGATGTTAATAAAAGTATAGATTTTGAACAATAATTAAATTAATGAAATTATAATAATTAAACTTTTAATTAAGATTTTCATAATTTAGAAATATATAATTTTATTTAAATATCATATTATAGTCATTTAAAGATATGAGTTTACTCATTTTCACTTAATTTATCTTGTCTAAATTATGATTTGTAAATATCTTCTTCAATATTATAATTCCTCTCTCATTAAACTAATTCGATATTTTTAATATGAAATAGTATGTTTCCTGTTTCCAAAGAGTGTGAGATATTGTATTGAGATTTGATATTCACAATATTATTCTTAATAATAAATAAATTTTATTCTGACTTATTAAGTTAAAGATAATTATTATCTACTCTATAATTGTTAGATCTTTAAAATTACATTTAATTTATTTAATAAAATAAAATGGAAACATCCATTCATTGTTAATTGCACTAAGAATATTAAGTGTAATACATTTTCCTTAATCAGAATAATATAAAATTTGGTTGTATTGAGTGTATATCAGATTTGTAAGATGAAAATCATAATGCAAATATTTTCAAAAATATTTTTCTATTGCATGATGTAATATCAACCATAAAATTTTTAGATATAAAGCAGTCCTTAAAAATTATTAACATAGATTTCAAATATTGATGACTAAAACCTGTAGTTTTATAGTTGCTTACATAAGAAAACAGAGACAATAATAATGTAAACTTTCTAAAATTGGGAAAACAATATGAGGAATTTTCAAAAAAAGATAGATAACATCATTCTTCAATAAAAAGAATTTGTGGAACAACTTCTTATCAACTATAAAAATACAATTAAATAACTCTAGCAGGTAAGAATACATTAACTTAGGAAATAAAATTCGAAGAATTCTAAAACCTAATTAAAGAATTTGGAACTGCTAATGAAAAACTTCAAAATGATGTTTTAGAATAAATTTCGCATAAGATTACTTAACATTTTGAAAGTTTAGATAAAAACAATGCAAAAGAATTAAATGAATCTTTAAAAAGAATAAAATAAGAGTATATAAATCAAGCAGAAAAGTATATTTGTATGAATAATATAGTTTAAATCAGCCTGATATTTAAGAATTGTAAACTTCGTTCTAATAACTGATTAAATCAACAAATGATTTATATTCATAAATGGGAAAGTCTTTCAATTATATAACTTAAATGAATTCCTCATTAATTCCTAACAGTTACTCAAAATATTTATTAGGACTTATTAAAAACAAATTAAATTAGGATATCAAATAAATAAAACTTCTATATTTAGGATCAAGAGATGGACTTAATGGTCAATCTTTATGGAACAAAATTGATGGAAAAAAGCATTTAATATATATTTTTAAATCAAAAAATCCAGGAAATAATATTTTTGGGTCATACATCTCTTGCAAAGTAAACTAAGATTTAAATAATTGGTAATCTGATGAATCTTTGAGTTCATTTATTTTTTCTTATACTCACAATGAGATATATCCTTTAAAATAGTCTTAAAAATAGCATGCTATTCTCTGTTAACCGATAAGCTATGCTGTTTGGATTGGAATGAGTGGAAATATTGGAATTTGTAATGATTTTATTAATGGATAATCTTATTTAGGTTCTTCATATGAATGGGATAAATTTGAAAACCAAAGAAGTTCCCATTTATTTGGAGGAGATTCTCCAAATATTGAAGAATGTGAAGTTTATGAATTATAAATTTGAACATAAATTAAATATATTTAAATTATGTTTATTTTCTTAAGTATGAAAAAAATGGATATAAACATAATTAAAAAACTCAACTAATATAACACTTTTGATTATAAAAAAAGTAATTAGATTGATAATTAATATAATAAATCTAAAGTGATAAATAAATCTATATAGCTTATTTTAAGTAGTCATCAAATCATATTAAAATTTCAATCATAATTTCTAACAAACCTTTTCTAAATAAGCTCTTTCTGCAAGTTCAGTGGATATTTCAGTTTTAAGTTTCTAAATTTCATCTCGTTAATGAGAATTTTCCTTTAATTATTATTAAAGTAAGAGTCTTTTATTGCTAATCCTATTAATAATGAAATACTTTTGTTAAAGATTTGCCAATGTTTATTCCATTTATTATATGTACATTTTTAAAGTTCTGTTTTCTTCTTAGGTATCATATCCTCTTTTGAAAGGACTTTTAGATTATCTCTTATTTTGCATAGGTTATGTATAGACTCTGAAACATGGTTAATTTACTCTAATGATTGGCTAAGTTTATTATGCTCTTTATATGAATGAATTTGCTGGACCAAAACTAAATGTTTATTAGCTTATTGTAGGTTGTTATGATAATCTCATAAAGCTGTTATTAATTTTTATTGTGTAATTATTTGAAATATTTAGAAAGAAATTATTCATATTCGATTTCATCAAATATTATAATATAATTATGACAGAATAATCTTTAGACTTTGATTACATGTTTAAATTTGTCATAATAGGAGATTCATGTAATTAAGTAAATTAACTTTAGCTGTTGGAAAATCATGCATTCTCAGTAGAATAAATGGAAACTCTTTTAAAGATAACCATGAAGTTACATTGGGTGTTGATATAGCTACTAAAATATTAAAAGTATAGGGGAAAATAATAAAGGCAAGGATTTGGGACACTGCTGGATAAGAAAATTTTAGATCTATTACAAGATCATATTATAGAGGGTGAGTAATTTAATAAAATATAGAGCTATTGGAATAATGTTAGTATTTGATATGAAGAATAGAGAATCTTTTGAAAATATTAAGAGTTGGCAATAAGAGATCAATTAATATGCAAATGAGAAAATTAAAATAATATTAATTGCAAATAAGTCAGATCTAATGAATAAAAGGTAAACTATATCAATATTAAGGGAAGTAACTACTGAGGAAGGATAATAATTAGCAAAAAAGATTGGAAGTTAATATATTGAAACCTCTGCTTTAAATGGTAAAAATATAGAAGAAACTTTATAATTATTATCATAATCCATATTAAAATTGATTCAAGAGAATCATATTGATTTGACTAATAAAAATTGTGGTGTTTTGCTTCCAAACAAAACTGAAACCCCTAATGAAGCAATTTCTTAAGATAGATGTAAATGCTGAGTTCTAAGAAGTTGAGTCTGAAAATTTTAGATTATGGTTTAATTAAAGCACGTTATATCCAAGTTTAAATATAATTAAATCTCCGGCATCCTTCCTAAATTTTATATAAAAATATTCCTAAATCAATAATCTCTTAATAAAATTCTCTCTAAAAAATAGTATATGACAAAAAATTATAGTTATATATCATAAGAGTAGAAGATTAAGTTATTAATGATTTAATATCTTTAAATGAAATATTATTTCATTTTGTATAAAGTAACAACCAATTACAGCATTAACTATCATAGTATTTAATATATATTTTCATCTTTGGATTCATATTTAACTATGATTAGATATAATAAATATATTAAATTAATGATCATTACGCATTTATTTAATCAATAACTGATAAAATATATGAGTTAAAGAAATAATCAAACTAATTTATATTAATTTTTGGTATCACGTTATCATCAATTTCTATGCTTTCTTAAGCGTTAGATTTCATTTCAGAGAATTTATGGAAGTATCTTTTATCTCTATCATCAAGAGAAAATAGAAAATTCACATATGATTTCAATATTGTCGAGTTATTAATTTCATTTTTTTCTATTTATAGAATTTCAATCTTTTGAAAAAAATTCTGTAATAGATTTATTTCATGTAGATTACATATTCTATTATGTTGCAAAGTCAATTTAGTAATTTTATTAAAATTAAAGAGATTACAATTATCCAAATTTTCTAATTCATAATATTTTAGAACCAAACTATCAACCTCGATTTAATCAATATTTTTAGGATTTCCATATACAATTAAACATTTTGAAAGTATAAAATATTTACTGACACATATTTCAATAGGTTCTTTATGGTTAAATTGCTTTTTGATTAACCTAATTTTCTCTATTTCATTTTGATTAAATAAATCTGATTTTGTCTTTTTATTTAACTTTTTTATAAAAGAAAAATCAGGAACAAAATTTATTTATGCTTATTTCACAGAAAATTAATTAATATGCCTTTCCCTTTTACCTTATTAACTAATTTCAGTTCTATAATTATTACTATATTCCCCTGAATTCTTCTTGATAATCTTTTATATTAGCTATTAATTAAAAGTATAGCCTTATTTAGCTTAAGAAGTAGATGGAAATGGAGTCTGTTCGCTAAAATCAATAATGTTTAATTTTTGTTCTTTTGCAATTAATGCATCTGAGGTATCTAGCTTTAAGCTTTTTTATGTTTCCACAGATTTGCATCTAAGTTTGGCTGGCTGCATTTATCCAGTCAAATCATTTAGATATTCTAAATAATTTTCATATTGAATAAATCTTGAAAAAGGATTGCCTTAGACATAAATTTATCTTATCTTTGGTATTTTTGCTAATTATGATGATTCAAATGCTTTTATTATTTAATTATTCTATAAGGACAGAATTTATAATTACTCTAAGTAAGGGATTTCTGTGAAGTAAGTAATCTAAATCAATTAAAAATATACTTTATTCTCATCTAAATATACCTTCTATAAATTATACAATCCATATAAATTGACAGAAGAAATATTATTCTTCTATAAATTGAGAACTTTTAAATTATATAGATTCTATAGATCTACTCTTTCTATCATATTAATTTTAGCATCTAGAATTTTTAAGCATTGTGGTAAATTCTTAATTTCTTTTACTTTATTATAGGATATCATTAGAACTTAAATATTTAATTAATTAATCTCTGTTATTTCTTTTATTTAGTTAGCTGATAAATCAATATAATTTAAATTTTTGTATTCTAACAAACCTTTCATTGATGATATTTAATTATTCTTTAATACTAGCATTCTAAAAAATAACTCTTAAATACTCTTTATTTAAGTTTTCTTATATTATAGGAATCGAATGTAATTACTATTAGGATTCAACATTATTATTTATCTATTCTTTTTCAAAATGCTTGACTTTGACTGGTCTTCTTTTAGTAGAATCTGCTCTAATCATCATTTAAGACAAAGCAACAATTTACTGTTGAGTTGGTGTTTTGATCTATAATCTTGATGGTGTTTTCCATCTAAAGTTTGATCTAGTCTGCATTAATTAAAAATTAATATTATTTTTAAGTTAAAAATATTATATAAAATCAATTGTTCTCTTTGAATTCTAATTATATTTTATTGATATAAACTTTCTATTTAATCAATATCCATTCAAGTTTTATAATATATATCTAATTATTTAAAAGAATTAGTGATATTTATAAATAAAAAAAAGAATGATTATATTACCATAATATCTACTTTATAATCACAATAATTCAAAAAATTTATGTTTAATAAGAATTTAATTTGTTAGACAGATATTTAAGGTAATAAGAATTAAAGAATTCATATTTTCTTAAATAATCAAAAATGAATGGTATAGACAATTATTATATATCGAAGAAACATATTCTTTAATTTTAAGCCTTATTTATTTTATTTAGAAGTTGGAATGTGTTAAAAAAGGTATTAATTTATCAAATTTATGATATGTTTGATTTTTTAAATAAAAGATATATTAAATTCATAATTCATAAATTTTGGAGAAAAAAATTCATTATATTAATTTATAAAATTATTTGTTATTTATATAAACAAGAAATATGCAGATCAGCAATTAATTGTAATTAAGTTCGACTTTACAGTATTTATTACAGAATATTTAGATAATTACTTAAACAGTTCTACATTCCCTAGCTTTTATAGTTTTAGTTAAGTATATACAGCAATACTAGTTAATAACTTCGATTTGCAAACTAAAGTGCAAATTAAAATGACTAATTGATCATAAAAGAGGAATATTAGGAAGAAGCCTAAACAAATACAAAGAGTGCTTAAAGTATAAAAACAAAGTTTCAGACAAAAAAATAAGGGAATTCTTCAGTTTTACATAAATTAGAACATTCTTAGAAATATAATGATCAAGTGAAATCGAAAAAAGTAATAAAATGATTATAAATATTAATTTTTAAACTACTTTAATAAATGAATGAGCTATTTCGTGAAGACTTACTACGATTTATATATGAATAATTTCCTAACAGTAAAATAAATATGGCAATATTATATAATATATAATTGAACATATATGTAAATATATAATAAATAATAAATTTTATTTTTTAAAAAAGCATCTTAAAAAATAAAATTATTATTTGTTGGATTCTTTTTTTAAATCTTTCATATCGATGATATAAATTAGTTTAGAGAGTTAGGCTTATGCAATTACACAACCATTAAATCTTCTATCTCTCATTTTATTTGTGAATAATGAATGGAAAATCAAAATGATGGTTAAAAGATTATTTTATGGTTTGATAATAATACATAAGGGATTTACTTTAATAAATAATCAAGTTTGATAATAAATATATTTTGAAATTAGTGTCTTTCTAACTGTTTATTCATTTGAACAGAAACTACTTTATATAATTTATTAGATTATTTAAATCTTATGTTCAGATTATGATTGTATTTTGAATTGAACTAATTGGAATTAACATTAATAAAAATTTATACTTTTGAAATTAGGGAATAGCTAAATCACAAAAAATTAAAAATCAGATGTATTTAAATATTCATTAAAATAAGGCTAAATATAATTAGTAAAGGATGTTCAATTATTTAAAGTTTTATCATTAGAATTGATAAGATTAAAATGATTCATCAATTAGAATGCCTACTATAAATAGTAGAAAGAGATCCTGGATTTAAATTAATCAAATGGAAATTTATGAATATTGGAATTAGCTTATGATTTTAATAATAAATATTGTAATTATTGATATAATTTAAATAAATAAATGGATTCTGAAGATTTGCTTGAAAAATTATTAGAAGCATTTTATGATGAGAAAATAGAGCCTAAAAAGGAAGCAGCAAAGAAAATTCTTGGGTTGGCTGCTCGATAAGAAAATCTAGAATTATTGATTTCTCATGGTATTTATTTATAATAATTCAATTTAGAATAATTCCTATCAACAATATCTAGAACTTTGAGAGATGAACATAAAAAATCAACAGAACTTACTCTCTATTTATTATGTGTTTTTTACATTGTGTCAAACTATTTAGAGTTTCATTAAATATTATCTGAGCATTAAATAGGAGATATAACAATGAAAATAATAGAATCATAAATTTAGAGATTTGATTTGAGATATGCAGAATTGATGGAAAAATAAGGTTAACCTTAGCAATTATAGGAATTAAGAAAATTAAATCTGATGATAGCAAAATAAGAGAAGTTATTTTATGTAGGATTTACTATTTTGATGAATATGGCTGAAGATCCCATTATAGAGAATAAGATGAGGAAACGAAAGATTATAACATTTTTACTTAGAATGTTAGAAAGAAATAATTTCTATTTATTAATAGTGACATTATTGTTTTTAAAAAAATTGAGTATTGTAAATGAATGTAAAATGTAAATGGTTGAAGAGAATTGCATTAGAAAGTTAAAGAGATTCTTTAGTGCTGATAATAATGTATTGTTACAATTAAGTTTAGGTAAATTATAGATATGAATATAATAATAGGTGTTCTTAAAAATTTAAGTTTTGACTCTGAAGCTCGATTATAAATTGAATAAAATGGATTTATTCCAGATATTGTAAAGATGTTGAAAATACCAAATTATCGATTTGTATCAATAGTTTTGTTGTATTTACTTACTTTAGATGATAAAATCAGATTAACATTTGGTTTTACTGAATGTATGACTTTGGTTGTAAAATTAATGCTTCATTTCCCTGAACCTGTAATTGGAAAAGAATTAATATCTTTAGCTGTTAATTTATCAACAAGTTCAAGAAATGTTGATCATATTACAGAGCAAGAATTTTAATAAATAGTTTAGAGAGCTATAACAAATTCAGATACTTTGTTATTTAGATTTGTTAAAGGAGTAATTGAAAACTCTACAAATCCAGAAGTGTAGACATGTGCAAAAGGATTTGTGAGACATTTTATGAAATTATTAGTTACATAAGGAAAAGAAGAAGATATTAAATTTGAAATCATAGGGATTATGAGTGCATTAGATTTATAAGAAAATTGGATTAAATTATTAAATGAACCATTTATTGAATTTTTACATAATAATTTAGCTGTTGGAATGGTTGATGATGATATTGTATTAGAAACAATGATGTTGGTATCATCTATAGCATCTTCATAAAATTCAGCTGAAAAATTATTTAAGAGTAGAATACTAAATGCTTTGTCTTAAGTTTATTGTGAAAAAGGAGATGATGATGAATTTGTTGTACAATATTTGTATTGTTTAAACTAATTTCTGTTTCATAAAATAGGAATATCATAAATATTGGAATAGTAAAAATATTCATATTTTGAGGGATGAAATCTTAATTTAGATTATATAATAATTAAATGATAAAAACAAAAAAGTTAAGTAGATGTCAGAAGAAGTCTTAGATATATTAAGAGAATATGATTAGGAATTATGTGAAAAAATTAAAGAAATCAAATTTGGTGAATATAATTAATTATGGATTGAGCATCTAAATGAATAAGAGCTCATGTATATACTTAATTCAAAAAAATAGGTTATAAGATGGAGCTGATATGGCATTTGAAGATGAATATGGCGGTAATGAATTAGATCCAAAAATGTGGGATTCAGACAATGATTGATTATTTTATTATAATCAATAAAATAGACTTAAAAAGTTATTTTCAAATCATTTTTTTTTTCAAATCCATAAAATACTCTATATAAATTATTTTCAAATCCTTCAAAGGATAATAATAAATATAATGAATTTACAGAATAAATAGTCTGATTAGAAGTGTGTCATCTGTCTAAACATAGCTTCCAACTAAGTAAGATATTTTGTTTTTAAATATATTAGGTAAATTTAGATTAATGCAATCATTTATTCTGTTTTGCATGTATTAATAAATGGTCTGAAAAAAGTCACTAATGTCCTTAATGTAGAGCTATGTTTTCTTGTTTTTATGAAATCAAAAATGATTCTAAAATAGAGTATATTCTATTTAATTCTAATAGTATAATAAGACATGAAGCACCGCAAATCATTAATAATACTTAAGATAAACTTATTATGGCTTTAGCTGATATCGATAATACTTACTATGACTTAATGTTATAATAAATTGATTTTATATGAATAATTATATATAATTATTAATAATTTTGAATGTATTGAGATTAAATATAATCATTCATTTAAATAAATACAAGCAACTATTTAATTAAATTTATTATGAAATAAATAAACTATTTTTTTATATATGAATAAGTAATCAATTTTATTTATTACTCAAAATATTTCTCAATTTTATTACGGATTAATCAACTTCACCAATATATAGAACTTGAATCATTTTGATATTTCTATAAGGATAACTTTTACTCTCTTCTACATATAAGCTTTCTAATGATTATTCTTCTCGAAGTACAAGATGAAGTTTATCATATAAGTTTTTTGCAATATCATTTGCTGTCCACCCAAAACCATATTTATATCCTTTGGATTGAATAAACTCTATCGAATCAGCATATATTCTGAGAGAATGTCTTGCTCCCATATATTTTGTAGAAAAAGCAAATGCACCTGTCACACAATATTCTCCATACTTTGGATGATACCTATCAAAAAAGTACTTCAAAGCCTTAAGCCTAACATATTATCTGACTTTATTGATTTATGGAACAATATCATAATTTTTTATTAGTTATTCTTATTCATTTAGTTTTAGATCATTGATATCAGTATAGGAAATAATTGCTACAATATTATATATGTTTTTCTCATATGATTATTTCTCATAGTATACTAAAATCCATTTATATGTATGTTTTATTAAAAAAGACTTAAATTCTTCATACATTTAAGCATATTCTATATTCAATGCTTTAAATAAATCATTTTTTTTCTAATAATTTGATAAATTGTACTGTATAAGCTTCTGCTAAAGTCTTTGCAATAAGTTCTGTGTTTTCACCATTGTACTCAGTTCTTATAAATGATAATTCTTCAAGTTAAGATTTCAAAACATTTTAATAAATATACATAATAAATTTATTATTCCATAAAGTAAATATATAAATCAAACTTCTAAGTCACTCATTTTATTTTTGATTTCTATAAAGTGTCCATAAGTCAATCTTACAGGACTGCCTTCTGCAATATGTTCTATTTTTGATTTTTATGCAAATTCATAAGGTTTATTAAATGTCTCTAAAGTCAATTGTGATAATTAAAAATATGTGACTAAGTAATCTAATAAAACAACATCTTTCTCCATATCAACTGGCAAACTTTTAGATAAATCATCAGATCCTAATTTTTTATCAATTTCCTTTTGTAATTCCTTAATTGCTTGACGTAATACAGAATTAAAGATGATGTAAAATGATTCAAATTCAGTGAAATTTTCATCAAAAACAGCATCAAACTTTTTATCTATTGATAATTCATTTTTATTCTATTATAATAAGGACCAAATATTCTTAAAATAAGATTAGTATTTAGTAAAATTTTATTAAATAGTAATTTATGTTTATTAAAACTAGTTTGAACTCTTATAAGTATCAAATCCTTAAATATCAAGAGAATTTGAATCCTAAAATAATATATTATTATTTACAATATCTTTAAGTTTATACATTTTGATCATAATATTTTTAATTGCAAAGAATAATAATTTATCTCTTAGCAAATCAGTTCTAAATAGATTAGTACTTTCAATTAAATTAGCAACTCTAAATAAATATTTGCAAAAATTGATTTAAGACATAATAGTATATTCAATATTAGAAGTATTACTTTTAATTTCAAAAGAACTAGTTTCAGCTAATAAATTAATAAATTAAAATACTTTATTTTGATTATTATCCTAATGGTTTAGTTATTTAAGTTGTATGTTTCTTTCCACTTCTATGAATAGAATCTCCAGGTAATTTTTTAGCACTATTTTCTTTACCTTCTTTTGGTTATTCTAATGTTTTTTATTTCATTAAAGCTGGTTATTTATTTACTTAGAATGCTAATTCAGGTCCTCTTATCCAAGGATGCTTTTCTAATTCATCTATTGATGCTCTTTCTTATTCATTTACAATTAAACAACGTTTAATAAATTCTTTGCATTCTTAACTAACCTTTGTTGATGATGGGAATGTTAATGGTACACTAACCATTTTTTATGCTAATTCCTTTTCACTTGTTGCTTACCAAGGAACTTATCCAAATATTATTTCAAATGCTGATACTCCTATAGCCCAAATATCAGATTTATCAGAATATTTATTATTTTTAAGAGCTTATGGACTCATATAAAGAGGACTACCAACATTAACATTAGGTAATAATGGAGGAGAATTAGGAGTTGTTGCAAATCCAAAGTCTGCTAATTTTGGAGTTCCACATGATGACAATAACACATTAGCAGGTTTTATATCTCTATGTATTATACCATTCTATTTCAATAATTTATAGGCTTTAACCAATCCAAATATAACATTTTGTGCTTGTTACTCTGGAAATTTACCAATCTTTGTTAATTTACTTCCCAAATCACCATTTTCACAAAACTCTGTAATTAAGTAAGTATTATTTTATGTTTGAAATACCTAAAGACTTAAAACTATATCATACTTTGTATAATTTCATTATATATTGACTATCTAAAGTACTAAGTGCCTCAATTTCGCTTTGTAATAAGGCATGATGCAAAGGTGTCTTCAGTAAGGCTTTGTCGATTACCTAAATAGACTTAATATTACCTTAATAGCTACTGTATCACCTGTGACTTCATTTTATCCTTTATAAACCTTACTGCTGAATCCTTTTCCAATTTATTAATGAAGTCCATATGAAAAGTTCTCTATCATCTTTTTAACATTCTAAGATGATCCATTAGTATAAGATGGATGTTATGAGTACATCTATTTCTAAGCCAAATACATTTATAATTTAACGAATTATTTTTATTATTAAAATTATATTTCACGCCAAATGTCACATAATAACCCAAAATTCTAATAAAAAAAAGGATTTTATAAATTCTATACTCTTCTTAAAAAAATTTTAACAGTTTCATAAATTACAAATTATTCATACATTTTACATTTTTACACTTCTTTTCATATTTAATAAAAAAACATTTAATTCACAGTTCATATGTATAATATTGAGTAAAATAATAATAGTTATATTTTAATGACAATCTAACATATTTTTATTCATGATTAATGTTATTATGAAAAATAAATTATGATATACTAATTACAAAGGTAATCATTAATTAAATGTGTTTGCTTTGTTTTAAGTTACAAAATAGATGCTCCATAAATAGTTGAGTATATTATTACTTAGTTTTTTTGCGAACATATGTTAATTTTATCTAAACAATTTAATTACCATTAATTTTCTCAAATATATATTAAATAGATTCCACATTTTTATGTAAAATGCAAAAGGATATTATCTTATTTAATAAATATATTGTGATTCTATTTAAATATTAGGAAAACAATATAAATATATTAGAAATACTTTTTAAATATAAAATTATAATTATTAAGGGATAGTTAATCTGAACATTTTTGTCTTTATATAATATAATTCAAATACTAATGAAAAGTTAAATTATATTATTTGTATTTTGAAATTATGAAATAAGTTTGAGGTAATATAAAAATGAATATAATTATTAAAACCAATTTTACGTAGAATTAGGATTATTATTTAATATCTATTAATTTTAATAACATTCAAATCTAATTTAATAAAATTTAAACTTTAATTTTCCTTTTATCATGGTCAATCTATAAAATCATTCCTTTAAGATTTTCAATATTTTTCAAATAGCTAAAGAGGTTATTTAAATAAATATTATAATTAATGAATTATAGTTTTAGAACAACAGATTTAGTAATATTCCTTCTAATCATTCAACTCTTAGGTCATTTGATTCTTCATTGGAATTCATACAACTGTGATATGTATGGAAACTTATAAATATGCCTTTGGATTGCTACTGTTTTATTGAGATAATTGCTTTAACATGCATAATTTAATAAATGGGCTTTATTTATGACTTTTTTAATAACTGGGGAATCAATTTCAATGAATGTAATAGCAATTTAATAAGATGAATGTTCTCAAAAGCCTACATTCATATTTTATTGCATTTTAGGATATATTTTAACTATTTCTTCATTATCAAAAATACTTGGTGTTAATAAGAAACCTGAAATATTAAAAGTAGTTGATACATCGAGTCTATGATTATAATAAATTTATATTTATATTGTTCATTGAATATTTCAACAAGGAGTAAATGGAGCTTCCCCTACTTTTTAATTGCACTCTGGACAATATTGAACAACATCTTTGCAAGGTTTACAACATAAGGGTATTAACCCTCCAATGAATGTCAATATACACCAGATACCACAACAAATTAATGTCCAAGTTCCTATTTTATGATCAATCATTGATTCTTAAACTTTTGAACATTTATTGCAGAAAAATTAAGAAGGTTCTCTATCATTATTTAAACTTGTTTTATAATTCTTCTGACCTTGGCTAATTGTTAAAGGGACGGATTCCTCAGCCATTTTATTTTATATTTAAGAATTTAATTATAATAATGATCATAAAAACGATATCAATGTTTTCTTCTAAAAGAAATTCAACTATAAAATTGAGCAAAAAATAATTTTTATATTCAAAATTAATTCAAATTATAAGCTACTATTGATTAAAATTGAAATAGCATATGAGAAAATCAGATTTTTATTTTATAGTTGAGCATTAAATATATATTCATAGTAAATAAGCATTATAAAAGTCGTCATTGAAATATATTATATGTCTGTACGATCTTATTATTATAATCAAATATGACAAATTTTATGAATTATTAAAAAGATTATTGGGAGCCATTTTTATAATTGAAGATTTTGAAAAATAAAGATTTACTCAAAAGTTCAAATTAATTGGCTAATACTGATTCGAATAAAAATAATGCCATATAATTTATATGTTATATTAAATTTTATGCATTTTATTATTAGAAGTTAAACTATTTGAGTGTGTAATATATAAATATATCAAATTGATGTTTATATTTTCAAAGCAATTTCACTTATAATGGAATAATCTGAAATCAAATTAATTTCTTTGGTATTAATATGCCAATAATTGATATAAGAATTGATTGATATTAACTCAATCAAAGATGAAGAAAAGAAACTGAAAATTAACAATAAAAATGAAATGAAGAAATGGAAAATTAAATATAGACATCCATTATCATGAATCTGGTATTTCATTAAATCTTGCAGCTGATCTTGACCCTAATTATTTTCTTGCTAATTCATTGTAATCATGCTACTGAATTTCTAATATAAATCTATTTATCACTTGGTCTATGTAATTATTTATAAGCTTGATTTCTCTAATCATCAGGTACCCAAAATTATTTATTGTATGTAGCTTATGCAGTCTATAATCTGTCCAACAGTTACTTAAATATAATCATATAATACCAAATTTTCTTATTATAGTTTTTCTATTTGTATTCTTTTGGTCATTTATTAAGATTTCGGTAATTGAGGCATAGATGTAATACTTTTATTTCCTTATTTTTAAATGTTAACCATCTTATTTAAAAGTATGTTATTTTCATAAACTATCTTGTTTTCTTCAGCTAAATTTCAATTAAATGAAACTTATACCATGTACATATTTATTATTCCATTTTGAAAGTGAATGAGATGGTCTCCAAGGTGCAGATGTATCTATTCTGCTTTTAGTATTTGTTATTTTCGATAGTAATTTTTCTTAATCATTTACTATTTTCTTTCTTTAACAGATAGGATTTATTGAAATAAGGTTCCACATAAATTTAATTAATTTTCAATAGTTAATGAAAATAATGCATTTGAATCAATTTAAAATCATAAATAAGTGACCCATTAAAAACCAAACATTTTAAATTACCTTCCACTATACTATTATCTTTTTATATTACATAACTTACTTTTATTCTTTATAAATATTTTAAAATATAAATGTTAGTTTTTAAAATATATACATTTAAATTACATAGATGTATATTAACAATTTACATAATCATTAGAAAATACTAAAGTTCTTTAATATCAATTAAAAAACATAATATAATAAATAAATAGTTCACTGTTTCATTATATAATGATTTAAATTTTTCTTATGAACTCATTGGGGTTTGTAAGAATTAAGGAAGTAAAAATATGATTTAATAATGATAAATTAAAATCGTATGATGTTTGATATGCATAATAGTAATATATTTGTTCATTAATTTGATCAATAATATTACCAAAAAAAGAGTAATTTCAATTAGAATAGAATTTGAAATCTAGTTTATTTCTTACTTTTTTTGTAATCAACATTTATAATGAATATCAAAGAAACTAAAAATATTTCATTTTTTTTAAATACAATTATATAATAAGTTTCTATATAAGTAAATCAATTAACGAATTTTTTCTTCTTGAACATGGTTGACAGACTCTAATGATTGATACTCTAAGAGATATCTTGCAATGACTTTCTATAAGCAGGTCTAATATCTAATTTAGATGGTCTCAAATTTTTGTATGATTTTTAACTGCATAACGATGTAGCATCTGAATGATTATCAAAAATTGTTAGTAAAGTTTCTTCATAAGGTTCAACAAGGTTCATTATTTGATTATTCTTTGTTATTAGGAGATCTTAAAGGGGTTATTAATATTTTACCTTTAAGTTCTCCTCTTTGGTCTTCATTAATTTATTCAGACTTATATAGACGATAAATAGCAAACAAGATTTTTGATTCATATTCGTTAGACATATAAATTATTATTCATTTTTAAATTAAATGAGTAGAGAAAGAGGGGGTATATAATTATAAAATTTAATATTAATTAAGTTCTTTATTTTATTAATAAAGTCTAATGGAGAGACAAAAGTACTAAAATTAATGAAAAAATGAAGTGTATTCCATTGTGCTGCACTATTTTGGAAGCAGTTTAGCCATTTTTTATGTAAAAAACCAATCAAAAGTTAGATATACAATTATTCTTAATCAACCAATCAGAATTAAGAATTTCCTTTAAAAATAGCATTTGGGTTTTCAGTTTAAAATATTAATTAAAATGGCTCCATCAAAATCACCAAAAGCAGAAGCAAAAAAAACAGTTAAGACTGTTAAAACAAAAAAAAATACCGATGACAAGAAGAGATCAAGAAGAAGATAAGAAACTTTTGCATTATATATCTACAAAGTTTTAAGATAAGTTCATCCAGAAATTGGTGTTTCTAGAAAGGCTATGAACATCATGAATTCATTCATTAATGATATTTTTGACAGAATTGCTCTTGAAGCTAGCAAATTAGTCAGATTTAACAAGAGAAGAACTCTTAGTTCAAGAGAAATTTAAACTGCTGTCAAATTGTTACTTCCAGGAGAATTGGCCAGACATGCCATTTCAGAAGGAACCAAAGCAGTGACTAAATATACAAGTGGATGATTTTGTTAATTTTTAATTAAGTTCAAATATATTGTAAAAGTGACTCTTCTTACTCTTATAATTCTTTTAGTAATTATATTTTTTAATCTAAGAGTATTTTATTACTCTATTCATTTTCCATATCTTTTATTTCCTTCTCTAATTTAGATATTCTTCTAATTAATTATTCATATCCTTAATTTTCATTATTAAAATATTATTCAACTGCATTATCTAATTTAGAAACAAAACTTGTTTTCTTTTCACTTTATGTAAATCTAACATCATCTTTTCTAGGTTCTTTAAGTTTATGTATAACTTATTTTAATTTTTCAATTTATTCCTATTATTCACTTAATTATTATCTATCACTTAATTGTTAATCCATAATTCTACTTTAATCTATTAAAGATTAATGTAATTCTTAAGACAAACTTTCAATTTAAGCATCTTTTTATAAAATCTCTTCATCTTTCTTTAATAATTCTTCTTCTAATTAAGAAATTGTGTTTTTTAATTTTTTCTCTAATGTCTCAAATATATTTTCTTAGTTTGATAATTCTTCCACTAATTTTTGCAATTCATATTGACAACTTTTTAATTGGCTATGCAAAATTTTGTTTTCTTCTTCCAATATAGCTGACTTTTTTTGTAATGCTGCCATAGCATTAGCAAAACTAATTTTATCATTTAAGTTTTACTTACGCTCTTGATTCGGACATTATTGTTAAGTATTTTTATTTATAAAATTTATTTAATTTACATTTTAAAAAATATAAAATTAATTAGGCTTTTCTGTAATTTATTGTTTAGAATAATATCCTTTATATACATCAATGGTTATTTTGAAAACTATTAATTATATTGTGAAGTTTAATGACTCTTATTAAAAATTAAAGTTTGGCAACAACAATAAATAAATAAAAATACAAAATTGAAATTTAAGAACTCAGAAATATTTTTTATAATTTAATTATTATAATGGATAAAGAAAATGCAAAATTAAAAAAAACAAAAGATTCCATTTTAATTAAAAAAAATGGGAAATATTCAGAAGAAGTAAAAGAATTGGCTAGAAAAAGGTAATTAACAATAATTAATAAAAAAGAGCCATTTATATGTTAGTAATTGAATGTGGAATATTAATTACTTATTTGATTTTTCTTATAGCTTACTCAATTTAAGATAAATTTAAGCTGCTATTTTTAATCATATAGATAGGACTTGTATTGATTCTTTATTTAAATTAAGGCTTTCTTCTAAATTCTTTCAATTTGTTTCTCTGTTCACTCATTAATTTTTTTCAAAGAATACATAATATCCAAAAGTTCAAACTTGTAATATGTATAAATTATTGTTTATAGGAGTGTTCTATTATATTGTTTGATGATTGCTCCATTGGTTCTTATGTATTTAGAAGTAGAGTCATTTATCATTCCAATCATTTTATAAGTAATCTTTTTGCTAGTTAATATAATACTATGCATTTTGGATTAATATCTAATAAGAAAATTTGTAATTGATTTTTTGAAATCAAAACAAAGATATAATTTATAAGCTGGTAACAATATTTATTATAATATAAAGCCTTACACAACCAAAAAAGTTTTGATGATTATTTAATAAAAAGTATCATGAGTAAATCTGAAGAAAATCCATGAGTAATTTGTTAGATTAGAGAAGAATGATTTTAATATAAGAAAATTAAATTTTTAAGTTAAAACAAAATTTATGAATGATATCTATTTACTGTGTTCCTCTTTTGTGGAAGTAAATAACAATTTTGCAATATCATTTTAATTTCATTATCTCATTTCTAAATTATAAATTATTTTTCAACATATAAACTATTTAATCATTGTTAAACAATTATAAAAAATTAGCATAATAGGAAACAAAAAAGAATGCTTAAAATAAGTATCAAATCCAAAATTTAAAATTGGAATATGTTAAATCATAATAATATTCCAATTTTAAGGATCATAAAATTATTTGATTAAAATAAAAAAGAAGATAAAAACAATAATTTAATAGTTCTTGCATTATTATATACAATTACATCATATATCCTTCAAAAATTATTCAAATATTAAAGTTAAACTTAATCATTTTTATTAAAAAAAATCAAATTCAAGGTTAAATACAAATAGATAATTTTTATAAATATATAAACTACAAACAGGAACCCAGAAAGAAATAAACAATGTATTTTTAAAAAAATACTAAATGAAAATATAATAAAAAAAAGATATTTTAATCATTAATGGATTTTAGATTACTCAGACTTTATAAAATGATTATCTTAAATTTTGATAAAAAATGGAACAAATAATTAGAAATCGTTTTTAAAAATTAAATAAAGATATATTTTCTTACTTTATTAAAAGTTATAGATAAAAGAACAACTATATTATAATTGATATTTGGCTATTTAGATATTTAAAGAAACTCTATTTTGGATATATACACTTCAATTCTAATTTTCTCTGTTTTAATATTAAGAAAGGATCAGCCAATCTAATGTTTTTAATTAAATTACAAATAATGTAATATTCCAATTTTAAAATATTAGATTTCTTATAAGAAAAGCTCTAAAATTCAATTCCTATTCTTCCCTATTTTAAATAATTACTTCAACTACAAATATTGGATATGATTGATTTTAACATAGGATATAATGATAAAATTGGTTAATAGATAGAAACTAATATACTTTTGCTATTGGTGGGGATTATAGATGTTATTGAACAAGTTTAATAGATTAAAATGAGTATGATACAATATAAATTTTGTTTAGATTATTTCTAACTAACAGTTGATAATATATATATTAATGAAGATTAATTCTGCCAGTTAATAAAAATTAACAATGACTAGGCCATAGACTACCCCTTAAAAGGCAGGATAGTCACCTATTAAGAAGAACAAGTATGAAAAATAGTTCAAATAAAAGGTATTTAGTGTAATCAGGGATTTCATCACTAGCTAAAACTGATAATAAAGTTTCAAAATCAACTGCATTGTCACATGATTTAATTTCTTTGATAAAGAATGGAGGAAATGGACATCATAATAGCCAGTAATTAGATAGGAAATAGAATTCTCGCAGCAAATGTATTCTTGACATAAATGATGCAAATTAAAAAAAAAATAGACCTAATTCAAGACAATAAATTCAACATTTGGTTAAAAGTAAGAAACCTGATAGCAATCTTAAATATCATGAGGATCTAATTTAAAAGCAATTTCAGAAATTATTGGATCTACAAAAACAACATCAATAAACTCACAAATCACCACCTTAAATACATAGTAGAGCAATGAGTAATGGTGATTTGAAGCCTACAAGTGATATTGCCAATAAATTAATAGAATATATAAAGAAATAATCTGCTAAGAAAATAAAGGGTTATAGATCAATATCTAATCCAGATATAATTGTAACTGATAGAAGATTAATATCAAAATATGCAGTGAAGTTAATTATCATAATAATAATTATAGAACTTAAGCTGGAATGTTGCATACAAAGTAAGAGAAAGTAAATTAAGATTCATATGCAATTCATGAAGGAATAGGAAATATAGATAATTCATATTTAATATAAGTCTCAGATGGACATGGAGTAAATGGACATGAGGTTGCTTAATTTGTTTAAGAACGATTACCAATTATTATTGATTAGTTATTAAAATCTCATAAAATCGGAAAAAATGATTAAGATATGATGATATAAGTGGTTTTGAGATAAGCATTTGAAAGAACAACAAAAGAATTATATACTTCAGGAATTGATATTACATTTAGTGGAGCTACAACTGTATGTTTATTGATTATAGAACATATGGGATGGTGTGCAAATATTGGAGATTCAAGAGCAATTTTAGGAAGATAGAAAGATGGATTACATGTAGTTGAATTGTCTCATGATTAAAAACCAGATTTACCTAAAGAGGAAAAAAGAATTATATAAAATGGAGGAAGAGTTTAAGCATATTCAGATGAAGAAGGAAATCCTATTGGTCCAGCTAGAGTTTGGTTATTAGATGAAAATATTCCAGGATTGGCAATGTCTCGAAGTTTTGGAGATTATGTAGCTGCATAAGTAGGCGTAATCTCAATTCCAGAAATAATTAAACATACATTTTAAAATGACAAATTCTTAATCATGGCATCAGATGGAATTTGGGAGTATTATATTATTTATATTCAAGGTTTCTCGATAATAAATGGATTGTTGAAGTTGTCTATGGATACTATTTGAAAAATGATGCTGAAGGAGCTGTTGAAAGATTGGTTAAAGAAGCCACAGAAGCATGGTAAAAAGAAGATGAAGTTATAGATGATATCACTTGTATTGTTGCATTTTTGAATTGATTAATCATAAATATCTTAAGAATATATATTTCCACTTTTTAATACTTAATTTTAATAATTATATTATTTTAATGTCAGACAAACCAAATATCCCTGCACCTAATTCATTGGTCAAATATGCAAGTGCCACTTTGGTTTCTACATCTGGAAAGCCTATTAAAGATAAAAAGAAAGGAAGAGATGCTGCTCCATAGTCAATTACTAATGCATAAACAGAGGATATATTGAATTCAATTCTTCCTCCAAGAGTATTTATTTTATGAACTAAATTAGGAATACACAATGGAAAAATAATAATTATGGATTTAATGTGTTTCATCCACTCCAGCCAAAAGAGTAAATCGATTTTATATTCAAAATAGGAAGATGTTATTCTTCTTTAAGAAAATTTAGATAAAAAATTATAATAGAGATAAGCCAGAGAAACTGGTATATGCCCTATTCGAGAGGAATTATATGCATAATGTTTTGATGAACTTATAAGACAAGTATTATATGTAAGTTACAATTAGATTACAATTAATTGTGCTGAAAGAGGTTTATTATTAGTTCGAGTCAGAGATGAAATTAGACAAACAATATAAGCTTATTAAACTTTGTATGAAAGTTCTATTGCTTTTGGAATGAGGAAAGCTTTATAAGCAGAGCAAAGAAAAGTAAAAATATTAATAAAATGATTAGACTGATTATAATAATAAAATAAAGTAATTAGAAACTGAATGTCAAGATTTATCAAAATAGGTTGAAAAAATAGAGAGTACTATTGAAGNGTTTATTGATTATAGAACATATGGGATGGTGTGCAAATATTGGAGATTCAAGAGCAATTTTAGGAAGATAGAAAGATGGATTACATGTAGTTGAATTGTCTCATGATTAAAAACCAGATTTACCTAAAGAGGAAAAAAGAATTATATAAAATGGAGGAAGAGTTTAAGCATATTCAGATGAAGAAGGAAATCCTATTGGTCCAGCTAGAGTTTGGTTATTAGATGAAAATATTCCAGGATTGGCAATGTCTCGAAGTTTTGGAGATTATGTAGCTGCATAAGTAGGCGTAATCTCAATTCCAGAAATAATTAAACATACATTTTAAAATGACAAATTCTTAATCATGGCATCAGATGGAATTTGGGAGTATTATATTATTTATATTCAAGGTTTCTCGATAATAAATGGATTGTTGAAGTTGTCTATGGATACTATTTGAAAAATGATGCTGAAGGAGCTGTTGAAAGATTGGTTAAAGAAGCCACAGAAGCATGGTAAAAAGAAGATGAAGTTATAGATGATATCACTTGTATTGTTGCATTTTTGAATTGATTAATCATAAATATCTTAAGAATATATATTTCCACTTTTTAATACTTAATTTTAATAATTATATTATTTTAATGTCAGACAAACCAAATATCCCTGCACCTAATTCATTGGTCAAATATGCAAGTGCCACTTTGGTTTCTACTTCTGGAAAGCCTATTAAAGATAAAAAGAAAGGAAGAGATGCTGCTCCATAATCAATTACTAATGCATAAACAGAGGATATATTGAATTCAATTCTTCCTCCAAGAGTATTTATTTTATGAACTAAATTAGGAATACACAATGGAAAAATAATAATTATGGATTTAATGTGTTTCATCCACTCCAGCCAAAAGAGTAAATCGATTTTATATTCAAAATAGGAAGATGTTATTCTTCTTTAAGAAAATTTAGATAAAAAATTATAATAGAGATAAGCCAGAGAAACTGGTATATGCCCTATTCGAGAGGAATTATATGCATAATGTTTTGATGAACTTATAAGACAAGTATTATATGTAAGTTACAATTAGATTACAATTAATTGTGCTGAAAGAGGTTTATTATTAGTTCGAGTCAGAGATGAAATTAGACAAACAATATAAGCTTATTAAACTTTGTATGAAAGTTCTATTGCTTTTGGAATGAGGAAAGCTTTATAAGCAGAACAAAGAAAAGTAAAAATATTAATAAAATGATTAGACTGATTATAATAATAAAATAAAGTAATTAGAAACTGAATGTCAAGATTTATCAAAATAGGTTGAAAAAATAGAGAGTACTATTGAAGATATGCAAAGATAAGATTAAGAATAATAAGAACATGAAGAAGCTAAACATAGAGATTAAGTCAATTTCTTAAAAAATGCAAATAAAGTATACAAAGAAGAATTAGAAAAATTCCTTACAGGAGCTAATGTTAAAAAATGATTAATCTAATATTAAATAATCAATTTTATATTTTTTATTTTAAGTGATTTTCTTTAATGATAAACAATAAAATTATAATACATTAAAGTAATTAATATTAAATTAAAAAATAAGATTATATATAGTGATCAAAAAAAATCAATTATTGAAACTTTTAAATTATTTCACTTTTTTTTCTCACAAGAAAACAAGATTAACAATCTTAGTTTATATAATTAATTAAATTGTTTTAGTATCATTATATGGGTTGCTATTAAATATTGGTTATAAACTGAAAAAATTTAATTATTTATGTATGATATATTTAACAGATTATATTTAATTTGCAAATTGATATAAATTATTAACGTTATCACATTAATATTAAGTTCAACAGCGGGAATGATAGACTAATAATTTATCAAATCCAAAAAGTATAGAGTTGATAATAATTAAAGCCACAATTGAAANTCATTGGTCAAATATGCAAGTGCCACTTTGGTTTCTACTTCTGGAAAGCCTATTAAAGATAAAAAGAAAGGAAGAGATGCTGCTCCATAATCAATTACTAATGCATAAACAGAGGATATATTGAATTCAATTCTTCCTCCAAGAGTATTTATTTTATGAACTAAATTAGGAATACACAATGGAAAAATAATAATTATGGATTTAATGTGTTTCATCCACTCCAGCCAAAAGAGTAAATCGATTTTATATTCAAAATAGGAAGATGTTATTCTTCTTTAAGAAAATTTAGATAAAAAATTATAATAGAGATAAGCCAGAGAAACTGGTATATGCCCTATTCGAGAGGAATTATATGCATAATGTTTTGATGAACTTATAAGACAAGTATTATATGTAAGTTACAATTAGATTACAATTAATTGTGCTGAAAGAGGTTTATTATTAGTTCGAGTCAGAGATGAAATTAGACAAACAATATAAGCTTATTAAACTTTGTATGAAAGTTCTATTGCTTTTGGAATGAGGAAAGCTTTATAAGCAGAGCAAAGAAAAGTAAAAATATTAATAAAATGATTAGACTGATTATAATAATAAAATAAAGTAATTAGAAACTGAATGTCAAGATTTATCAAAATAGGTTGAAAAAATAGAGAGTACTATTGAAGATATGCAAAGATAAGATTAAGAATAATAAGAACATGAAGAAGCTAAACATAGAGATTAAGTCAATTTCTTAAAAAATGCAAATAAAGTATACAAAGAAGAATTAGAAAAATTCCTTACAGGAGCTAATGTTAAAAAATGATTAATCTAATATTAAATAATCAATTTTATATTTTTTATTTTAAGTGATTTTCTTTAATGATAAACAATAAAATTATAATACATTAAAGTAATTAATATTAAATTAAAAAATAAGATTATATATAGTGATCAAAAAAAATCAATTATTGAAACTTTTAAATTATTTCACTTTTTTTTCTCACAAGAAAACAAGATTAACAATCTTAGTTTATATAATTAATTAAATTGTTTTAGTATCATTATATGGGTTGCTATTAAATATTGGTTATAAACTGAAAAAATTTAATTATTTATGTATGATATATTTAACAGATTATATTTAATTTGCAAATTGATATAAATTATTAACGTTATCACATTAATATTAAGTTCAACAGCGGGAATGATAGACTAATAATTTATCAAATCCAAAAAGTATAGAGTTGATAATAATTAAAGCCACAATTGAAATGATATTGTTTGCAACTTGAATTATATCAACAATTAACACTACAAATCCTACTTTGTATTTATTCATTAACATATAAGCCGGTTTAGTGAATATTAGCAACCCTAGTATCTTAAATTATATGAATTTTTTTACCGCTAAACCAATATAAGTGAATAATTATCCAGTTGTTATTGTTTTTTACAAAAATAATTATAATATACTGTTAAGTGAGATCATAAATGATCCAAAAGCAGCAGTCCCAGCTGCTTCTCTTGCAATTATTTTGTTATGCAATAAAAAGGATACCATAATAATTCCCCCTCCCATTCCAATTATCCCTGTACTAAAACCAGCCAACCAACCTGCAAAGTAATATTACCAAAATATTTTTCTAGGTGTAAAGAATCTATAGTTTGGCCTATATTATACTAAGTCTTTATAAAATTCTTCATTTCTTTTATTCCAATATACTAAGGATGTGTAAATAAAATTAGCTCCAAGTAAGACCAATATTATCAAATTATTTTCCACTGAACATGGATCTAGTCCTATTATTGAATTATTATATTTATTTGATCTCATCAGGATTATGGCTTAATTAATTATGAAGGATCCAATAACAAAGCAAATATTCTTAATTTAAATTTTATTATGGTCATTCACATAAAATTGCTCATATTTATTTAGTAACTTTTCATCTAAATTTGTTTCTTTTGCCATTTCTTCTCTTGTCTTGATTTTCTCTGATACAAACACTTTGCTATTTCTCTTATCTTGTTCTAATTGTCTTTAGGTAAACGCTTTAATAAATGTCATTTATTACTGAATTTCCACAGGAATGGAATTGCTCCTATCAAAAAGCATAATTAAATGAGATATATAGCAAATTAAGGTAAAAGTTATTAAAGGAGGGCTCCTAAACTCCAAGCTATAGGTATAGCCTAATTGAATATTACGTTGATGTCAAAGTTAACAAGGGGTAATTCTGGGATATCTGGATGTCTTTCTAATGAAATATAAAGATACTTTTCAAAAAACAAAAACAATAAATTCAACGCTGTAGTTGTGAATAGAAAGCTATCTCCAACTTGAGTAGCAATATTAGCTGGATAGTTTAATAAGAGATTTAAAATAGGCCTTTTGATCATTCCACTACCTAACCCTCCTAATATTCCGATTCCAAGAAATATTGGTATCAAAGAAAATACAAACCCTGTATATGGAGTTAATTCCAAAATAGGATCATGGACACATGTAAAGCTGACTTCATTCCATTCACAATCACTCAAAAGCCAACATCCTTTATCAGGATCACATGCTTAACCACTCATTTTGTTATTTTATATACTTATGTTGTTTAAGTTAATATTTATCAAATTAGATATATAATATTTCGAAAATTCTTTAAAGTTTATTTTCTTAGTTCTTTGATTATAATTATTATTCATTTTATGGACTCTTAATATGAGGAGGGAGAAATAATAACTCAAAAGAGTGATTAATTAGAACCCATAAATAGTGAATCCTCTTTGCGTTCTCTTGTAAATCTTTTTATAAACATTTAGAGTGATACAAATGGTGATGAAAGAGTATGTAAATTATAATAAGAAAAATTATGTTCTTTTTCTTATGTTTGTGCCATTTATAACTTCTTAGGTCATTGTACTCAAGTTGGTTGCAAGTATTATAATTCATAACTTTAAGGAAAAGGCATATATTATTATAGGATGGATTAGAATAATTTTTTTAAGAAAATATCCAATTATTAACTTAATTGATCAATAACGGGGAAAAAATTAGAGTTCCTTATGAGAAGCTTTTAAATTAATAAAATAACAATAAAAAACCCTAGCTAATCAAACCTTAGGTTATGACAAATTATAATCAAGAACTCTGTGAAAAATATAAAAGAGCTTTAACTCTTCAATTGAGAAAAGATATTGATAAAATGCAAGATAAACTCAAAACCATTTGTTATCTTAAGAAATGGGTGAGACACAATTTTGTCGATGCCAGAGATTTTAACGAATTGTATTATTCTCTAAATGCAACATAATAAATACATTTTATGAACTTTTTTAAAGTTCTTGAATTATAACCATCCTCATTTCAATGATCATTATAAATATTAAAATATTTTTCATTATTGTTAATGGAATATAAATATCAAAAATAGTAAGTTGATTTTTTATTTTTAAAGAAACTTAATTTTTTATATTTCATCTAAATTACACTTAAATGGGGAGGGATAATTTAAATTAATAAGATTACAGATTCATCATCTCTGAATATCTATAGTTTTAGGGTTGTTTAAATTTATGTGTTTTATTTATTTATTTCAATCTTTTTCTGTAAGGGATAATATTATGATGATAAATAGATAAAATCTATTACATTATTGAAGTTATAACTGAACAATATAGTTCTTAATTATATTAATAATTAATATGTTAGGGATTAACATGTTTTGATAATTATTTGAGTCATCATATTTTACTAATGTCATCAAATAGCAGTATTTGTTCGTTTAAGTTATTTATCTAAAGCAATCAATTTTTCAACTTTTCTATTATAACCATCTATAAATAGAAGATTTGACATCACTCCAAATAATTATTGAGTATATGGTCAATTCTATTTGGAAAGGGTATGTTCCAGGAGATTTTTGTGATCGCTATTATTAAATGGTTTCAAACCCTTATTAATATGATTAAAAGAGATTATTTGTCATTTCATTAAGTGTTTGAATAAAGAGTATAGTTTAAAAGTCACTAAAGAAGAATTGCTTAAGTAAGAGGTTCTAGCTATAATGACTCTGATTATTCAAAGTTAATTGATTAGATAACAGGGTTTTAACAAAGGATGAGAAAGAGAAATCATTAAATTCAAGAGTAATAAATATAAGCAAAAAATGAATTACTGTCTTAACGATTGAAATCGATACAGAAAACTGAGCCAAAATTGCAAATAAATGACCTAAAAATATTTAGTTCTAGAAAGTAGTTTTAGCTGCAATTTGATCAGGAAGTATCAAAACAAAATTCTCGATTGAGAGAAAGAATAAAGTCAATGTATAACTAGTAATTATATAAAGTGAGCCTCAAATAAATAGAAAATCTCTGAATTAAGATTTTGTGAAACATTAAATTACTTTGGAAAGAATGTAGAAGTTTAAAAGGAAAAATAATAGATGTGTGTTAAAGTCGTTAGAGAGAATAGAAAATTGTGAATCATAAAACCAAAACAAATACTTGAAATACTATACATAAACAATAAAAACAGAGCCTGATAAAGAATATAGTGCTAGCAGATCTAACACTAATAAAGTACTGAGTTTTATAAATCTGATTGATTGATTGATTTTAAGCCATAGAAACAATCATATTTATTATATTTTATAATATAAAAATAATTTATATTATGTTTTGATTATGTTGAATAAATCATAATAGAGATAGCATTATCAATCCTAAGAGAGTAATACCAATCATGACTTATATTGATGTTTCATCTACATCACAAGATATTCCAGAACAATTTTCAGAATTGTAAGTCAAAACTTCTGTATCAGATGGACAAGCTGCATCAGTAGATTCTTTAATGCATGAAGATGATACAGCTGCAACAGCTGAGGCATCTGAAACATCAGTAAGAAGTCTTCTATTAGATGATTAGAGTAAAACAGCATCTGATGCAATAGATACATTATTTGCAATAAATCTGAATTTGACCTAGTAGATGGTACCATCAGCTGTTTAATTATATAACTTAGGCTTAACTTATTTGGTAACTCCATTGGCTGTAACAGTAATTTAAGCATCTCCTGGATGCCAATTACCATCAGTAAATCCATTTTCAGTTATGGATTATTTGAAATAAATAGTTTCATTTACTACTAGTTCTGGATTGGTGACTATGGTTTCACAAGTTGGATCAGTTCCACATAATTCTAATTTAGAGGCAGCCTATTGAACACATTTTGTTTAGGCAGAATCAGCACATACTGGTTCCCCTCTGAGCTTAGGTTAAAATACAAAATTGTTCAAAGTGGACAAATCACTAGTCAGGTTGGCAGCAAAATTGAAAGCAAAAGATGCAATTTATTTTGTATATGTGGATGTAATGGCATCTACATTTACAGCATAAAATCCTGAATAGACAATGTAATTGGTTTGTGCATCCTTAGCCAAATAGTTGTCAAAATTACTATTTAATGATATTAAGATTAAATACCTTTTATCTATGATGAAAAACCATGATCGTGAATTATCAGCATTTAATACTGATGTCAAAGTAGAAGTAGTGTCTTTGGTTTCATTTAAAAATCCAACAGTAAATCTATAAAGACTAACCTATAAACAACTTTCAACAGCTTCTAGTGCTGTTTCTAATCCAACGGAGTTTTAGAATTTGATCTATACTTTAAGATTACCATTTTCTAATGTTATTTCAAATTCTGGTTTGTTTGGTAGTTAATCTGCACCAGAACTCTATTTTTTTTATTTGAAATAGTTAAGTTTTGAGGCACAGGTGCCAGCTTCTACACATGTTCCATGTACAGCTATTTATGTATCAGTACAGTTAAGGGGGTTAGATTTTTGACCTGATGTTTATTCTTATTAGATTTCAGTAGAGTTAGTTGTTTGTGAAAAGACAACAACGGCTAAATTAAGTAGGAGCAGTAATTAAATTTGTTTCATTTATAAACTTAAACAATATTGTAATCAAAAATTTATATAAATTTATATGGAACATTCTATGTTAGCAATAATGAATTCTAGAAATTATTGATTATATTAATTTTTTATTATACTTCACTCGAAAAGCCTCTCTAAGAATGTCTTATCCTTATCTGCTTTGGATTATTTTTATGGTTATTAAGGTTAAGTTGGAATCTTAATTTTGATGAATATTATACTTATTAAGGTGGAGCTGTTTGTGCTAATTATCCAGGTTAGATTGGTGGTAAAGTTTTTCTATAAAGTGAATTAGCCTGAACTGGTTGTCTTTAATAGTCTTTATAAAGAGATGATGGCACAGCAGATTGAGGTAATTAAGTTGGTAGAACTGTGGTAGTTGCCAAAGGAATTGATGTTTAAGGTTAGACAATGGTAGTTGGTGGTTTACTTAAAGTTCTTGTCTATGGGATAATGCTAGTTGTTTATGGTTGAATAGTTGTGGTTTGAATTGTTTATGGAACTACACTTGTAGTTTATATAGTTTGAGGAATGGATTATATTTAAGTTGTTGCAACTGCAGGCTTTTATTAAACATATGTAGAAGCAAATTGAGTTTATGGCATTATAGTGTTTTATATTAAAGGTGGTGATTAAATTGTTGTAGTAATTGGGGGTTAAATCAAAGTGCTTTTCATTGTTTATTAAACTTAAGTTTGTGGTGCCATTACAGTAGTTGTTTAAATTTGAGGAGCTTAATAAGTTGTAATTTAGGGCTACTATGCTATTGTCACATATTATTGAGGTTATTATGTCTTATAGAAAATTATTGAATTCTTACCACTATTTGTTGTTGTTGTACTCTTTAAGTTTGAATTGTTTATGACTATGCTAAAGTTTATGTTTATAAACCTGGTTAAGCCTTTAATTTATTATTGATATTCTTACAGGCAAAATATTTTATTTTTACACTGTGTAATATTCTGTTCTCTCTTATATTCTTTCAACTGGTACATATTCTAAATTTTATCAATAATTTATTACCAATTTATTTCTCTTATATTACTTAAGGAATGTATTCAACTTCATATTAAACTGCGTAATAATCAGTTATTTATCGTGTAATTGGCACCTAAACTTATCTTCTCACCTCCTCATATTCAGTTATGACTCTTTCAAATGGCACATATTCAATTCTTGATTCTCCTTTTATAGCTTATTCTGTCATTAGATGTGAACTTAATTAAACTGGACCTGTCTAATAAGGAGCACCATTTTATCCTATGATCTAAGATTAAGGTAATGGTTATAATCCTTATTGTTATAAATAAGGAAGCTATTGGGCTGGAATTCCGCTAATTGGTGCTCTTCCTAAATTTTAAGGAGGAACCACAAATTATGGTTATCCTTAAGGGAAAACTTAAGTTGGGACTACTTATTGAGGAATGAACTAGTTCTGGTTTTAACCTTATGGAATATTTGATTAAGGTAAATTAGAATGAGGTTTAGATTCCTATCCTTATTATGGAAGCTATGACATTTTTATTAATATCTTATTCTCTAATTATATTCCTTTATATATATATATATACTAATAAACTACAATAAAATTATTTCATTTATTTTTATATATATTGATTTCAATTATTAATTATTTTTACCAAACCTATCAAAGGAATTCCTTCTATTTTAATATATATATATAATAATACATTTATATTCTGCAAAAATAACCAAAGTATTACATTAGTCTTATTAATATAATACAAATATAATATTACTTTTATTTTAATATTCAATTATAAATGAGCATTATTTTAATTAAGAGTAAAACTTTAATTTTTTAATATTATTTTATTAACAATCTTGGTATCTAATAAATTTTTAAATTGATTGATAAAGTGATAAATTTATATTCATAGAGCAAGAGAATCATTCTACTATACTAATTTACAGAAATTAATTTATTAAATATATTGTTCATTATTTTCTTTTACAATGTTTTAGAAATTATTTTAATAAGTATCTCAAATTTAAATAGAAGGACAACCTGACACTGCCAAATTCTCAATTAGTGCCAATGAAAAATCAATAGTCATATGGTTATAATAGAATGGAAATAGATTTTTTACAATAGATAGATTAAAGGACAATTGGAAATCTAGAGAATAAGAGTTTTCAATTCCTGGTCTTGTGTAACCTTCTAAAATTCACTTAAATGAAAATGGAAAAATTTTGATTATGTATGATGTAACCAAAAGATATTTATACACTTGGTTAAGAGTACACAATAATTAAAATTGGCTCTTAAGAAGTATATTAGATCTAAAAGTATAAATTAATGCTACATCAGAAATCAATTGTTTCTTTTATAAGAATTAAATCTTTTTAGATTATCAACACACTTTTTTAATTATCAAAAGAGTGAATTAAAATTTTAAGATTGTAAATAAAAAGATTTTTAAGTATAATGATTATATGAATTGTTTAACTTATGGTTATGAGAAGGATGTATTAGCTGAAGTAACAGACTCAACAGTGTATTTTTGGAGAGAAGATCCAAAAACATGGGTGAAAGAAAAATCAGCATTTTATGATTGTGAAATCATGCCTCATTATTCTAGTTTTTAAGAAAATGAAGTAAAAGCATTTGTAAATGGAGCAGTTTGGATGATATCATATCCAGAAAGGGAATGTTATGGTTATGTAGATGATAAAATAACAAAACGTATTACATAATCAGCTTTAAATTATTTTTTTTAACTAGATTCACCTATCTAGAATGTAGAACAATTTATACATTTTTGGTATAGAGAAAATTAATAATAGATGAAATTTAATTATGAAAAATTAGATTTATCTGCAACAAATATTTTATTGGGAAGAAATGGAAATGTCTTTGTAGCAATTAAATTATTTGGACAATTCATCAATCTTTAAATTTATGAAAGTTTGCAAATATCAAAATAATTACAATAAGATATATGATTATTATATATATATATATATTTATAAATTCAGCTTATTTAGACTAATTTAAATTATTTATCTTTATTATTAACCATATTTATATTTAGAATACATCAATATATTACTATTATATATAAATATATTTATTTGGAAATATTTAAAAAATAAAATAATAAATAATTGTTATTTAACTGAAAAAAGAAATGAAAATAAGATAATTGATAACATATTGAATAAACTAAACGTACTTAAATAATTTTATGTACAAAATTTGATTCATTATATATGGAAAGTTTAATTTATTAAAATTTTATAAATAAAGATATATTAAATACTTATTTATAATAATAATACTTTATAATTGTGATTATTTTAGATTTAGAGGATAATGATTATCATAACCACTTGAATTATGTAAATTATATTAAATAAAGAAGTATCTAAATCTTAATAGCATCTAGTATATTCACATTATGTAATCTTTTATTAGAATAGTTAAAATAAAGATAAAGTATTGATTCTTTATAAGAGCTCTAAGCTAATTATTTTTTATTTTAAAGAACTTTTTCGCGCTTTTAAGAGGTATATATTAAATGGCTCATATTTATGATAGTGATATGTACAATATTGACCCAGCTACGAAGAGGAAAAAATAAACTAGAGTGAGAAGACAACTAGTAAATAAGACTTTGCATGAGGAGAGTGAAGAAAATTTTATGATTGAGGTGCAATAGAAGGTAACGAAAAAATATCAAAATTATTTACATACCATTCAAAAAATCGGAGAATTCGATTGGACAGATATTGAGAATACTAATAATCCGAAGGTTATTTATCCAAGTAAGTAATATCTAATTTCAAGTTCAATTTTTGCAGGCATCTACTTTACAATTTATGATCGCAGCTACATATTTCAATTGTGATCACGATTATCTTGAACATAACCTTTAAGAAGTTTAAAAATTGCTCAAGAAAACTGAATAAACCAATGGAACTTCATGTTAAGAGTATAATTATCGTTTAATTAAGTGATTGTAAAAAATAGAAAAATAAAAAAGGGTATGATGTGAATGATGATATATTCATTTTAGAGATGAGATAATTGAGAATTTAAGATTTAGATTATATCATTCTCAATTAAGAGTAGCATTATATTAATATTTTTAGATTAGAATTGGAAAAAATTTAAAGGGAAAATGAAAAAGCCATCCAAAACTTTTTATCAATTGATATTCCTAACCTTAAACCCCCAATTAAAACAGATCAATCAAATAACCTTTTAAGGGACATTTCTGGTTTAACAGAATTCGAAAAATAATATATTGAAAAAATAGAACTTAAAATTTAGACAGATGGATAAAATGTTATTACTTAAGAAACAGGTAAGAAGACATAAGGAGGTGGAATTCATTTATAACCAATTTTAGATGATGCTCTTTGTTAAGTTTGTAATGATGGAGATTATACAGATGATAATTTAATAGTATTCTGTTCTAAATGCAATATATCAGTTCATTAAAAATGTTATTTAATAGAAGTAATACCAAATGAAGATTGGATATGTGATGTATGTTAAACTTTTGGACCAAATGGATAATATTTACGTTGTGCTTTATGTCCTAAATTAGGTGGAGCTATGAAAGCAACTTCAATTGATGCTTCTTGTTTTGAAAATTTAAATTAAACATATTTTGAATCTTAAGGTGAAACTATGATGAAAAATGATTTAGTTTCTAAATTATGTAAGTATATTAATAATATATATAGTTTAGTAAATAGATGACGATTAAGAACTTTATTATGATTTTAGTAAATTACCTAATAGAGATATTAGAGATCTTGAAAATAATAAAGATATTAAAGAACCATAACCATAAAAGGTTTGGATTCATTTATCATGTTTTTATTGGTCTCCTGAATGTTTTCTAGATGAAAAGTAAGATATATTAAGAGGAGTTGATAATATTAATCAAAAGAGATTTATTATTAATTGTAGTTTATGTAATATCAAGAAGGCTGGAATGTGTATTTAATGTGCTAGAGGTAATTGTTAAACAGGATTTCATGTTGAATGTGCCAGAAGATCAGGAATATTTTTAACTTAAACTATTGTTAATACAAAACCAGATTATTAAATATTCTGTTAAAAACATGTTCCACTTAAAGTTAAACGAATTTTGGAATCTAAATAAAGATTATATGAAAGAGAAATTATTGATTTTTTTAGAGCTTATGAAAAATGTAAATCTGTACATAAAAAGTCTAAATAAAGAGTTAAGAAAACAAAATCATTAAAAGAAGCTCAATAATAGGAACTTTAAGATCATTAAGAAAATGAATTTGATTTAATCGATTTTGCAACTAAATTAAAAGAATTCATAGATTAACTTTTAGATTAAAAAATGATTGTAAATTTGAAACTTGAATAAGGTAAATATGTTTTTGAGTCTATATCAGAACCATAATTGAAATAATAAAAATAATATTATTTAACTAAATTACCAGAAGTATATTAAAGTAAGGTTGATTAAAATGGATTAATAATTACTTAATTTTATAAAAGTGCTATTGCAGCAACTGATGAATTATGGAAATTCTTTAAATATAGAGACTATGAAAAAGATATCATTTATAAAATGTATGAAAAGTTAAGAAGAAAAGCCAGTAAATTTATGCAAGATTTAAATCCTTAAAAAAAATAAGCCAAATTAATAGATATAATAATGTTAAAGAAATTTAAAAAAAGCAAAAAAGCTGATTAAAAAAAAGAGATAATAATTGAACAAGTAGGAGATGAATATTATTAAAGAGATGATAATTTATATTGTGTTTGTAGAGGTAAATTTAAAGATGGAGATCCTATGATTTGTTGTGAATCATGTGAAGAATGGTTTCATTTTGATTGTTTAGAAATAATAATATCTAATGAGGAATTAAGTAAAATTAATTTCTACTGTTTTCTATGTATAGATGATTTACCTAAAGAAAGATAAATTGAAATATATAATGGTTATACAGATGTTTTCAAAGATGCATCGTTTAAATTATAAAGAGAATTAGCTGATAAATGTTCACTAAATGAATCTCGAAAACTCAGAATGAATCAATTGAAGTAAGATGCATTAATTGAAGAAAAAAATAAATTAATATAGGAAAATCAAGAATAAGAATCAAAATAAGAACAAATATAACTTGAAGAATAAAACAATAATTAAAATTGTACATCTTTAGAATTTCCTAATAATTATATTACTAAAGAACTTTCAAAAGAAATTATTTTAACAGAAAATAATTATTTATAAATAGAGATTCATAATGAAGGAACAGAAAAAAATAAAAAAAACGATGAACATGTTAAAACTCCAAGTAAAACAGAATCTGTAGAAGATCCAGATAATAAATTAGAAGTACCAGATACTCAAGAAAAACTAAATAGTACCCTTAAATTAAAATCTATACATGACTATATACCTAAAAAGTGATTCTAATTTATTTTCACATTATTATTATAAGCAATTGTAACTAATTTTAAAAAAATAATGAATTCTAATAATAGATATCATATTTTAACTCTCCTATTTTGTTAAACTAATTAATCATAGATGGTTATGTTACTATAACAAGAAATTTAATCATTTCTTTATAGGTTCTAATCATTTACTTTTTGAGCAAAAAATAAAAAAGTAATTATCTATACCATATATTTATCAATGAATAAAGATAATTAGTATGTGGAGATGTAAAACTAATAATCAGCCTTCAGTTTCTTAGTTATTTTTAATAAATAAAAAAATAATACAAATCTTTACAAAAATAGATTATTCTTTTTGATTGTTTTCTTATTTAAATTACTTCCATTCTTTTAGATTCTCATTTATTACATGAGTTACTACAAAAATTCACTTAAATTATTGGTAGAATCAATAGAAACAAAGTTGAAATTGTATCAATAATATAATTGAAGTATAAATTTTTATATCCGTTTTTGAATCAGTTCTATTTTATTTTCATGTATTTAAAGGCAAGAATTGAGTTAGAAATAAACATTAATATTTTTAATGAAAGTTGCTATCACATTGTTGGTTGTATTAGCTCTCGCTAACGCTGGTATGGTGCAAAAATTCCCACTCACATATGGTGGAAAGAGAAGCATCATGAACATCATGGTTGAAGTTGAAAATAAGATCAAAGCCCACTCACCACTTGACACAATCAAAGGAGTTCTTGATAACTTCAAATCTGCTGTCGCTTAAGAATAAGGAACACACGATGAAGTCTATGGAGCTTAAAAGGCTGAATGCGATAGCGAAATTGCTTACAGAAGAGCTGAAGTTGAAGATGCTTCTGGTACACTCAAAATTGCCAACGGTATCTTGAAGACCTCAAACATCTTATTAAGAAAGACCTAAGCCACCCTCGGTGAAGTTGAAAACATCTTGAACACCGTTTCATTACATATTGGTCTCATCAATGATGCCAGAAAGGAAGACACTTAATCATACAACAGAGGTGCAGTCACATTCAACGATGCCATCAACGCCATCGATGACTCTCTTGATTTGGCAGCTGCTTTAGCTAAAGGTGGAGCCAGTTTGATCTAAGTTGCTGAAATGACAACCAAATTGATGAAAGCTTCAGTTGCCACCAAGATGAACAAGGCTTTCATGGCCCCATTGGCTGCTTTGGCTTAAATCACATAAGAAGAAGACTCAGTAGGTGCTGCTGAAAGACTTGCCTAATTATTATAAACCTTGAGAAATAATGTTGAAGAAGCTTGGGCCTCATACACTGCTGAAAACACTAACGCTTTGGCTCTTTTCAGTTAATAAAAGGATTTATACCTTGCTTCATAAGCTAGACTTGATGACTCAAAGGGAAGATTAAGCAACAAGGCTGAAAACTTATAAGGAGTTATTTCTGTCTAAACCGCAGTTGCTTAAGCCGCCACCAACAAGAGATAAAGAAACTAAACCTTATGGGATGATGCTGCTGATTTGTGCCACAGCTTCGATGTTGAATATGAAGCCGTCACTGCAGGAAGAAGATAAGAATTAGTTTTGGTCTAAGAATTAGAAAGATTAGCTGAAAGAAGAGCTGCTGAATAATAATGAGATATAATCAAATCCATTATTTTATTCATTCTTTTTCAATTTCTTTTTTTCTTTGTCATTTTATTTTCTAATAAATGTTCTTTTCTTGTTTGTTCATCATAATTCTTGAAATTAATTTAGTTTATTTTATTTTTTAAAGTATTAATAGTTGTTAAAATAAAAAATTACTAATTTTCTGTATTAATTAATTATATATAATTTCATTAATTAATTTCAATCGCTACTACCAAAGCATCTATGCATAGCAAATCCTCCACAAGCAATAACCATAATTATATATATAGCTAGTAATCCTACCAATACAAGAATGATTGTCATTTTTTTGTTTCTCCACCACATTTATCTTTTCAAAGTTGTTGCATTTCCTCTCATGTCTGTTGAAATACTAAAGCTATTAATTTTTTTTACTCAACCATAACATTTGTTTTTTCCACAAGAATATCAATTTTCTCTCCTCTTTCTAATAATTTGTCTAAATTTTCCATCATAACTTCTTTGGTTTACTGTATGTTATCAGAAACCAATCTTAATTTATCTGCTTATGGAGAATTATAATATTCAATTTTATTTTTTTATTCCTTTTATAGATAATGAAATATTTTTACAATAGAAAATTAGGAATTTAATCCATAAGAGATAGCTTAATCTCTTTATTATGGTTAAAACATTTAAAAGAATTTTTATTTCATATCCTCTAAACAAGCAAATGCAATTCTCATCTTTAATCCTTTTTCTGCCATTATCATAAAAGAAAATCCATCTTCTACTAAAATATGAAATTCATATTATTCATAATTGAATGATTTTTTAGCATTTTATTAATTAACCTATAGATTAAATTAAAACCTTACTTTAGAAATAATAGTTTTCGCAAATCCTATATAGTTTCCTTTAGCTATTGAATACTCTGATAAAACAACATTTTAGCCTCTTACAACCACTGCGTATATTATCTAGGGATTAGATGATTACATTAATAATATAATACTATATTATAATGCATCAATACATAATTATAGATTATTTAGAGAGAATCTATAAGAATTGATAATTTAAAAATATAATAAATTTTCTTATAAATTTAAAATACATTTCACATTATTTTCTCTCTATCTAAAAAGGATTTTCCTTTTATACAAATTTTTTAATAATCTGTTGATTTGCCTACAAATAATCTTACTAATAGAGCAATATTTAATAATCTTGTAAGCATACTTCCTAAAATAACAACCTTATATGATTTATATGGATCAATTATTTTTGAGATTGTCAATAGAACTGGAAAAGATATAAAGAACAAAGTTCCAAAAAGTTTGAGTTTAAAATAAAAATTATTCACAATTTCTCCTTTCTTTTTTTGTTAATTTGCTGAATAATAAAAATATAGGGCAAGAAGTATATAAATTATACTAATTGAATAACCTGCCCAGCCTTCATACATATGGAATTAAGTTTAAGTGCTTAGAACTCTGCCTAGTATAGCAAATAATGTTTAAACAATTCCAAGTATAAATATTAAAGGGAAATAGAAATTTGTCTATGCTTCAAGATTTATAAAATCAATAGTCCATCCCCAAGCAATTAATATTAATAATAACATGAGTAAATAGTTATCAATTGATTATATAATCTCTGATATAATAGCAAATGCACTTATTCCTCTTCCATTACTATTATATACTAAAAGATTGAAGAAATTGAGAGTATTTTATGTTGCTTCTAATCCTATGATTACTAAAACAAAAAGTAAAGCATAATCTTTTTCTCCATATTTTTCTTATTCTTTTCTATAAATTCTATAATTATAATAAAATCCAATAATAGTCAAAAATGTCAATACAGCTACAATACTAAATAATCCATGTTCTTCTAATGAGAATTCTTATCCTCCTTCATCAAAAAACCAGATAGTTATTTCAAAATAAATATTATGATCAAAATAAGGAAATAATTTATCTAGATAATGATCACAATTGTTTAAAATTGCTAACCAAACATTATGATATTTTCCATAAGCTAATTATCCATTCAATGTTGAGATTTCTTCAGAAGAATCAACCTCAATAGTTTAGTATATAATTCTATTTGCTTTTTCTTTTCTTTAACATTCATTTATTGATTAAGCAGCTTACCATTTATCTTATTAAAAGAATTCAATAGGGATTATTAATCTTTAGCCTTAATAATCTTTGGGAACATTAATTACTCGAGACCTAATTATATTATGAAAAATAGATACGATATCTCATAATTTACAATCCCACGACTACCAAATCTACTTATTGGAATGTAATCCATAGTTGAAAGTTATCTGAGTGAGAATTTTTAAGTAATGATTTTGGTTTAAGCTAAAGCTAAGAATATGAATAAAATTCCAAACATTTAATAATTAAATGATAATTTTATTGCTGATTTAAACATGCTACAGTTCCAGTTTATTTGACAACTCAACTAATAATAATATTACCGACCTATTCACTAGATGTAAAATGAAAGGAGAGAATTAAGACAATCTATTATTTCAATGTTCATAATTAAATGCCTTAATTCCAAAATCATAATTATTTGAAGAATCTATATATATTTATTCTTTCAATAAAACAGAAGATGTATAACTAAGCAATATGCTTCTAAGTGAATTACTTATAGATCCAGAGACTCAATCTTATTAAATTAAATTACTAGTTTTATATAATTCATATTATGGAGATTTGTTGTAAATGATTTAATCCCTTTCAATAAATAAATATTAATTCTATAATTACTAAACAACTGTAATTGATGGAACTTTGAATATGATTGGACTTCTAAGTATATATATAATATTCTATAAATAGTGAGTCATGTAAATGAAAATTATATTACATGTTATTTTATTCCAATCCATCCAAGTAGAGTGAATTCTTTTCCATTAAAGGCACATAACTTTTCTTGTAATTCTACATGTGAAATAAGAGGATTTTCATAATACTATAATAAATAAAGAAATAGTCTAATTATTTTAATTGCAGAAGAAGATATTTTAAATCTATTGGAGTACTCTTTTATGGATTAATAATTGAGATTTGTTTCACAATACTACATTTCAGAATTCCTAGATAAAAATGATATTATTTTGAAGACTTAATAATTTGAAGATTATTTACTGGTTGAATTAAAAACTTGTAAAGCATTATTTCATATCTCTTCCATTATTTTTGAAGTTCAACTATTATATATATTCTCCAAATCTTCAATTTTTGTTGATCATAAAACAAATCTAATATTTTAGAAATCCTATCAATAAACATATGTTTATTCTATAGACAATAATCCTTATTGGTTAATTTAAAAATAAGTTAATTAAATATAGATTTTAGATGTTCCTTTTACTAGTTCTATAATTGTTTAAAATGATAGGTAATTCATTTTTATTTATGATAATTTCCATTTAATAAATGTATAAATAGATAGAAATCTAAATATCAATCAAGAAAACAATTGTTTTAATAAATTTACTACATTTCCATATCCAAACTCTTAATCCTTAGAATATTAATTCTAATTCTTAGGAGAGAAAGTAGAATAAAATAATACTAAAATTCAACCACTTGAAGAATTATAAAATTATACATCATGTATTAAACCATGCAATCTTTTATATTTTAATTATGAGATCTCTTTAATTCCATATGAATAATAATGTATAATTTCTGAATTATATTAATAATTTACTGATTATTGCAGTCTATAAAATAATTGTATGAAATGTAATAATTAAATTGGATGTAATTGGGAAAATGATTTTTGTCACAAAGAAACTCAAATGTATTAAATTGATTTATCATCAAATGAGTAAAGTTCTAAATGGTATTATGGTAAATTATGGAGATGTGAAGAAATGCAATAATAATCTTCTTAAGCCTTTTGTGGTTATAATTAAACTGAATTTTCATAAAACAAAGAATTTAATTATTAAGGATAAATTAGAAAAGGGTAAATGTGTTCTTGGTTTTTTGATGCTAATGAATTATAGTAATTTAATTTGTTTTTTAAAGCTGATCTTGTGAATATACCTTCTTTCATTTAGATATCAATTTGTTTAGGATTAAATAAAAATGAAATTTGTACATAAATGAATTTTGAACCATTAGATCTCAATTAAACTTAAACATATCCTTTTAAAGGATATTATTTTAGATATACAATAATATTTATAGAAGATAATTTAGCTAACAATATCTAATTTTCATTTTAAAATTCTGCTCCAATATCAATGGCAGATAGACTCAAATAATCACTATTATAAATGTTAGCTTGGTTATTTTGTGGAATATTGTTATTTTGCATAATGGGATATATGGCTAAAAGAAGACTTTAATATTTAGTAGCTTAGACTATAGATAATGATCTAATATAAGTAATTATATTAATTAATAATAATAGATGGCCCCTTATATGTAGAATTAAGTACCATTGTCTATTGATAGATTGAAAATTGTAATGCAGAATTTAATTGATTAAGAAATTATTACTAAATATCCATCTGATCCCTCATTATTATTATATGGAGAGGATTCATGTGCTTTTTGTTTTGATTAATTTGATGTTTCTCAATTTGTTGCTTAATTATTTTGTGGACATGTTTATCATTATGATTGTTTTGAAGATTGGATAAGAATTAAAGGAATGTTAGATAAATGTCCAATTTGCAATTAGAAAGTGGATCATTTTTTAGCAAACAAAGAAGAATTTGCAATTATTAAGTCTTAAATTTTGGTTAGAATAAATGAATCAGAGAAACATACAACTCATTTAATTGAATGACACTATTAATATTAATTAAATTATCATCATGTAACGAAGCAGCAATAACCCCATCTTTTTATCTCCAGATCAATTTGCCACACTATTTAATCAAGGAATTAGAGAATCTCTATATTTGGATGAAATGTAGGACTAAAGAGAACTCAGTTTCTCAGCTCCAAAAGTAGATGAGATGAATTAATCAAACCAACTCAATTAATCTAATAATATTTTACCTGAATTTCCAAAAGAAGATGTTGTTATAAGTATTAATAATTTAAATATATAACTTAGTATCTAAACAATTATATGAATAATCCTAGAGTATTGAATAACATAATAAACAATTGAGTGAATCATATTAAAGAATACTAAAATAAAACAAAGAGTTGTTGAATAAAAGAAAAGTATTAGAAGAGGAGAACTAAGCTCTTCTAGAAGAAAACTTTGAACTTAAGAGATAGTCTCATGAACTATAATAAAAATTGACTCTTGCTCAAAATTAGATGTTGATAAAAAGAGAGTAAGAAATACAAACTTTAAAATAACAAATTAAAGAATTGTAAAGTTAATCAAATTCTAGAGATTCAGCTACCAAGACTGAAGGAAGTACTGCAACTTCTCATAAATCTTGTTTTGGATCAAACACTCATAGAGTATAATCAAATGAACAATCTAAAAATCCATCTAGATTCACTTCTCCAGTTCCAAAATAATAAACATCAGAATTCTCAGTCTTCAATTAATATAATTCAAATACTATTTTCGGAAAATAACCCCAATTATGAATTACATCTAAATGTATATAATATTTATTTCAAATTTTATCAATTACTTTTAGCAATCAGACAACTTAATAAATATATTCCATAAATAAGGATAAAAATTATAATAAGATTAGTATAATTAATTAATTTATTTTTTTTACAAAATGCAAACTAACAAGGTTCAAGTTACTTTTGGTTCTAAAACCTTATATCTCAAATTGAATGATAATCTTGATGATTTAAAGAAAACTATTTTTAAAGAATTTGGATTAAAAGAATTTATTGCAGAGTATCAATTATTATCATAATAGAGTAGAGTGGAAGTAAATAACAAATAGAAAATAACAATTGAATTTCGAAATGATAATTTAATTTAGAAGGAGGAAATGCTTAATATTAATTAATTAGGATGCAAGAGCATAAAGATTATTGAAATGAAGGATTAAAAAGATCAAATCAATAATTATTAATTTTATGATGCATTTGTTAATGGAAATGAAATTTAATGCTGTACTAGAAAAGATTGCTAATTATGTTTTGGAAATGGATAAGCCATTATAAAAGAAAATGATTATTCATTCATTAATGAAGTCATTAGGAACAAATTAAATGAAAGATTACACGAAATTAGTGATATGTAAAATTATATATTGATATAATAGAATTCTAAAGAGAGACAAGAAAAAAATAACATCTCCTGAAGATTTTTTACAATATCATTTAAAAATTAAAAGTTTTAATTAGGAATTTATGACAATTACTCCAGAAAATGCTTTTATTCATTTTTAATAGGATATAGGTATAAATAATTGGTTATTTAAGTTATTCTTCAGGATGATAATCTAAAAGCAAAAATAATTGAATAATAATAGCTTATTGAAGGAGATAGAGGAGGGGAAGCTGTAATATAATTAAAGTATAAAAATGATGGATTTGTGAATTGGCCTTAAAAAGTTTAATTGGTTTGTATTGAAGGTCCTTTTTAAATAAGATAAGATATAAAATCAGCAATCAAACAATAAACAATAAGTTAAGAAATTAAAATTCATATTCCTGATATACCTCCAAATAAGTATGAATTTTCTTGTAGATTTGAATACTAAAATGAACGTGGTTAAAAGATTCAGTTTGGCTAAGTAATAAAATTAATTTTGATTGTGAATGAAAAGAATTAAAAAAAATTAACTAATAAATTATAAAATTTTGATGAATAAAATAGAAAACTAATTCCTGAAATAAAAAATCAATTAAATTAAATGGGATATTATTATTTTGAATAAAAAATGAATGACATATTTTAAAAATTTTTTAATTAAAAATTAACTTTAGAAAGTTTTATGAATGAGTTTTGGAATGAGTGATTTAAATATAAATTTTAGCCTTTTATTAATATAAATCTATATAATAATAAGTTTAATCAATATTTTTTGATATTTTTAATACACAATTAATCACAATTCTTCATAAACATTTAGTCTAAATTAAATCTTTATATTTTTTAGTTCCAGGTAAATTTTCATCCATTATTAATCTGAAAAGGTTATCATCTTTAAGTTTTATACCTTAATCTAATTTATCCTTATAAGCTTCATTTATTTCATCTATAATTTTTGGTGTGATAACTTAATCGAGATATCTTTTTTCTTTTTTCATTTTAGCTAATATTTTAATAATAATTTTTTTAAATCTCAAATATTTGCTTCTTAAATATGCATTTTGTATATCAATCATATCTTAAGTCATTTTAGTATGTTATTTTTCTCTTGCAGGTGTAGTCTTTAATGTTTAAGGATTATAATTAATTTCCATTATATGAATTTTAAGATCATCTGTCATAATAAAATCAGCAGCAAAGAACTCTGCTAATCTACTATCTCTTGTTATTTATCCTTCCACTGATTTAATAGCATGTATAATCATTCTATCAACTGTAGGATAAAGATAATTCTATAGCCATTTCTTATCTTTTATTTTCCCTTATTAAAACAATAAATCTTGTAAATAATCTAATTTCCAATCTATAAATAATTCAGATTCATCAGCATTTTCATCATCCATATCCAAATCTGATCCTCTCTATTTAAGTGTACTCTTTACTATAGCTGTATTACAAACATGAGCCTCCTTATTTAAAGAAAATTTATCAAAAGGAGCTATACATCTTCTAATTAAAGTTTTATCATATGCATAAGCTATTATTGGATTAGTTGAAGCCAGAACCCAATAAATTCTAAATTCTATCTTATGATTATTGAATAACATTGGATTTCCAATATATTATTAAGCAACTAATAGAGATTGATCTAAACCACATCTTTTTCCATTTTTATAAGTTTCCTATAATTTTTTAGTTTCTTCAGGAAATAACACTTTAATTCCTCTACCTCTATGAACTTCTAAACCTACTTTTGTTATAAATTAAGGTCCTTCTTCAGCTATTTTATCTTAATATTCCTTAGAATTCAAATAATCGAAAAATTCTTTACAATCTTATTTCTAAAACAAACGATAGGTTTTTGGAATGAAGGTTGCATTATTAATACATTCTTAATCAACACCTTTCTCTCTTAAAGAATCAATGTATTTATATTAATTATTCATAAGGTTGTCTTTATGAGAAAGTACGTGTCTTGATGGTAAATGGTTATATTTTTAGAACAAGCAAAGAGATGCTAATTATTTATTATATGATCATTACCTTATCCAACTTTAAATTTATGTATCAATTAATCATAGTAAGTGAATGGTAAAGTTAATTATTCTGGTAATACATGTTTTGACAAAGCTAGCAATATTTTATTATTATTTATGATTACTTTGAGTATTTCTTAATTTGTGGTACATTTATGGAATACAATCATAATATGACGATCTCAAGGCTTCTCTGATCACACCTTTAGCTTCACGAAAAGTATAAGTGTCTGTCATAATAACATCAGGGTGGTAAAATTTGTATAAATCTGACCTTTTGCAATAATCAAATTCTGGTTTCACAAGAATCGAATTATACTAACAATTAATAATTCAATTGATACTGCAGAATGATTGGTTGGAGGAGCATAATAAGTGTTTGTTAAGTATTTGTTAAGGTATGTTAATATTTGATCGACTTCTTATCTATTTTTATAAACAAGTGAAATCCTAATGAAATTGTAAATGAGAAGAAGACTCAATATTGACATGATTAAGACAATCACTTTACCAAACATTTTATTTTTAATTATATTCGTTTTTAATCAATAAATTAATTCATCATAGTTATTTTTATGTTCCGTTTTTGTTACATCTTTTATAGACTTAATTACGAATAAGCAATTTTACTATATTAATTAAACGATTAAGTTAATGTCCTATACTTTATAGTAAGTTTTTTACTTTAGATTTGATTTACAAATTTCATACTTTTCTTTTAATTAAGTATAATATTTCAACTTTATATATAAATTCATATTATTATTAAATATAAATCAAAATAGATTATTAATATCAAAAGACTAAATATAATTAAGAAAAATATATCATTTAAATTTATAAATGTTTAAAAAATGATTTCAATTAAATTAATTTTGTAATATCATCATAATAATCTAGAAAAATAAATTATATATGAAATTAAAATATATATCTATTCATTTTATTTAAATGAAGTTATAACTATTATTATATAAAAATCAAATAAGCTTTAATTATTCTCATCTTTTTCAAGAATTTAATATTAGGGATATGAAAATAAAAATAATTATAATTTATTTTTGAGATATTTTAAATCAGTGATATAAAAATAAATAATTAGTTTTAACAAATAATTCTCTTTATGTCTTATCTTAAGAAGCACAAACTTGTAGTAATTTATCTTCAATATCATGAATACTTATTGAATCTACAAGTTATATAATTTCTTAAGAGAAATGTTAAATAGTTTAAGCATTTAAATTATTTAGTTATTTAGAATATAGAAATTTTGGTAAAGGATAAGGTTTTTCTTTAGGTAATTCACTCATTGATCGTCTATTTAAAACAGTTCTCTGCTATGTTTTCTCTAAAAGATTGCTTTTTTTAGCATTTTCAGATCTTTCTCGATTAAATAATGCTTCTTCAATTTTTAATTATTCAATTAATCCTCTTCTTTTAACTTCAATAATATTTTATGATTTTTTCGAAGAAGCCTTTTCTAAACTCTCTTCTAATCTTTTTAATCTCTAAAAATCCTGTTATTTCTTCTCTTCTAAACATTTTTAATAGCGTGCCAATGTTTCATCTACTCTAGTACTTCTAGGAATTAAATATTGAGCTTATTTTTAGAGTTCCAATTTTTACAACTTAGCATCGTAACTCATTCTTCTTTGAGTATGCTTATCTGTTATCAATTTCTAAATAATATCTCTATTTCTTTAAACCTATTCTAACCTAGAAGTGTCTAAAACTTCCTTTTAATATGCACGTAATTCCCTTTCACTACTTATTTATTTCCTTCGTGTTTCAATTAATTGCTCCTTTTATGAATATTACATTAATTATTATTCTCTATAATCTTGTTAAAACTTCTTTATCTTCATCAATTTATCATTTATTCTCTAGGTAGTTGAGTCCTCAATTTTTTCTTCAGGTGGCAATGATTTCTGATGATATTAAGTTTCTTCAGATTTTCTATTAAGCAAATCCTGATATTCAATTAGTAATCTTTATCTTCTTTTTTCATATTATTTTAAGATTGTTTCCTAATAGAATTGGGAATCATTTTCAAATTCAGGAGGAACTTTAATTTTTTTGAGAGGTAATAGATCTTGTTCGGTGATACCCATTTTTCTTAATATTTATTAATTCATAAATAATAATGTAACATATGATTAACTATTTCATTTTATCTTTGTTTTTAATGTTCTATTATCCTTCTTCCAATTCAATAAAATTGCAAGTACTTTTATCAATCTTGCTATCTTTATGTTTTCAAATTTCTTTAATTTATCCATTTCTTATATATTAACCACATTTTATTGATACAAAAATCTTAATATATCTTTTTTATACTATAAATAAAACACTACTCTAATTTATTATAATTGATTATCCTAATTCTTAGCTTAATGAACTTCCGGTTTAATAAGATGATTTCATATTTGATATTCCAAATTCCACTAAATTACTTTAATTTGGCAAATCATTCTAATCAACAAACTTTAAACTAAAGTCAAAAATTTCACTTTTTTTATAAAAAATAATCATACAGGATTTCCAATAAAAAATTGTACATTCTTTAATGATTAAATAATGTAATTCCACATAATAGATTTTCATGATATATGTTAGTTTCAGGAATAATCACAAGCATTTTATAAACTTTAAATAATAGTAATACACTAATATTAACATTATTGATTTTCACTTACTTTAGATTTCTTTATATTTATTTTCTATTGTATGGTTTTAGTACTTATGATAAAAGCAATGAAGTATGTTACTATATGCTCTATTATGATATATCATTTAATTAATATCGAATCATAGTCATAATTCATTCAATCTAATTTAGTATAAATATATAGTAATATTTTTTGATTGAAAATTTATAATGCGTAAATTTACATCATTAATTAATATCACATAATACATAAAGAATAGACTTATAAATAACAATTATTTTAATGGGAAAAAAGACTGTGTTGATTCTTACTTTTATTAGTTATGCTTAAATGCATGCAGCTAGAACTCTATGGTCTTACATGCAAAAATATTTAACTATTGAAGACTACAATAAAAATAAAATGGGTTAAGCATATTTGACATTCTTATTAACATATGGTATAGGTATGAATACAATTGGTCCAATGTGTTGTAAAAACAGTTTGAAACATTCTATAGGAATTAGTTGTATGGCAGTTGGCATGTTGTTTGCAATCCTTGGAATCTTGTAGGAGTTTCAACTCTTAACTTTGTAAGATTTAAATTTTAATGAATAGTCCTTTGGTCATTATATTAATGGCTATAAATGGTTTAATACAATCTGCATGCTATCCTGCATGTGTAAATGTATTGGGAAATTGGTTTAAAAATCATAAGGTAGGATTAATGATGGGCTTATGGTCAGGATGTGTTAACGCGGGTGATATTTATGGATTATTAATTGGTGATGTTGTAATTCAAAGACTCGAAATGCCAGTTTATTGGGGTTTTTACTTTATGTCATGCTGTTTAATCTTAGCTAGCATAGCTACGTTATCTTTTTTATAAAGCGAACCTAGAAATTAAATTCAAGGTATAAATGAATCAGAATCTGCTCCTCTAATCTTAAAATAGAAAAATAAAAGTTTAAATATTCTATCAGCTTGGTTGGTTCCTGGAGTTGCTATTTATGCAGTAGGATATGCTTGCCTTAAAGGAACTTTTTATGGGTTTTTAGATTGGCTACCTTTTTATTTTTAGTAAAAGGGAGAGAAACTTGAAAACCATTCTTCTTATATTTCATAAATGTTTGATGTTGGTTGTTATGTTGGTGGAATCTTTTTAGGATATTTAGGAGATAAATATAAAAGACGTGCATGTTATTTTGTACCTAGTTTGTTATTGGCTATGGGTTCAATGTTGGTTATTAGATTTTGTTTGGATTTAATAGTCTGGCCTTATTATCTTTGTATTTTGGCTATAGGTATATTCTAGGGAGGACCATACAATAACATTTCAGGTGTCATCTCAATAGAACTTACTAAACAATTTGAAAATGATAAAGCAGCTATATCAACTGTGTCATCATTGATTGAAAGTACAGGAACTTTGACAGCTGCAATGTTTTAGATCATTATTCCAAGGATTGGAGACGAACATTTATTTACATTTTTATGTCTTATAACATTATTAGCTGAATTAGTTTGTTGTGTTCTCTTATTTAGAGAATTAAAAGCTAAAAGAAGATCCAAATGATAATATTAATGTATTATAATTTATATTTATACAATATCATTGATCTTATTAAGCTGCAAGTGCTGCTTCTTTTGCTCTTTCTTCTTCTTCTTGTAATCTCTTTTATTCTACTTCTCTGTCATATTTATCTTTTGCAAATGAAAATGCTTTTTCCTTAAGTTGTTTTGTAACAAATATATTATTTATTTTTTCTAATCTTACCATAATATTTATAGTATCCAATAAATAATTGGGACTTTTAGATTCAAAAGGATTTCCTTTGTATAACAATCTTTTTAAATTTGGTAAGATTTGCAATTTAGTAATTTCATCAAATTTATCAATTTTGTTTTCTCTAATATCAAAATGAACTATGTTTTCCAAAACTGGAAATGTTTCATCAAAACCTTCAATCTAGATTAATCTTAAATAAATACTAAGTTTTTTCTTAATTGTAATATTTAAATAGAGGTTAACAATTCAATTCCCTAAATTGCCTTGATTTTATTTTCACTTAATTTAAGTTCTTTCAATTCAGGTAGATTTTAAAACTAAGTCAAAGCAGCAATTTTATTTCTCTTCAAATATAATTACCTTAATTTTGGATTACCATCAAATGTATCCATTTTTTCAATTTTATTATCATTAAGATTAAGTTATATTAATGGAACTTTGATAGGACCTAATTCAATTAATTTATTGGATGCAGCATTGAGATATTTAAGAGATTTGAAAGCCTCTTCATTAGCAAGTGATTTCAAATCCTTAATATTATTGCCTTCTACATTCAATCTGATTAAGTACGGCAGTTATGAAACTAGATAGTAAGAATAATACGTTGCACAATTTCAGAGATGTTATTTCCACTTAAATCTATTGATTCAATATATTTGTAATTTTAAAAGGTTTGTGTCAATACATCTACATTCTTTTGATTTAAATTCAAGATTGTAAAATGATAACCACTATTATCTTACACCATCTTAAAACCTGATAGATTATTCATAATGAGTTCTTCAAAGTTGATTTTTGATTTAGATTCCTCTTGTTATTTTGGTTGTTTCTTGGCTTCTTTCTTAGACATATTATTTAATATTAATATTATGTTTTATAAATCAAAACAATCTCTATTTAGCTTCATCACCATCTCCTACTAATCCCTTTTATTATGCAAATTGATAATGTAAATCAACTACATCTATTCCATCATGTACTTTAGTCCAACCATTCTAATGAATATGATAAACTAAATTAATCTTTAAATTCTTACCTCTAACTACACCACCTGAAGCAGTGTCTCTGTGTGTTGCATGATAAATTGCTCTTATTCCTAATTCTACTGCTTCATTCAATGACATTTCATATCTATAATGATTATCCAATACACCATAAGCATAAGTACTACCACTACCAACTGAGAAGATATCTCCTTTCAATCTCATTCCATCATTATCAATATAGTATAAATGTTATCCAGATAGATCAGATCCTGCTATCATACAACCCATAGAGAGACCAGAATTCTTATAACCAATAAGAATTCCTTAGAGGAATTTAGAGGCTGCTGCAACACTCAATTTACTACCATTTTTTAATTCATATGTTCTACAATGATTAGCTAAATATGCCAACCAATATTAACAATCAGCTGCACCTCCAGCCATAGTACCTTTAATAATTTGAATTATATATATATACCTAATAAATATTCATTAATTTCAATCACTTTTCTTACTTATTCACTACTCAAAAAACTACCCATACTAGCTCTTGAGTCAACTGCCAAAAGAATTCCTTCTTTAAATACAAATCCTAATGTTGTTGTTCCATGTTTGAAATTATTTAATTTATTTCCTCCATTTGTTTATGTTGGACCATTCAAAGTTCTGTAAATTACTTAAGGTGCACTAGGCATTTTTAAAGTATTGATTTCATCTTTATCTTCCTTTTAATAAGTGTGAGCTAATCCAAATGTAGAAGGATCGAAATCAAACATTTTAATATTTTAATTAAATAATCATCCTTATCTCAAGAAATATTATTAAATAGTAGTTAATGGTCTTAGTTACAAATTATGTTAAAATTTGAGAATTAAATTACACATATATTTTAAATATATATACTATATATGAAAAAAACTCATCATCGAAGAACAAAATCAAGTGGTAACTACATTCCCATCTAAAACGAATTTCTTGTTTAAGATGATGATAATGATGATACAAATGAAACGAAAGCAATTATTAAAAAAATATAACAATAACCTATTCTACATCATTAGATAATCGAAAAACTTGATGATTAAAATTATGGATTGTTCAATACTATGTTTAATTTTGGTCAAATGAAGTATAAACCAAAACAATCTTTAGACTTAAGTACAATTACAGAGTGCAGTTGTAATGAATACACATTATTCTTAGCTACACCCTCAGCTAAAGATGCTTAACCTAAACACAGAAAATGTGGAAGTCAATAATAATAAATGAACAAATAGCTTATAAGACATAATCATAGTCAAAGTCTTTAAATACATAGACTTGAATAAGAATTAGAGTAAATGAAAGTATAACAGGCTGAAATCTAAAATGTGAATATGATGCTCTTTATTGAAATTCATAAATCACGATCAGAGCTCTAGATATCTTAATAAGTAACATCTTATCTTCATATTAGAAAAATGAAATTATTCTTTAACGAATAAGAAAATTAGAAAAGATGTTAAGAGATGATTAAAAATTATCATGTACAACTAATGACAGTCTTGAATTTTTCTGAGAAAAATACTCATTTTTGTTAAACATTTATATAACATACATATTCTTGTATCATAATATCAAATTTTATTAAAACTCATTTTTAATTACGTATTATACTAAAAAGAACTGTGAATTAAAAGATAATTAAATTATATTTTCTATAATAATGATATATCTACAAAATTTCATTAGGACTGATATTAATAGGCACATTAAAAATATGATTTTTCTTTTTACTTTGAGTAATCATTTTAACCAGAAGGAATATTTGGAATTTTTGAACTTTCTGTTACTCCAAAAATACTCAACGTTTCTGACTGAAGTATTCCTTGGAAATCACTTATTTATACATTTTCAATTTAATTCTTAATCTCATTAATTTCCTAAATATATTATTTATATAATCATACATTAAATGCATAATTTCTATTATAAATTTTATCCCATAAAAATTCATCATTATTTGAATAATGTAATATCAATCGATCTTTCAAATTATTTAAATCATACTTTTGTTATTCTATTAATTGTTAAATTTATTCATTTAATTTTATAACACTATCAATACCTTAATTATAGAATAATAATCCATCTACACAACCAATACTTTTAAAACTAACTTAAATTGTTTATTAAGATTCAAAATGTAATTATAATAATAATAAAGCAGCTGTTGTTAGAAAATCTCTTTTACCAACAGAAAAGTATTTTACTACTGCATTTTATTTTTATTTGGATGGTAATTTGATAATATGAATTAAATTTTTGTTTATTTATAATGTTTTTGTAATTGTTTCAATATCATTAGGATGATATTCTTAAACTAATTATTTTGCATTCTGTATATCAATATTACCACTAATGAATGCTGTATACTTAATATCTGAAAACATATCTGTTAAAAATTATGAAAACTCATTAAATTTTAAATCCTAAAATTCTCTAATGATATCAGCAGGATCATTTACAGGTCTCAACATTAATTTTGGTAGCCAATATTGTACTAAATAAAATTAAGTTTTAGAAAAATAATATTCTTAAAATTAATTTCTTAAATCTTCTTTTATTATTGTAAATTTAGATTCATCTTTTATTTCTTTGATATTTGATAACACTTAATTTTTAACTGCTTCAAATGTTAGACTCCATCCTGATAACATAAAAGAAAGACCTTTATAACTGCTTTCTACTTAAAAATTGAAACCTGCAGAAATAGCATCTAAACTTGATTGTTCTATATACATTTAGGCAATTTTCAAAATTGCTTTTGATTTTGCAATGCTATAACCATTAATTGGTTTATAGAATAAAATTCCAAGAAAGACTCTATTAGTATGATTATCATATTGCCACCATAATTCTTAAGAAATCTATAATGGTGTTAAAATTGGTATTAAATAATTTTTTTAAGATTGATCTAAATCTAATGGAATATAAGGAGTAAGAGGTTTATATACAGGTTCTATATCATTTGGAGAATCATTCATAAGTTAGGGTTCTTATAAAGTAATATTAATTGGGACAATTTCATTAGTAGTGTAAAAATTATAATTTGGTAATTCAAGTGGAATATATTGTGAGAGATTGGGTAATTTTAATTATGAAATTAATTACTCATCTATATTAGAAACAATAGTATAATCTAATAAAATATTGGAGTATTCAATTGATTATATTTTTTTATTAACAAAATTAGAGTTTAAGAAATCTTCTTTGTTTAAAGTCTTTAATTCTTGATATATAAATTATCCTTATTATATAATAATGACTCCTGATTAAATATTATCAATAATTGCATTTAAATCTTTTTTGGAAAACTCTTTATCTTCAATATATTTTTAATAGAGTATTTATAAATTATAAAAATCTTTATGACAATTTAATAATGTTTTTTCATTCTATCTTTTTAAAAATGATCCAAAATTATAGATTGCATTAGCTAATGTGATACTATCTACATCACATTCTTAAATATTAATTGCTAAGAAATCAAAATCTAAAATGTCAAATTAACATTTAAGAATTGTTTGTAAAGAATTTTGTGTTTTCTATAATAACAAATGTTTAAAAAATTCATCTTATTTTGCTGGATATATTAAAATAGTTGATGTTTAATTTGAATTGATTCTAATTTAATTATATAAAATAGGCTCTAGATCCCAAGAATCAATAATGGAAGTTCCAAATTCTTTTTACAATAATTAAGTATCTGAAACAAGCATATAAATTTCTTAATTTGATAATGCAGATTCTATTGTCAATCTAAGTGGATTTGAAACCAATATTAATTCGATATAATTTTATAAATCTTATATCTACATAGGTTCTGTCATAATTTCATTATTTAATGATATAGCATCTAAAACTCTATCAATTTTAAAAATAAGATCAATGTCATTAGTTTAAATTTATTCACTATTTATATTATCCAAATCATCTTATGTATATTCTCTCACAAGTGAATCAGCAAACTTTCTTATACAAGTTTCCATTAATTCGTTTTTAAAGTGAGTAGTAATAGTACTCATATATGCCCTTTCTATTAATTATGCTTAAGAACACTATTGTTTCAATAATAAATGCATAAATAATGTATTGTAATCATCATCATGATAACCATGATAGATTACAAATTATAAAGTGGCTATTTCTACTTATTTTTCTTGTACAATTAAGGTTAATCCATTCTTAAATTACCAACCTTATAATTATCCTTCATTATATGGTTCAGCTTCAAATATTAATTCTTCAAATTATTCTTCTTCTGGTTCTGGGATTATGTTATCAAATTAAGTAACATCTTCAGGACTTGTTAAAAATTGCATAATGTCTTAATCTTCTTTATCCAAAACTACAGTATCATCAATATCATCAATATTTTCTGTTTCATTAACTTTCAATTATTAGATTTAAGGAATCTAAGACGATTATTTATGATTGGCCAAAGCATACTTAAAGACTAAGAAAACTAATAAAATTAGTATTATCAGTTGTATTATGTAACAAATAGTGGATAGAATGCCACGTGTTTCAGGATCTTTAGGTTTCTTCACATCTTGATGTACTAATCCTTAATTTTCTTCATCCATTTGCATTAATTAAATGTTTAATCCATTTCGATATATTGCTGATTTTTTACACTTGGTGTCATTTCTGATACTCATTTTAAAAATTCGTAAAACAAGAAATTGCTTAGGTAACTAATGAAATAATATAATAGGATTATCATACAGAACTTAAGAAATCTATCTTGCAGTGTTCTGTGTCAGATATATTGATCTATTCATGTATTTTGTTTCAGTTTACAATACTTCAATGAAATTACTTTACATCAGCAGCACTGTGTTCATTATATACCTTATGAAGTTCAAGAAACCATATTGTCTAGTATTTAATACTGCTAATTTATAGTCTTATGATTAAGCAAGTGATGACTTTCCACACTATAAATTCATATACACTGGAGCAGGAGTCTTGGCTTTACTTGTCCATACAGATTTAGCACCATTTGAATTAGGATGGTCATATAGTATTTGGTTAGAAGCATTAGCAATTATACCATAATTACATATGTTACAAAAGATCAAAGATGTTAATATAAATTATCATAATTAGGTTGAAAACATTACATCCAATTATGTGGGAGCTTTGGGAGTTTATCGTTTCTTCTATATTGTTAGTTGGATTTATAAATACTCATTAACTGGAGATGTTTGTTGGACATCACTTTTGGGAGGAATTGTTTAAACTATCTTATATGCAGATTTCCTTTACTATTACATCATTAGTCTAAAATCAGGGAAAGGTATGTCTTTAGGAGTTTGAGATTTGTGATTATTACAATATTGAAAGCAGTTTAAATTAATACCCTTATAATTATCATTCTTAAGAGATTGCACATTTCATTTATTACAAATTTTTACTATAATAATGACGTGGCAATCTGGAAATCATAATTAAAAATTTAGAATTAATAAAATTAATCAAATTAATCTACAAACACATTTCTTTTCAAATTCAAATAATCTACCATTTTCCAATTTAACTAAAACTTTTTTCTTTTCTTTCTTCTCTACAAATTAACCAAATTCTCCCTTAAATTCTCCTTTTATAATGCAAACCCTTCCTCCTTTTTTTGGAAGTGTAACTTTAACATCCTTTTCTTTCAAATCTTCTATTAGTTCTCCATGAGAACCCAAAGCACTAAAAGTATATTCATCTTAAACATCTGATATTGAAATATTTTTATTATAGAATTTACCATCCTAATAATGCTTATTCTTAACCTTAACTACAATGCCTGATGTTATCCATTTTAATTATTTCTGAGATTTACTTTTTGATCTACTTCTACTTTTTTCTTCTTTGTATAATTTAGCATCTACCACTTAATCAGCTGCAATTTTTATTTTTTCTCCATTACTTTTCAATTCTATTAAATAAGTATCACTTTATCCTTATATTTTAATAACATCAACTATAACTCCTTTCATTTTTTTATATTTTCCACTTTTAATAACTACATCTTAAAATTTTTCACTTTCTTATTTCTCCTTCTCTCCAATATATTTATATGTTTTCATAGGATTCACTCCTAAACCTTCTCTGTCTCCTCTTGATTAAAATTCTATTGGTTTTAATAATGCTGTGCTTTTTTAAGAATTTTTGCCAATTGGTTAACCTTCTTAAAAACCCATTTTTTAAAGTAAATTTTAAGCAAATTAAGATACAGGAGCCTTAAAGTAAGTTTCTTCAGTATTATCAGGTTTGCTAGATAAAGTGAAATTTTTTCTTTCTTAAACTGGTACATCATTTATCATCTTTATTAAATTATATTTATGCTTTATAGGAAAACTTTGTAATTTTTGAGCAATTAAGTTGCTCGATCTAAATTAGGGTAATTACAGTATCAAGGGATTATGATGAAAGTACCTTGTGAAATGCAAAAAGAAGAAAATTCTGAAGAAGATAGATTAGTAAAAGCATTTTTTACAAAAAATCACGAATAAATAAAAGTATATGGTCATTCTCAGAGAGAACCCAATGAAAAGAGCAGTTCACCAAAAAATTCATGGTATAAGGTAGTATTGCCATTTAAAAGTAATCCAGAACTAAGTTTTAAATTTAGAAGATTTTACACAAATCAAGTAAGAATTGGTCGTTTATTGGAATTGATGGATTATATAGCATCCACTGTTTCATATAATTATATACTACCTAGCAGTGGTGCTACTATGGTTACTGCAATGGTAGATAATATTAATTTTTTTGGAAAGATTTCTGCTGATTAAGATCTTGAAATATAAGGATATGTAACATATGTTGGTAATTCATCTATTGAAGTGTATATTGATGTTATGTAAGAAGGAGTAGTTAATGTTTCAGCCAATTTCTTAATGGTAGCTAGAGATGGCAAAGATCATTCAAAAGCATATAAAGTACCTGTTATGGATTTGAATGGAGAAGGTGATAAAGAAACTGCAGAATTAAGATGTTATTTAGGAAAACATATGCAAGAAAAAAGAAAATAATAAAAAGACAGAGGTTTAGATAGAAAAGCACCAAGTTAGGAAGAAATTAATGAACTACATAAATTTTTCATGAATCCTCCATCAGATATAACTATAGATGAAACTTAAATTGAAAAAACATTGTTAATGCATATTTAAGATAGAAATCTCCATGGAAAAGTATTTGGAGGCTTTGTAATGAGAGAAGCTTTTGAACTTGGTTGGCTCAATGCTTATTTACATGTTAAAGGATAAGGTTTCCCTTAAATTATACATATTGATGATATTTAATTCCTTGCACCTGTTGATATTGGAAGTGCTTTATAAGTTTAAAGTAGAATTACAGCTGTAAAGGACACAATAATGCATGTTGAGGTTAATTGTTATAAAATAAGTCCAAATTAATAGAAAATTAGATCAAATGATCTTCATTTGACTTTAAATGTTCCAGGAATTGCTATTCCTTAAGTTCAACCTAAAACATATAATGAAGGTATGTAGTGGTTGAATGCTTGTCGTCGTATGAATTATACTATTTGAACAAATGCATTTGCAAATTTATTAGTATAAAATATGATTTAATAATATTTCTATTATCTACTCAGAAAGATTTCAAAAAACTAATATAATAAAGGAACACAGATATATATTAAACTTCAATATTTTTCAACTTTAGGTTATTATTTTTTACTTGGTTATTAGACTTACATTGCCATCATTTCTTGCATTTCTTACATTTATTATTATTATTATTATTGCATTCTTTTCATTTCTTCTCTCATTTACATTTTAAGCATTCCTATTTCAGCCAATTATATGAATCCCAAGATTATGCCTCCAAATATAGCATTTCTAACTGCAATTCTTGTGCCAGCTAAAACTATAATTCAAAGGCTATACCTCTAATGGCTAAAAATCCTCCTGTAAATGCACCAGCAACTATAGGATTAATAAAATCTTATTGGTTTCTCAAATGCATAAGAGTACAATCTGTAATACTAAACAATCCTCCCCAAAGAGCAAATGATCCTCCTAAAATTGGGGCTCTTCTTTTTAATAATTAGATTCCCCCAAAAAATCTCTCCTTCTTTGGAGCAAATGACATGCCTTTTAAGAAATAGAATATGCATCCAGCAAAGCACCCCATTGAGAAAGCTCCTCCAAAATCATCAATGATTCTGTAAGGACACGGTTATTCACGCATAGCCATCTTAATTCTGGTTAAAATTTATTAATTAAAAGTTAATCATTAATTAAAATAATTAAGTAATAGTAATAATGGAAGGGGATCATCTTTTGTAAGCTAAAGTTCTGATTCTGCAATCAATATTAATTCTATTATTATTAGATCTCAGAACAGAATTGCTTGGTTCACTCTCTAAAATTAATTTCTTATTTTATGTTATTCTTTCATTATATCACAATCTATAATATTCCTAAAATTAGTACTTATATTTATGTTGGTTTCAATCATTTTTTATCAAAAATTTGTTAAATTTATTAACGCAAATTTTGAAATTTTAGTTTATTCACTAGTTTTCAAGTTTCAAATGATCATCCTACATATAAATATACTCTCTTTTGTAAAGTTGGATCTCAAAAGATATTTTAGATAACCTATCTCTAAATAATTAGGGTGATTAGATTAAATTTTCATAATCTCCTAAATGAATTCCTTTTAAAAAATAATTAAAACACTTTATGTTCTTAACCAAATGAATCCGAATCTGAATTTACTTTTATTCTTTTATGAAAATCTTTTAATTTATTTAAATAAATAAATTCAATAGGTTTCAATTTAATTTTCTTAAATTTTTGATTGAGAAACATATATTGAATTTAATAATGAGATAGATCATATTTTGATTCATAAATAATTTTGTTTTTGAGATAATTATTACTATTCTAAAAATATTATTAAAAAGCTTATAACTTTTATAAGAACTCAAAGTTATTGTAAAATTAGTCTTGCTGCAATTAATTCAAATGAAGCAGAAATTTATTTTGGAATTAATTGTTAACATATTTCAGAAAACGAATCAATTTTAAATGTTTTTATTAATTCCACTTTATTTTTTTTTAGGGTAAACTTTACCTACAGTACTTTTTCATGGATTAGGCGATAGTTGCTCTTGGTCTTTGCTTAAATCATTTTTTTCAGAAATAAACGCTGAGTGTATAGAAATAGGTTCTGGACCATCATCCTCCATTTTATTAGGATTTTTAGATCAAGCTAAGGATGCTTGTATTAAAGTGTAGGAAAAATATGCAGGTTAAACAATAAATGTTGTTGGTCTATCATAAGGTGCTTTGATTGGGAGATATATTATTACAGATTGTGATTTAAAAGGTGGAAGAGTGTCTAAGTATTTATCAATAGGAGGTCCTTAAATGGGTGTATCAGTTATTCCTCATTGCAATAGTTATTTATGTTGGCCATTAAATAAAGTAGTTGATTCTTTAGTTTACACTGATTATGTTTAATAACATATTGGACCAGCTGGTTATTTTAGAAATCATGAAGATTTAGATTCTTATTTAAAATACAATCATTTTCTTCCTGATTTGAATAATGAAAGAAATCCAGAATGTTCAAGGAGATAAAAAGTATAAGTTTAATATATTTGATTTAGTTTTCATCACTTGATTAAGTTATGCTTGTGAAATTTCTACAAGATGAAATGGTTCTTCCAAAAGAATCTGCATTTTTTGAATCAGTGGATCCTGAAACTGGTTTAGTGATTCCACTAATATAATCAGAATTTTATATCTAAGATTATATTGGTTTAAAATAATTAGATCAACAAAGAAAAATAAAATTTATAGAAATAGATGATTCTCATTTAAAATGGACAGATGAAATAACAAAGAATGTATTTATTCCTTTTTTAATTTGATTGACTTTTATATTAATTTGATATTTTATATTTAGTGTGTTATTTTTCAAAAAACTCTTAATATATATATTAATCTAATATTATTTGTAAACATCTTCATATTTAATTCAACTTTAAATTTTTGACGATTTTCTAAATATTTTAAATTGATACATTTTAGAAGTAATTTCACTTTCCACCTAAAGACCTCTATCTATTAGATTCACATATTTCTTATCTTCTTTGTAGACTAATAGAGATGCTACAGTTGCCATTAAAGCCAACAAAAGTAAAAATGATTCTGTTACAATCTTAGAATCAGTCAATCTAATTAAAAAATGTAAATACATCTCAAAGAAAGTGCAAATATGCGGAGTTACAGAAATTCCAAAATTCTGTAAACAAACAAAAAGAGCCAAACTTCTACCATATTTATGTGGATGTGTTAAATATAATACACTACTCCAAACAGTTGTATAAGATAATGCAAAAGAAAATCCTAACAACAGTAAACCTTCAAATGGAGATTACAACAGTACTAATATATGAGCCCAAATAGCCATCAAACCTGAGAAAATAGTCTTTCTATTTTACATAATAACTTACTAATGTTGATCTTTAACCATACATATCTATCACAAAACCTAATAATGGAGTTATAAATCCTGAGAATAACCACATTAATGTAACTAATTTTCTAGCTAAATCTTCTCCATTTTAAAGATTGATTAACCATTTATTCAATAAAAATTCTTATGCATAACCAACCAACACAAGAACAGATGTTGATGCAAAAGTGTAAAAGAATAATAATAACCAATATATAATTGGAAATTCATGTCTGTTCCCATAACCACAACAATTTTCATAAAAATTTTAATCTAAAACTTCTGATTCTATTTATTAAGCTTCAATATAATCTTATTCAATTTTTATTTCTTCTCCATCATCTTATAAAGAGAAAATTTCACTTGGACCTTGCTTCTAATAAAGTTATGAAGATTTTTTTATGCCTTCCTCTATTTAAAAATAGTTTGCTCCTTTCTAAATTATTATGGATTAAACATTAATATCAATATCTTTTGTTACAAAAGCCATAATCAACCCTAAAATAGTAAATAATAATGCAATAACATTTGAACCATATATAGAATCTATATTTGGAGCAAACAAAGTACAAACAACCATTCCACTCATATAAATTAGTTAATATATTCCTAATACAAAAGTCTAAATAATTAAGTAATTTAATACCAAATATGTAAATTTGTAATAGGAACAAATAAAAGAAGTTAAAACAATTAATAAAGATTCTATACCCCAACCTATAATAATTCTTCCTATTATGAAAGTAATCTTATTTCCTGAATGAGCACCTATTGTTGTAATAAATTAACCAATAACGCATAATAAATTTTGAAAAAGGATTGCAAAAGTATCTCCATAAGAATCTCTCAATACTCCAGAGAAGTAGGGTAGAAATGAATTTAATAAGTAATGGAGAGTTGTCAAAAGAGTTAAAAATTCTTTTTGATCATCTAAATTAAATATTTCACCAAGATTTTTCATTTAATGTGGCAATACTAAACAGTATGCTGATGCTATTAAACCAAAAGAAGTCGTTAATACTAAATGCCATTTTGATTTATGATTCTATTTATCCAAATAAAATTAGTTAATATTCTTCATAATTTTTCAATATTTGGTTATTAAAACAATAATTTTATGGTTTTGAAAGTTAAAAGAAAATTAATTAGAAACCTTTAAAAATGGAAAAAAGATTTTCATTTGAAAAACATTAGAATATATATTAAAGAAAGATAAAAGAGCTTTATAATAAACTAATTAATACTGAAATAAATTTATATATATTATAATAATTTCTCCTCTATTTAAATAATTTTTAATACTAAACTAAAATGAGATTTTATAATTTAAGATTGTATTAAGGAGTTGAGTATTTAATATTAATTTAATATTTCAAAATTAGTTACCCTGAATTTATTGAGCATATTTAAAAAATTCATGATTGACAAATTCAGTAGCAGTAATTCTATTATATTCTTCAGCTAATCCTCCTTCTATTAAATCTTTTAAATCTTCAAGTAATTGTTTAGGTGTATTTTCCCTTATTAATTATTAATCAATATTCTAGATAAAATCTAATTTCCAAAATAGATCTGGTGAATTAATTAATAATTAATAATATTAATCATCTTTAGTAGGATATTATCCCATAATTGGTGGTTGTTTATAAATGGCTAAAAATAATGCAGTTGTTAAAGCATAAACATCTGCACTAAATAAGCAAAATTCTTGAAATTCTCCTTCATCTAAATTAAGTCTAAAATTAACAATTTCAGGACTTGAATAAGGAGTAAGGGTTCTAGGTAGCCATTTTGTTAAGAGATCTTCAAATGAAGGTCTGTAGCTGAAACCAAAATCTGCCAATTTGACACAATTTCTGTTAAAGACAAGCATATTTTCAAGTTTAATATCGTTATGTGCTATATATTAGGAATGTAAATATTCAAGAGCAATAGAAATTTAAGTAAAGTACTTGATTATAATTTTAAGTGATGTTTCATTTGTCTTACAAAGAGTATAGAGATCACAGGTGGCATTTTCAAGGAATAAACTACAACATTATAGGTTCCCTCCTGCAGGATCTAATTGATGATGAGGGATGAATTATTATGGTTTAATTATGTTTGGATGATTGAGTTAACTCAATATTTTCCATTCATTTTATAGATCTTAACATTCTCTTTAATGAACAGTATTGTAGGTATTACCATCTTCAATAAAAAGTTATCCATGAAACACTGATTTAATAACTACAGTCTAATGAACTTAAAATAAAACTTTACCTCAGATACTCCTACTCGACGATGGATGTAAGAATTGTTGCCTTGTTGGATTAAATAGAGATGATCTGCTATCTGATTAATTTGTTGCATGTATATTTTAATATATTATAAATGTTTATTTTTCATTCTTCTTCTTTTTTTTCTTCTTTTGGTCCTTAAACGACAATCAATAAGAATTCCTTATCTGGAGCTACCATTATCTCGTTATTCTTAGACTTTATACGTAGAAAGGTCAACTCATTCATTGGATCTAAGTCTCTTACAGTTGATCTGCAAATAAATTTAAGTAACTTACTTGGCTTTGGCTGCTAAAGTTGGAATTGTTCTTGCAATATTTTCACCTTCTTTGCTCTCAGTTCCATAAGTACTACGTATGATTTGACCATCATTATTACAAATAACTATTCCTTATACTGATTTATGGGTTTTGATTCTATTGATTGTTTCTTCTATATCAGACATTATTAATTATAAAAATGAGAGCAACTTTATTTTAGTAGTTAAGAAAAACTAGAGCTGAATCTGCTAAAGTTGGAGTAAATCGTAATAAATAAATACTTGATACTTCTGAACTTGTTGGAAGATAAAGCTTTTATAGAAAAAGACGATTAGAAGACACTAATAATTCTGTACTTGATTAAACAAGTTCATTTCGATTTAATGACAAAGAAAAATATGAATAGGAAATCAAATATCTTAAGAACAATCTTCATTCTTTAGAAAGTGAAAATATTAAACTAAAAACTAAAATTCATCAATTAGAAGGTAAGCATCTTCAATATTCAAAATTAGATAATTAATTAAAATAGGAGAAGATGTTATAAGAATTAGATCGTATTGGTCCTGCTAAAACTTAAGTATTAAGATCTCTAAATAATGCAACTGCTTTAAATGCATTAAAAAAGGAATTAAATAATATGAAATTGTAAATCTAAAAAAGAGATCAAGAACTTGTAAATATGAAAAAAAATTAAAGATATACTTAAATGAATGAATTATAAATTGAAAGAACTGCATTTTAAGAAGAGACGGTTAGATTAAGATAATAAATTGAATAATTATTTTAAGCTAGTTTATACAATTTACAATAGAATAATGTAGAATAAGCAATTCAAGAAAGATTATTTCAATTAATAAGTTAATTATAAGAACATGTCATATAAAAAAGTGAATTGTAAAAAATAATAGAAAGACTTAAAAAAGAATGTTTGAAATATAGAGTATTAATTTTATCATTAATTTTAGTCTTAATAAATTGAATAAGAATTTAGAAGTAAAAAAGAAATCAGGAAATTAATAGAACAATTAAAAGAAGAAGCAAATAATTAATAAAAAGATAATAGCAAAGAAACTTAATAATAAACCAAATAAGATGAGTTGCAATTACTTACAGATTTGATGTTTGCAAAATAAGAAACCTAAACTAAATAAAATGAAATAGAAAAGTTAAATTAGATTATATTTGATTTAGAAACTTAAATTAAAGATTTAACTGTAATATAGAAATCAGAAACTTAAGAAATAATATAATAATCTCAAAGAATTGATACATCAACTAAATCCAAAATAACTAAAATCTAATTTCCAGTATTTGCAACTGAAATTATATCAGAAATACCTTTGCCAGTAAAAAAATCAATTGTGATTTAAGAGTAAATCTAACAATAAGTTAAGTAACCTCCAAGAAGAAGAATAGTACCAGTGAAATTTGAGGAAATTAAAAATATAGGGGAAACATTGAAATATAGATTGATGGCTATGGATGTAAGTATTGCATAATTGGATGAATATTTATTTTAAGGAGACTCTATGACTTTTGGAGAATTAAAGAATAAGTTAAGACTTTATCCATTTAATTTAACAAGTGAAGAATCTTTATTAGTATCTCGTTATATTATGGAAAGTGAGAATGACGTTTATGAATTAATGGAAACAGCTTCTAATTTTATTCCATATATTCGTTCAGTTTTAAGAAGAATAGTTTCAAATTATAAATTGGAAATTGTTAAAAATTAATTACTACATTCAGAAAAATTAAAAGATGTTTTGACAAGGTTTAAACCATTTATTTTAAGTAATATCAAATAACTTTATGGAAAGGATTGTATAAAAGTAAATAAATAATAATTCAATGAAGCATTGATGTCATTAAATATAGAATTAAATACATTTGAATTGGATTATTTGATAGTTTAAGGAATTTTGGAAAGTAAAGGAATTGAATCATTAAATTATGAAGAGATGCTAAAATATGAAATTAAGGAGGTTTAAGATTAACAACTTTCATTTTTATTAACTGAATTAAACAATTAATAAAATTAAAAAGCTGAGATGTCAGTTATTGAAGAATGTCCAGAAAAACTGTCTGAATTAGATTAATTAGAATAAGTAGATAATAAATAAAGGTAGATTATAAAAGAGTAATAAAAAAATGCAGATGATCAATATGTTACATTTGATAAGTATGTGAGTGAATAATTTGACTCAGATAGTGAAGAATCAAAATAGGAAATATTAACATCTGCTTTTAACTTAGAATAATGATAATTATTTAATTGTTTTAAATTATATATAATAAATAAAAATTTATTTACATAATAAAAATGAGTTTTAGAATAGAAGAGTCTCCATAATTCAAAGGAGAAGAATTAAATCTCTCTAAAATTTATCAGAATAGAGAATCTCACTTTTCTCGATTCTCATTTCCAAGTAGTGTTAGAAATTAGAAAAAGTTTAATTTTCAAGCTTCAGTCGAAACAAAAACTCCAACACCAAATTAAACAAATATAGAGAATGCTCCAAGTGATTTGAGTTATGAAATAGAGAAAATGATAAAAGAGAGGGAGTAATTATTTGGAGATGTGTAATATTTCGATCCAAAAGTCACTTTTAATATTGATGAATCACCATAAAGGATACGTATTTAAAGAAATAGTGCTCCAATGCCAAATACTAAACTATATTAATTCAATTAGCAAATAATCGATGCTGAACACACCTACAATTAATTTTGTTATTAATTAATTTGAATATATAAAATATTTTATTATATTTATGGATCAAATAAATATTCCTGCTGCTGGATCAAGACCATAAAAATAAACTCTAGATTAAGCACCTTCTGTTAGATAGAAGTAGATTTTTAAAATATGAAATAGTCAACAATAACGATCAGATATTTTTGGTGTTAACTCAGGTCCTGTGGTCTAAACTCCTAGTAGACAATAATAACGTGCTAAAACAGATATTTTTGGTGTTGAATAAAGTGCAACATAATCACTTGCTTAATCAAGAGTTGAAGTAAGATATTAATAAGATTTATAGACAAGATAAACTAATACTTATTAATCAAATATATTTTAAGTAGATCCATCTGCTAATAATACACATACAGCTAAAGAAACAATTAAGACATAAAATAAAGGAAAGAATACTTAAGCAAGACATTAAGATCATGGAAAAGATTTTTTATTTGGAAAAACCGGTAGATTATAATAACAATAAATTTATTAGATTTTGATGAATATAAATCAATTAAAAGGACATCTACATTAAAGGAATTCAAACCTAAAGAAGAATATGATCCAGCTAATAGAAGAGTTAAGGAATTATATGGAAATGAAATAGGTAAAGAACATTTACCAACACAAAAGGTTTAATTAGAAGAAAAAAAAGAAACTGTTAAAAAGTAATAATAATAAGATGTTGATCCATCATAAAGAAAATAATTAGAAAATTCATCTAATGTTTTTGGATAAAATGAAAAGAAAACTTATTAATAATAAGGTAAATAAGAAAAATTAACTTCCTAAAATTAAAAATGGTCTACTACTAGTAAGGCAGTTGATAATAGTGGAAAGAATTATGATCCAGATACATTTGCAAAAAATAAAAAAGAAAAAGAATTATAATCAAGTGTTTTTGGTGGTGAATCAAAATAAATATAAAATACAGCTACTAAATAAAAATTAATTCCTACAAATTAAACATGGTAATAAACAGATACTGTTAAAAATATGAAAGATTTTGATCCATCATAATCATAATTAAATGATATTGATCCATCATAAAAAAAGATAGATACTTTAAAATCAGCATTAGATACTCATGATTATAAGGCTTAACCAGTTAAACATAATGAAAAACTAAGTGTGAAATAATAGAAATACAAAAAGGATGTTTTTACAAGAGGAGGAGATAAAGATTAAATCTCTACTTAATAAAAATAAAAATAACCAGCTTAATAATAATAATAATAAACAGAAATACATGAATAATCAGATATGATTTGAATTATTTTATGAATTATTGTAATTATCCTCTATTTTTTAGCTTATTCATTTATACTATAATATTTGATTATTCTACTCTATTTTCCTAAAATTAATCAATTTTCAAACATTTTATTGAATATTTTATTATTGAAATTCTCTATTAAATTATATATAAATATATAAAATGATCAGAATTAAATTATTGAAATACTTTAGTTCAACAATAAATCAGGTTGACAGATAAAATTTCAATAAAATTTAAGATTGGTGGAGTGTAGGTGGATCAATGGCACCTCTTTATTCATATAATCATTTGAGAGTCTAATTTATTCATGAAATCCTATAAAGACCATAGAAGGGAAAGTCATTAACTGGATTGCATTCTTTAGATGTAGGAGTTGGAGGAGGAATACTTAGTGAAAGCTTAAGAAGATTAGGAAGTAAAGTTACAGGAATTGATGTATCTGAAAACTCTATAGAAACTGCAATATAACATAAAAATACAGACCCAGAATTAAGAAATGATTAGGAATTACAATATAAATTAATAAGTATAGAGGAATTATCAAAACAATAAGAAATGTAATTTGACATTATTACAGCAATGGAAGTAATAGAGCATGTAGAAAATCTACCATTGTTTATAGAATCACTTGGTAAATTACTAAAACCTGATGGGAAACTATTTATTTCATCAATTAATAAAAGTTATGAATCTTATATGAAGTTAATTATTGGTGCAGAATATATTGCACGAGTAGTTCCAAAAGGCACTCATGATTGGAATAATTTTAAGACTCCAGAATAAGTATGGCTTTAATTAAATAAATAACAGATCAATATTGATGTGGTATAATGTAATATTTTAATTTTAGTTGCGTGGAGTAGAATATAACTTATGGAGTGGAGAAATGAAATATAGTAATAATGAAACCCAATATATTATGGCTTGTAGTAAATAGAAAAGGGAATGATAAGCATTTATGTTATAATATTCTAAATGTCACTCTAATTTATAAGATAATTATTGTTCTTCAATATTTAACAATAATAATGTTATTAATTTCTCTTATTCACAAAGATACTTTTTGTAATTAAAATATTCTGCCTACTTGATAATATATATAGTGCAATTGATTAATTAATTATCTTTTAAGTGATCCTTAATTACAATTTGATTAACATATATATACATATGAGTATTATCAATGATTAAAAAAGTACAAGGTCAATTTTGAAATCTCTTATCATCATTAAAAATTTTTTACATAAAAATAATTTATGTTGATTCAATTATAAACTTGAAAGCGAAGTAAGTAATGGTAGAATTGAAATTAACAACATTTGAATTTAAAAACCCATAATGATAATTTAGAACATGAATGAATGAAATAGGAATTATGAATACAAAACATTAGTACAAGTTGATGATTATTTGATGTTTAGAAGAATGACTTATATTTGATTGTTGATTTAAGTTAAGAAATAATCGAAAGAATAGTCAAATTCATTTGAGTAGTAACTTTTCAATTTCCCTCTTTAAGTTTCCTCTTCTTAATTCTTATAATAATGTTTTGGTATCAGGATAAGCCTCTAAAATAATAGTCATTTCTTTATCATCAACTTTCAACATTTCTCGTATTTCTAAATCTATAACCATAATCTTTATAAGTACATTATGATTATTCACTTCTCCTTCTGGTCTACATTAAAGGAGCTTCTTACTGATCTAGAAGTCGGCGTTTTCTTTTCAAATTTATGTATTTGGGATCTGCACTTTACTTTTTAATTTCATCATAATCAAGTATACTATCTTCTTCATAAGGTAAATCCTTAATGATTTTGAGATTTAGTTTGACTTTTGTACCTTTTACAGTCACAGGAATGTCATGATCAATTTTTTATTAAGTTGGATTCTATTATTACATTTAAAATGGCATAACTGGCTAGTGTATATTTTGCAATTAGTGTGTTTAGGGTATCATTGGAATTCTCATGTGAGCCATTTGAGGTAATTGTTGCATCTAAGGGATTTGTTATAATTGTTGCATCATCATATAGTAAGGTGGATAGTTCATTAATGGTGGTCTAAAATATTATAAGAGTTTAGAGTAATAAGTATATAGAGTATATATGAGTGAAAATAAGAAGTTGTTGCTTACAGAAATTGGGGATTCGGATAGATCATAGGAGTTTATTAACTTTGTTATACTGGAGGGTAAGGTGGAGTTTTAGCTTTTAACATTGCCAAGTAATCTTATTATGGGAAGCTCATTTTTGAGTTATTTAAATATATCTGTAAGAATTCATATTCAGATTTGATTTACAAAAGATATTGTGGATAGAAAAATCAGATCAATTCTATCTTAGTTTAAAGTTTTCTGAGTTTAACTTAGATATATTGTAATAGGTTAAGTAGGAATCAACTACAACCAGTTAACATTTTTGTTTATAAGTTATATTGTGAGATCTCTCATTAATATAAAAATGCAAAAATCTCATTCTCCACAGCCTCGTCGTACGAACAGCAAATATTCATCATTTCCCTTCAAATTGCCAATGAATAATCTTGCACTTCCTTTAACCAATAGCCATGTGTAATCAGATTAGGGTAGAAACTAGATAATATATGTAGGATAACAATCAGGCAAAAAGATTAAATAGCTTTTACAAGTGAATACAAGACCACTTATCAATCCGGCAAAAGTTCAAATTGATATTGAAAAATTACAGATTATTATGAATGGGAAGTATGAGAAAAATATCTCTAACACTTCCTATTCAATGTAGGTTGAAAATACTCTTAAAGAATTTAGAACAAAAATAGATGAATAAGACAGTCTAATTAGATTGTAGGAATTCAAAATTAATAGATTATAATAAGAGCTCTTGTTCTCAAAATAATAATATTAGCGAATGATGTAAAAATTTACATAACTTGATGGTAAATATAACTATTATCCATAATCAACTAAATTAACAAAATCATAAATTAGTATACCATAAATTGAATAAATGCCTTCAATAAATAAATTACTATAAGTAGATAATAAAAAAAAAAGAAATATAATAGAGAAGATTTAAGGACTTGTATTAGAAAATAAAAAATTTAAAGATGAAGTTTAAAATAAATTTAAAGAAGTACTTTAACTTGTAAATGAATTTGCTATGGCTGTAATATGTTAAGCATCATCTCTTTACATTTAATAAATACAATCTATAGAATCTGTATTTGAAATGCATAACAAGTAATTTGAAATTAAATGATAGTTTTACAAAAAATGATTATCAAGGTATGAGAGCTTAGTATGATATTTTGAATAGAGAAATCTAAATACTAGAATAGTAGAAGGAAATATTATATGATAAAGTAATTTCATTACTTTGAAAATTATTATAATTAATGAACGACATATAACCAGCTCCAAGTCTTGTTAAATATAGTAATCCAATTCTCATTTCAAACAGTCAAAAGAAATAAATTAAATAACAACCTCCAAGCAATACTGAAGATATTTTGAATGCTATTCTACTTCCAAGAGAATTTAATCATTAGAAGAATCAATTGTAAATGTAATGTGTTTCTCCTGCACCCTCAACCAAACAAGATGTGCTTGAATTATAAGATAAATTAGATAAATGGTTATAATAAAGATAGGCGAGAGAGACTGGTCTATGTCCAATTAGAGAGGAGTTATACTCATAATGTTTTGATGAATTAATAAGACAAATTACAATTAATTGTGCAGAAAGAGGTATGCTCTTAGTAACAGTCAGAAATGAAGTAAGAATGGTTATTCAAACTTATTAAACATTATATGCATCAAGTATAGCATTTGGAATGAGAAAATTTTTATCAGAAGAAGAAAAAAAAGTATTCAAAAAATATTAAATTAGGCTGAATATAGATTAAGAATTAAATAATTAGAATAGGAGTGTTCAGAATTACATAGACAAGTTGAATCTTTAGAATAAAAATTGTTGGATACAAAATAGTAAGATGAAATTAAAAGATAATAAACTAAAGAAGCACATGCAGATATTGTATCATAATTAAAGGCTGATATAAAAGCTAAAGTAAATGGCGATCTTGAAAAAATACTCACTGGATAAAAAAAATTACCTGATAAGAAATGATGATGATATTTAACATTATTTTCATTATTTTATATTCGATAATATATTTAATGAAATTATTTATAAGCATCCTGATCATATAATATAATTAGAAATTGTATATTTTATGTTTGTTCATAATATCAATAATCCTAACATTGTAATTACAACTTTGAATATCATTGCATTTGAACTTTCATCATCATCACATGAGACTCCTGAACAATTCTCTGAATTGTAAGTAAGTACTTATTCTTCTGTTGGACATGTACTAGAAGAAGTCTCTTTAATACATGAAACAGAGGTAGATCCTACAACTGAAGGATCATCTGCTGCTTCTTACAAAATTCTAGCAGCTGTTGTTTCTCCCATTTAGGCTTCACAACCAATGGTGACTTTATTACCCAAGAAGTTTAATTTAAGTTGATACATTTATTCACCATTCTATCCTTTATCCAATTTTTTAGGTTTAACTGACTTTGTTACTCCATTAGCAACTACTGTTATTTCAGCATCCATTGGTTTCCATTTTCCTCCTTTAAATCCTTCTTAAGTGATTGATTATTTAAGATAAATAGTTTCTCCTTTTACTAATTCATTTGTATTGAGAGGTGTTTCACAAGCATCATCAGAACACAAGGTCAAAGTGGATTGAGCAGTATTGACACATTATTCTCCAGCAGCATCAGCACAAACTTACNTTCCAAGAGAATTTAATCATTAGAAGAATCAATTGTAAATGTAATGTGTTTCTCCTGCACCCTCAACCAAACAAGATGTGCTTGAATTATAAGATAAATTAGATAAATGGTTATAATAAAGATAGGCGAGAGAGACTGGTCTATGTCCAATTAGAGAGGAGTTATACTCATAATGTTTTGATGAATTAATAAGACAAATTACAATTAATTGTGCAGAAAGAGGTATGCTCTTAGTAACAGTCAGAAATGAAGTAAGAATGGTTATTCAAACTTATTAAACATTATATGCATCAAGTATAGCATTTGGAATGAGAAAATTTTTATCAGAAGAAGAAAAAAAAGTATTCAAAAAATATTAAATTAGGCTGAATATAGATTAAGAATTAAATAATTAGAATAGGAGTGTTCAGAATTACATAGACAAGTTGAATCTTTAGAATAAAAATTGTTGGATACAAAATAGTAAGATGAAATTAAAAGATAATAAACTAAAGAAGCACATGCAGATATTGTATCATAATTAAAGGCTGATATAAAAGCTAAAGTAAATGGCGATCTTGAAAAAATACTCACTGGATAAAAAAAATTACCTGATAAGAAATGATGATGATATTTAACATTATTTTCATTATTTTATATTCGATAATATATTTAATGAAAATATTTATAAGCATCCTGATCATATAATATAATTAGAAATTGTATATTTTATGTTTGTTCATAATATCAATAATCCTAACATTGTAATTACAACTTTGAATATCATTGCATTTGAACTTTCATCATCATCACATGAGACTCCTGAACAATTCTCTGAATTGTAAGTAAGTACTTATTCTTCTGTTGGACATGTACTAGAAGAAGTCTCTTTAATACATGAAACAGAGGTAGATCCTACAACTGAAGGATCATCTGCTGCTTCTTACAAAATTCTAGCAGCTGTTGTTTCTCCCATTTAGGCTTCACAACCAATGGTGACTTTATTACCCAAGAAGTTTAATTTAAGTTGATACATTTATTCACCATTCTATCCTTTATCCAATTTTTTAGGTTTAACTGACTTTGTTACTCCATTAGCAACTACTGTTATTTCAGCATCCATTGGTTTCCATTTTCCTCCTTTAAATCCTTCTTAAGTGATTGATTATTTAAGATAAATAGTTTCTCCTTTTACTAATTCATTTGTATTGAGAGGTGTTTCACAAGCATCATCAGAACACAAGGTCAAAGTGGATTGAGCNTTCCAAGAGAATTTAATCATTAGAAGAATCAATTGTAAATGTAATGTGTTTCTCCTGCACCCTCAACCAAACAAGATGTGCTTGAATTATAAGATAAATTAGATAAATGGTTATAATAAAGATAGGCGAGAGAGACTGGTCTATGTCCAATTAGAGAGGAGTTATACTCATAATGTTTTGATGAATTAATAAGACAAATTACAATTAATTGTGCAGAAAGAGGTATGCTCTTAGTAACAGTCAGAAATGAAGTAAGAATGGTTATTCAAACTTATTAAACATTATATGCATCAAGTATAGCATTTGGAATGAGAAAATTTTTATCAGAAGAAGAAAAAAAAGTATTCAAAAAATATTAAATTAGGCTGAATATAGATTAAGAATTAAATAATTAGAATAGGAGTGTTCAGAATTACATAGACAAGTTGAATCTTTAGAATAAAAATTGTTGGATACAAAATAGTAAGATGAAATTAAAAGATAATAAACTAAAGAAGCACATGCAGATATTGTATCATAATTAAAGGCTGATATAAAAGCTAAAGTAAATGGCGATCTTGAAAAAATACTCACTGGATAAAAAAAATTACCTGATAAGAAATGATGATGATATTTAACATTATTTTCATTATTTTATATTCGATAATATATTTAATGAAATTATTTATAAGCATCCTGATCATATAATATAATTAGAAATTGTATATTTTATGTTTGTTCATAATATCAATAATCCTAACATTGTAATTACAACTTTGAATATCATTGCATTTGAACTTTCATCATCATCACATGAGACTCCTGAACAATTCTCTGAATTGTAAGTAAGTACTTATTCTTCTGTTGGACATGTACTAGAAGAAGTCTCTTTAATACATGAAACAGAGGTAGATCCTACAACTGAAGGATCATCTGCTGCTTCTTACAAAATTCTAGCAGCTGTTGTTTCTCCCATTTAGGCTTCACAACCAATGGTGACTTTATTACCCAAGAAGTTTAATTTAAGTTGATACATTTATTCACCATTCTATCCTTTATCCAATTTTTTAGGTTTAACTGACTTTGTTACTCCATTAGCAACTACTGTTATTTCAGCATCCATTGGTTTCCATTTTCCTCCTTTAAATCCTTCTTAAGTGATTGATTATTTAAGATAAATAGTTTCTCCTTTTACTAATTCATTTGTATTGAGAGGTGTTTCACAAGCATCATCAGAACACAAGGTCAAAGTGGATTGAGCAGTATTGACACATTATTCTCCAGCAGCATCAGCACAAACTTACTCAGCTTGTACTTTGGGTTTGATCTCGCTTGATTTGAGGGTTGCTAAATCTTTACTAAAAATAGCAGAAAATTTAAAAGCAAAGAAAGCCAAGGGTTTTATACCATTATCATTTGGCAATAATAAGGTAACAGAGATGGCATAGAATCCAGTGTATTTTATCTCATCATTAGATTCATCCTTCAAAAATATTGAGTCGAATTAACTATTTATATAAAATTTAAATACTCTTTATTGACGGTGAAGCTCCAAGTTCTAGAAGTGTCTGTTGAGGTTGAGGTAATTACAGAAGCATCAGCTACTTCATTTGTAAATGCAGCACCAAATCTTCTCAAATTGATCTGAATACATGTTGTAGTTGATCCAGTTTCTACAGAAGTCTAGAGATCTTTTCCATTAGCAAATGTCAATGAGAATTAAAGATTTCCATCCTTTAACTCTAAAGCAAATGTAGGTCTTTTTGCTATTTGTTTCTTTCCATTAGCTTATGTTTATTTAAAGAATCCCAATTATGTCTTGCAATTTTGAACGTCCTTGCACTTTCCTTTGACTAAGACTTAGTCATCAGTGCAAGTGGGTGTTGTTTCTTATGAGATAGCAACAAAAACTAAGAAGCTTATTAGCAATAGATGAAATATTTTCATGAAATAGTAATATTAAATTACTGTATTATTTCTATAGTGTATTTATAGAGCTATTTTATAGAATATATTCCATAATAAATCTAATTACTATGGATTTCTAGAGAATATTGATTATTCACAAATACTGCGTAATAAAAATTATATTAAAATTGTCAAAAAATTATATATAAATTTTGATTACCCCCTAAAAAATAATTTCCTAAAATAATTATCTTATAAATATATAAAAATTTATATAATCATCATATTTTCAAATTTTCTTGACTTTAATTTTAGAATTCTAACTTTATCATACTATTTTCTGTTAATTAGGTTTGATATTGTTTTGGTTGCATTTAATATTGGAAAACAAGCATCTTTTTTTATTCCATTTTTTTTTTTGATCTTCTAATCATATATATTACGATCATAGCAATAAAAGTTAGAATTATCATCAATAACATTAAAAGCAAATACCCATTGGAATTGAGTTTGTTTATAGCAGACATGCTGTTGTTTTTATATAAAATTAATATTTTTATATAATTTAATATAATAACAAATAATATAATATAATATAATATAATTAATAAATAGTAATATCAATATAATAATAACTAATTATAAAATAATTTATATTATGGAAGAAATGCATTTTTTTTTGCTACATTATTTTTAAAACAATATATTTTCATCATTTTTAAGTAGTTTCAAAGATTTTTTAAGGATAAATAAAAATTGTGGAATACTACTGATTCAATAAATTATAATTCAAATATTATGTTTTATTCAAAATTTTATAAAAAATAAGACATTTTATCGCCTTATTTATAAAAAATATTAGATAATTACATATAAATTTATATAAACTTTTATATTTCTATATTTCATTATGTTTCATGTTACTTTTTCATTCTCTTTGGAATTTTAGTATATATTTTTTGAGGAAGAGTGTTGCATTCCTAATAGATAGATTAACAATCTGCTAGATCACCAACATCAAATCTGACTTTAGATTAATTCAAAGGAATATCATTTAAGAATTAATTTTAATTAGCTTAACTCCTTTAAATTGATTAAAAAAGCATTTATATTTCTGGATCTAAAGATTAAATTAATTTTAGATTAACACCTGATTTTCCTCCTTAAGAAATAACTTTTTCATATGCTTCAAATGCTTCTTATATTGCAATTGATTATAATTATTAACTTTATTTTTAAAAATCTAAACATTTAGCTTGATCTAAATTTTCAGCAATATTTGGTTTAGGCAGGTATTTGAATAATTTCTTTTATTCTTCTGTTAATATGACATCTCTTAATTAATCAAATTCATATAATTTCTAAACTATTAATTTCACATCTAATTTCTCCATATATTTTTCTTTAGCCATATCTAACATTTTTTTCTTCTTTCTATCACACCCAATATATATCCATAATATTTATTTAATGGTTGGATCCATTTGATTTTTCTTTTTTAAAATTGCATTTAAACTTTCATTCTAAAAATGATTTATAAACAATTATTATTACAATCATAACTTCTTAATTAGGCTCACTATTTAATCTTCCAGTTTCTCTAGGAGATAATAGTCTTCTTCTACTTCTTACTATTCCAGCCAATGCATCAATTACTTTATTATCATCAGAAATATTAGATTTATCTTTATTATTGTTAATAGTAAACTTAAACAATTCATTTGCCATATCTATATCCAACATTAATTGGACTAACGGCTTTATAAAAGCAGCCAATATTAAAAATATCATCTAATATAAACCACCCACCCTACTTAGAATAGCTTAGATTTTCACATATGATCTTTAGTATTCACTATATTTTGAACTTAAATTTATATTGTGTAATACTAAATATTCATTATTATATAAGTCTGTGGATTCTCTTAGAGAATCTTAAATCAAAACTTATTAATCAGATATTTCTTAAAATACCAATCCAGAATCTGTTTAAGTTTCTACCATCTTATATTACTATAATATATTCTTAGAAGTAGTAATTGAAAATGTATAATATTAAATGTTTATGATATCTAAAGACATATTAACAGCTCTATTCATTTGTAATAATGAATCACTTAAATGAACAGCATAAAATCCAGAATTAAGTTATTTTTTAATATCTTCAATTGGTGCACAATCAGTCTTATTAGTTGAGTTCTTACAGACTGAAACAGTCACTGTCAAAGAAGAATAAATATGACTTGTCTTAATTCCTTGTAATACCTAATTTTAGAATAAAATAACTGTTCATACAGGTGGATGGGTATCCCAATAATCTTTTTAGATGCATTAAACAGACCCTAATCTAATTTTTGAAAAATAGTCAATTTAGGTTTGCGATAAAAAATGTTCTTTTGTACATGCTTCCAAAGGGATTATAGTGCAACTAATTTAATATTTAATTTACTTTCTTGTAACATTCGAAACTTGAGTGGTCTCATTTAAAATTCTAGTGGTTTGACAATTTTTAAGTTAAATTGTAAAAAACTTATTTATAGTTGTTAAAGGTTGGCTATTAAGATCAGCTAAAGTAATTGCTAATGTGAAGTTATTTCTATCAAGAAAAAATGGCTAAATATATCAAAAACATACTGATGTCTCAACTACTTGTCTTTCAGATAAAATCACAATAGGAGAATCTTTAGCTATTAATTCTTAGATTCCAACTGCTAAATAAGCTAGAGCAAAGAATATAGTTCCTAATGTCAAAAATGCCCCAAGAGTTGAATTATATTTATATTTCCCTAAAATTCTAAACGTGGGTGGTTATCCAAACATATCAAATTGTAAAAAGAATTGTTTAAGATGAACAAAGACTGATTCCTACATCTTAATGTACAATATTTTAAAATTATATTAAAAGCTAAATGCTAATTGAAATAGTTATCTAATCTTATTTTTAAATAAATGTTTCATAAGAAATTAATTGATTTTTGTCATAATACTACTTCTTTTAAGTATAGAGAAAACTCAATAGATCTTCAGCTTACAATATATGAAATTGATATACTTAAATGATGATTATTGTTGTTATTAATTGACATTAAATTTTAATTGTCCAAATAATTTATAACTCTCTTTTATTACAACAACCACTTTATTAATATATAAGAATGATTATTACTTAAGATTAACGTTATTATATTTCTTAAATACATTAGATACATTTTATACTAAGAAATATATATAAATGATATGATATTAAAAAATGAGATAATTGTAGTTTTTATAATTAATTAATGTCAACAGTAAATAAAAATGGATAATAAGGTTAAAATGAAATCACAATTTAAAGAAGAAAAAATGAAACTAATTTGAGAGTGACTCTATAATATTACTCTAAATATGGAAAAATTATAGATGATCATTATTTAGAATAGATTGCTCCAGGTTTAGCAAGTTTGGAATTCATGAAACGTAATTGTCCTGAAAGAACAAAGCTGGAAGATTTTTGTATACAATCAGGACAATATTTTGAATTTGAACAGTATAAATAGGGAGACATCATATTTAATTATGGAGACATAGGTGATAGGGTTTACATAATTTTAAAAGGAGAAGTTGCAGTACTTGTACCAAGATCTGAGAATGAAATAGTAACAGAAAGAGAAGAGATAAGTTAAACAAAATAACCTTTTGATTTTGAAATGTTTTGGAGAAACAAGAAATCTTTAAAATAAATGTAAATAGAAGTATTGTTAGCATAGTTAAATTCAAATTTTTATTTCAAGGATAATATTTGTATGTTTAAGAAAGTGTTTTAATTTCATTCTGGATAATCATTTGGAGATGTGGCATTAATTTCAGATAAACCAAGAACTGCAAGTATTTTAGTCACATCTGATCAAATTTATTTAATTAGTATGTGTAAAAAGGATTTTAAGAACTTATGTGAGAAATCAGTTTTGGAAATGAATTAGACTCTAGATTATTTTGTTACATTATTTCCTCATATTGGCAAAATGTAGATAGCTAAATTCATACAATTTTTTCATAAAACTGATTTCCCTCCTTAATAGTGGTTATGGAGAGAAGGTGAATAAGTTAAATTTTGTCTATTAATTATGAAAGGAAGAGTTGAAATTAAATAATAATAATTGCCTTTATATTAGGTCTCTGACAATTCCTTTATAGGACATGAAGAGATATTAGAAGGCTTAACTATAAGACAATATGGGTGCAAGACATTAGACAATACAATAGCTTATTATATGGAATTTGAAGATTTTAATATTGCAACTAAAAATGCTCCAGATATTGTTAAAGTATTAGTAGAAAAGGGAAAGTTAATGAATTTTTATCTTGAGAAAAGAAAAGAGGAAGTGAAGAAAGGATAGATTAATGTGGAACCACTTTGCTTATCTGTTGAAAGAAGATTGGTTAAAGATATGTTTGTAATTAAGTCTCCTCGAAATAATGAAGTTAGATCTAATCAACCTAAATGTTTAAGTTATTTTGACATAACAAAGTTTAATAAATAGAAGGCTAGACCTAATCCTACTAATTAATAATAAAATATTTCAGAAGATTTATATTTCTCTAAAGAGAAGATTATTAAAACAACTCGATCTCCTTCTTATTATACTTAAAAAGTTTCACCTATAAATATATAGATGAAAGAGATTTTAATGAAGAAGTTTAAATTGAATTATAAATTTAATGCTATAAAGTCTCTTAAAATTACTACTTGTAAATCTATACATGATTTTAGTAATAAGAGTCGATTTAAAACAGATGCAAGTATTGATAATTGAATAATTTATTATTTTCTATTTTATGTAAATATATATAGCCTATCATGCTAATAAAACCATAGATTTTTTATTTCTACGATTCCAGAAATATAAAATTAAACAAAATGTTACCAATAGTATTATAATACCACCTAAAACTCCAACTAAAATCCAAACCCAAGAATGACTAAAAATATATAATCAATATTCTTACTCTGATTCACTATCATCATCATCATTATCATCATAATAAACCAAATTTACAATTCCTGAAGATTTTCCATAATAATTACTTACTGTGATTGTAATTGGTTATTCCTCAACTGATGTAAGAGTAGTAAAATTTATAATTGAATTTGATTAATATTGATACTTTATTAAATTATGAATTCCTCTTGAATCATCATATTTTAAATTTGCAAAGAAAAATGTTGTATTATCTTCTACTTCAACAACTAAAGCAATTTAATTTGATAAAGTTCCTTTATAGTTTTCATATAAGGCATAATGACTAGTAATAGTTTTTGTAGTATTACTATCTTATAATTAATACATAACTAATACTGCATCTTATCCTTATCTATAAGGAACTAAGATATAATTCAAATAAGTTGCAACCTTATTTACAGATGTCCATGATCCAAAGGGAGTCAAAACAAATTTTAATTTAATTTTATCCAGTATTAAATCTGGAAGATTTCCTATTTCAAAAGGAATACTAAAAATATATTATGCAACATTATTAGTTTGAATCAATAAATTAAATATTTAAAGTGTTCCTTAAATTTCAGATGAAATTAATTTAACTGTTAAGAATTCTGTATTTTCATAAACATAAAATTGATCATTTTAATAGTTTTTTAATTCAAAAGATTCTATATTTGGTATATAACTTAAATCGATCAATTTAAAGTGATTAATTCTTAAACCAAAATGTTGATCAATAAAAAATACAGTATAAAAAGCATTGTGTTTAATAACTTAGAAACTTGCAATTCTTAATGAATTTAAATTTAATAATTAAGCATTAATAGTTCTTGATAAAGTTAAAGTTTTGTCAGCATTAATATAATAAACTTAAATTTATGATTCAAATTAAGTATAATCTTAAGGATTGCTATTTAAAATAAACAAATGATTGTTATTGAATAATTAGACACCACTGATTCTATTTGTATTAGGAACAATAATTTTTGAATAAACACTACATTCCAAATTATTACTACAATCTATAATTAAGATTGATGGTGCTTAAGCAAGTACTGAAATAACAAGATATTTTCTATCTTCAGAAATATATAATCCTTCTGCTTATTCTAATATGGAAAGACCCAAATTAAATACTTTATTAAATTATCCATTTCTCAATGTAAACACTAATTATTTAGAGGTTAAGAAAACACCATAATGAGCATCATATATCAATCCATCAATGAAATTATAGAATAAATTTTGACCATCACTAATATTCATTATTTATGGATATAATTTTGCCTATGAACAAGATTTACAATCAATTGATATTTAAGTAATTTAACCTGTATATAATTTAGTATCAATATTTAAAGATGCAGATTAACTATCTTTTTTTACCTTAAAAGATAAATTTTAAGTATTTTCAAATATAGGTTAACTATGAGTATCTAAAACAGATATTTATTTATAGATATTCTTGCTATATTCATTATTAGATGCTTTTATACCAACAACTATTTTATTCAAATAATTATCCGAATTCATTTTACTTTTTACTGATAATAAAGAATCTTATAAAACTGAATAGACTTTTTATTAAAAATGCAAAAACATTTATAATCCTCCATCTACTTCTATTGTTGTATTTACTATACCTTCAAGTTTAATTACTTTTTTTAATGATTAATGAGACAACACTCCAGGCTCATAAATTAAAATCACTGTCTAATTATTGTATTAACCCCTAACAAAAAGCCATCCTGACTCTTCACAAGAATCAGCTACAATAGAATCTTATATTTTATAATCATATAATGGTAGACTTTTTGTTTTGTAAATAACTTATAAATGTTTGTAGTTGTATTCATCTATTTAAGATTAAGTTTCTGATTTTTATATTAAGTAGAAATAGTTTTTACCAATTGCTATTTTAATCTATGAACCAGCTATTAAATCAATTATTTTAATTTTAGTAAATGCACCACCATTTGATAAAATAGCAAGATTACCAATAATTACTTATGTGGATGTTTGGATAAATATTAAATCAATTAATCTATTTCCAAATACATTAAGAGGTTATAAAATATCAGAAATAGTATAAGCTAAATAAAAAGGGATAAATTAATCATAAACTAAAATCTTATTTTGAATTACTACAAACATTTTATTATAAAGTACATTAAATGAAAGTATTTTCTCATCTAAAGTTAGTTTATCATACTCTGCAAATTATGCAGTATCTTTATCAAAACCATATAAATGAATTTATTTTTCTGATTCCTAAATAACAAAGAATATTTTCTTTGTCTCTAACCACCAATGAAATGTACTTTTAGTAAGAATGCTTTAGAATTAAACTTATTTGAGTAAATTACATTCAGCTTCAACATTTTTTAATTGATTATGTTAACATTGATATATATATGCTTCTTTTGAGTCTTATTATTATAATAAATAAAATGTTTCCACATCTATCACATAAATATCAGTGAACACTATACGCTCTTATTGTATTTTAATATTTAATTTCCACATCTCTTAAATATCAATAATAATTTTCTCAGATACACCAACCTCCACTTAAGAATATGATATATCTGGCCCAATTGCTAATAGATCAACATTAAAAGGATCTGAAGGAATAGTAAGGGCTGCTGGAAGTGCATTATATCCAGTTTCATAAAGTTATGTGTCATTTTTATATACAATTTAAATTTTTAAATCAACACTACATTAATCACCTGATTTTGGTTAAGCAATTATTTTGGTTTAATATAATTAATCCGTTTTGGAATCTTATTAATACAATCTAAGAATTCCATCATTAATTAAAAATCTATGAGTAGCTACAAAATTCACTCCTATAAGATCAGGTTCATAAGGATTAATAATAATAATATCTACCACATCTTCAATAAACGAATAAAGTAACTATTTCTAATCATAAATAAATATTTTTTATTGATATTTCAATACTATATATTTTTAACTTATTTCTATTTAAATACTAACATCTTTTACATCTCCTGGCAATTTTAATATACCTTTTGGTTCATTGTTTTAAAAATATTAAATTCTATCTTCATAGACCAATACCAACTGAGCAATTTAACCATTTTAAGTGAATAAATAATTAAAATCAAAGGCATAAACTTACTATCCAAAATTTAATCTAGACCATTCTTTAACTAACCACTTTTAAGATTATAAGATTTTAAGGACATAAATCCCATTAAAGGAATCTAAAATAAATATGTCTCCGTTAGGTTCTACTTACATATCGAGAAGTACAAAATTAAAAGTTTCCTATTAATTTAATAATATTGCCAAACTTTCAGAATCAAGTGTTAACCATGGTTCTACAGTAATATTACCATCTTTGACTTAAAAAACCTCTACAAGAGATCCTTTACCTTGTTAATATTAACCTCTTATAATAAATTATTATGAGCCTGTTACATATTGAAAAGTATGCACCAATAATTTTCGAATTGATGGTGCATCAAATTTTTAAATGTTTTCAATATATGTTACCTTTTCTGATGTATCTACTTCAACGAAGTAATTTTTATCTAAGCTTTTACAATCAACTATAAATTTAGTTTAAGAGAGAAAGTCAACATCGGAACATCTAAAATTTGCATCTTGTTTTTGTACAGAAATATAATTATCAAATTAAGGAACTTTGTCATTCTCAGTTGGTTACCTGATATAAAATATTCATTATACCCTATTGTATAAAAGATATCAACAGATGTAGTATCCTATTCTATAAATACAAAGCTATTCAACCAAGCTCCAGTTAATTGATTGACATATGGCTTTAATGATATGATTGTGTCACCAACTAAATCTTTTATATTCTATAATAACATGATTTATGCATTATTGATGGCCCCAATTAAGTCAACGGCTATTTGATTTCAAAATATTTGGATGGTTTTTCTCCCAAAGAAAATACCAAATCTTCTCCAGAAAAAAATGCTTCTCTAATGTTCCATTCATATAATTCTTCAACACTTGCATAAATTGAGTATTCACTCTTTAATTTTTCTAATTATAAGTTATTTTATACAGCATTCTTAGATTGTTAAAAGAAATAATTGAAGAATGGTAAATATTCTGTATATCATTATATTTAATAAAATATATAGTATTTTTCAATTTTTCTTTGGAATAAGTTTTATCTTTTTCTGTTATTATGATTAAATTTATGAATTATGGGATATTTATGTAGATTATAATTGTTATTTTTATTTTGCATTCAAATGTAATCCCTTTAGTCCTTTTCTCATTAGTAATAATTTTTATTTTTAACTTTATTTCTCTAAAATAAATTAGTGTCTCTTCTTCTTTTATCCATATTCATACCATTTTGAGAAGGAGATTCTTAAAATATAGAATATTTTTGATTTCTAGTATTCTAAATAAAATATTCAAACTAAATACCTTAAAGTTTCAATTTTTTTAGATATAAAATAGTTTATAACTTATAAAAATACTTTCTAATTATGCAAAAATTTCTAAAATGTTTTGATTTGAATGCTAAATGCTTTTGAAAATTTGCAAATATTTTAAATTTATTCCAATATTTTCTTAATCTAAATATATCAGCTATTTTATTTGATTATTAATCATCTTCTTTTGTAATAGTTGAAATAACACTTTTTGAAGATTCTCTTCCTGGTGTCTAAAACTTAATTTCATTTCTAGGAGTTTTAGATTAGAATGACTTCTTGCCTACACTTTTACGATTCAAATCCTTTTTTGGTGGACTGTATGGTAATTGTAATTTATATGGTTGAGGTTATTCACTTTATATTCGCCATGCTAAGAAAATCTCCTTTAAATTTCTTTTATTTACTTTATTGCTAAACTTATACTGAAATTATTAAATACTAGTTCAATGATCTAAAATTCTTTTTTCATTTATTCAATCATGTTTATCATCAAAGGTTAATATGCACTTGCAAGATTTCTCAAATAATAATTATTTAGCTTTTCTAAACCTTTTTTTACTTTTTAAGGATCTGTCTTTTTTGTCTGTTTAGTTTATTTTGGTTAATTAAAGTATGATGTTTTAATAAATGCTCTCATCAATATATAAAATATTAATAAATTAAAATATAATTTTATATCTCTAATATTTTGATTTCTTCACTACAGCTGGTAATTAATTTTCTTATTTTTATAAATTAATGTACATTATAAAAATAATAAAAATAATCCATTAATTGATATATTATAAAAAATAAACTAATAAATAACAGTTATAAAATTCTTTATAAATTCTTGAATTACTTTCTTTGTTAACAAGATGTATATGAATTATATAATATCAAGACTAAGAATTAAAATTAATAAAAATTAATAATTTGAATTTAATTTAAAATTAATATCTTCACTATTGCATTAAGGAAACTTTAGCGCTATCTGTTACTAATGGAGGTTTTTTAACAAATTTGATATATACAATATATCCAATACCACCTATTAATGCTAAGGATGCTATTACAATTAAAAGTATCCAAAGCCAAAGTAGAGAACTATAATAAATATTATCATATATAAACCTTTTTTTATCATCATCATCTGGTGTAGGTGGTACTGATTTATTAATTATTTCTAAAAACCCATCTGCAGAACTATAATCATTTCCTAATTTCAAATATACTTATTAGGATCTTATAGTAATTCCATTTGAAATGGCTAATCTTGCATAATCATTTATTGTATATTTAATTAATACATAATTTTGAGTTGTTTCAGATTTATAAATATTTTAATACACAGCAGCCTAAAATAAAAAGAAAATATTACATTCTTAGAAATAGGATCTTATTGCAATATCATAGCAAACATTCTAGAAGCATTCTCTAGAGTTTCTAAAATGGCTCCATTCATTGTGATTACCTTTGTAGTTGTATCTGCATTTAATTAAGGTAATTTGTAAACACTTACAAGTAAATGACTATAGTTTGTATAGGGAACTACAGCATATTCTTAATTAACAGATAATTTATTTATTGCCTAATATACTCCATATGAATTAAGAATGAAAGGAATCGTAATAGTATTTTTAACAGGTGAACCTTAATTAAGAGGATTTGAAATGTCATAAGAAAATGTTACTCCATATTAAGCTACATTATTAGTTGTTATCAGGGTAGTTATATTGAGTAAATTAGTTTGAACAGATATGGATAGCACTCTAATTTAATAGAATTTAGTATTAGTCTTAACAGCAAAATCTGCATTCAAAGCATTTGTCAATGAGAATGAATCTTTGTGATTATCTTTTAATAGTCCATTATCTTAATATAATTGAACGAAATAGGTTATTTATCCAGTTGTCTAAAGAAGAATCTTTTAATATTAAGTATTGCCTTATTAGAATTATGCAATATCAAAATCTGAAATATAGAAATCTGAATCAGATTTCAATCCAAAATATTGAGCATCAAAAATCTTTTCATTTTTTAGACTCCATTGGGTATCTAATTACATTAAATAAGCATGAAGACTTCCTTAATATTCTTTAGGATTAGCTTAGTTTGAATCAAGAAGATACAATACTGAATTTACATATTTCATTTTAGAAACCTTTTGAAGATTCAATTAACTTGAACTAGATGATTATATAGGATTACATTTCTATTATTACATATCACAACTTGCTACATAAAGTACAAATTATGATTAATTATCTATGCAAGATACTAAAATATAATCATTATAAGTTGTAATTTGAGAACAAGATGATCCAATATCAATTTTTTATATGAACTTGATTGAATCATTTTCGTTTTAGAATATTAATGATTTAGGAGATGATAAATAAACTATTGAATCTTTAAATTTTGCTCCATCTATTATTTCATGACTAGCAAACTCACTACCATTACTAGCTGCTTCAAAAGGATTCTTAATTTCTATTGTTCCTTTTGAACATTACAAACAATCTATTTTGAAGTTAGTAACCTATCCTTAATACCATCCATTATTTTCTAAATTTATGTATTGAAGAGTATTTATTGCATCAAATTCATAACGATTCTTTTTAAGTATGGTTTGATTAAGTCTTACTATTGATTAAGTATTAATGAATTTAACTGGATAGACTACTCCAACTTTAGAATCAGATAATGAATTTTGTATCATTACTCCAGCATTTAATTTTGTTGTATAAGCTTCACTAAGATGAGTAGGCTTTATTTCCATTAGTGAATCTCTTAAAACCACAACTATATGTTATGTTTTTAAATCATTAAAATAAACAAACATTTAATCAAAACCTGAAGCAGCAGTTTCAACTACCTAAGAATCTGGAATATTTAAATGGGTTTTTAAGACCTTATGTAAAGAATTCCTATAGAGTATATTAGATTCATAAATTAAAAATACTGTCTCATTTAAAATCTTATCAAAGGCTCTAATAAACAAGAATCCTGTTTCATATACAAAGTCAATTGTCAATGGTAATTGTAATCTATATCTATTATAAAGAGGTAAAGTTTTCATTAAATAAATGTCATTGAGGTTTTCATAATTATACTCTTTTATTGAATCTTCCCCTTCTAAGGATGTAATAATGAAAAAAGTTTTTTATCCAATTGCTAATTCAATTTATGAACCTCGTTTATATTAGAATGCATCAATTAATGTGAAATGATATCTTTGATCACCTAAGATGACACAATCTTCAGTTAAAATGAATATAAATTCACTTTTGATATAAACATTTCCATAGACTCTTAATGGAGTAAATGTGCAATTAAGATTATAACTATTAATTAAATCTTCATCTATTGGATATTTTTAAATGGTTGGAAATAATCCAGAAATAACATCTATTTCCTTTTTGTTATGTAAAACAACAAAAATATTTTTTTTTAAAGCTGTAAATGATGCAATTTTATTTTCAGGTTTTTCTTCATAAGTTATATTTGCTATTTTTATATGACTTTAATCATATGATTAATAGATTTAGATCTCATAATCATTAACTAAAAATTAAAAGTTTAATGCTTCTTTTTCAAATGTAAACCAATCAAATTGAGAGTTAAATCTATTTAATACAATTGGCAATTAGAATTCATCTTATTTTTCACATGTGCAATGGTTATCATTATAATTAACTGTAGAGCAATCCCAAATTATGGCTGTCTAATTTTTGTGTTATAAAAACAAATAAAATTTATTAGAATCTGTATGATGTGGATCAACAAGAACATCAGAATAGACTACACTCTAAGCATCAAACCAATGGATATCTTTAACTTCTAATTCCCATAAGAAATGTACTGTAACTTCAACATCAACGTGATCTATATCTGGTGTAACATAATCAAGATTTGGTCCCGAGGCTAAGTCTTGTAAACTAAAAGGTAAAGCAGGATAAGTTATCATAGATGGAAAAGGATTATGACCTAATTCTAATACTTTAGCATTCTCTTATTGTAAAATTTAAAAATTGATAATTGATTAACAAGTTGAACTTCCATCATTTGCTACTAATTTAAGTGTGTTTTTTTCTATAAGATTAGTATTCTAGCATTCTAAATATCCATCACTTAATTCATATCTTCGGGATATGGTTTCAGAAACAACCACAAGATCTGGTGCATATGGATTTACTATGTAATTTTAAGAAATCAACATTTCTTTATGTAATAAATAATTTTTTTCAGTGTTATAGAGATATAGAGTCTACTAATGCACTATCACTGCATATTATTAACTTAAAGAAACTTATGCTGGATAAGTAGCTTAAAATGATAATCTAAATCCTCTTTCAATTCTATCATTAAGAAAAGTCATTAAATTTGATTCATATAATATTGCTATATGCAACTCAGAATTTCCATCCTCAAGTAATCTATTATTTACATCAAAGGCATAAGCTTTAACCTTTCCATTATATGATAATGTTTAAACATATTTCCAATCACCCTCTTCAGTTACTTTATATACATATATTCCTTCAGTTTAATCTAAAATATAGACTCGACCATTAGGCATGATCTTAAAGTCTATTAATGTAAAATTGACAGTTTTTTATGTATCAGCACTGATTCTTGTTTTGTTCAAAATATTTCCAGTGTCTTTTATGGTGCCATCATCAGTTTTAATTAATAAATCTATTGAACAATCACTATCTAGAACAGTAGAATTTCCAGTCTCCGAATTAAAAGCCTATTGTCCCCTTAGTAACATTCTAATTGGCTGCTTAGGTTAAGGAGCTTCTGACCCATTTTCTTCGCCCATATTTGTTTTAAAATATACATGATATTAGAACTTACGTCCTTTGATTGATTTATATTTTTAATGATTAGGAACTTCCTACCTGACTACTGTGTCAGAAGTATCATTCTTTGTCACTAAATACAAATAATTTTTCATTGGTTAATCTTTTATGCTACTTATCTCCGCACAGTCAACTAACCATAATTCTGGATTAATATATTCTAAATCAAAGCAATCTATTAATTATTCACTCTTTGTAAATGCAACCTTTCTTTCAAATTATGGAGTTTAGTCCATTTCTATTTCAGATCTAAATTTTTAACATTTATTTTTACCCAATTGCATAATATATGTCATATTGCTTTTTATTAGAATCCATTTCTAAGTAAGCAAAGTGATTTGACCATGCTCCTGTACTAGCAATGTCGTAAGCTCTCAATGCATAAACAACACTTTATACTATTTATTACCTATGATATTATTACCTCCTTGATGATCTTTTTCTGGAGCAATTTAAGCAAAAGCCGGATGATACTGCATGAAGCTTGATTATGTTAAAGTATAATTTAATCCGCTTCCTTTTATTAATGAATCTGCTTGCCATCTATAAACCTCCCCCAAACTTGTGTAATATGTAACATTTTCTTGAACAGTAACTATATTTGATACAAATCATATACCGCACTATTACAATGATGGTACAAGTAGATTGATTAAAAGAGTTATCAATAATTTCATTAATTTAATTTTATGATATCATTAAACAAAAAAATGAGGTAATGAGATTGTTCAATTGAATCAATTCAAAAATAAAATTTTATTACACAAATTCAATTTGTGTTTATAGCTATTAAAAATCTTAAATTGTATTTAATATATTACAATAAATATAGTTTAAAAATCTCATTAGTAAGAAAGAGAAAAATAAACTCAAACTGCTGTGATTATATTATTAACAATTGAAATTTCAATTGAAAATATATAATTCTTATAGAATAAATCAAATTGAAGGAATTTTAAGAGACATAATATATTATTTAGTGTTATACAAAAATTATCTATATTCCATATTTTAGAATATATATTTAATCTATATAATTAAACAATTCAATATATAATATGTCAAAAATCATTAATCCTAAAGATTAAACATCTTTATTAGAGATTGAAAATCAAGTTGAATTCAGTTAAAAAAATTGCACTAAAGTTTTTTTCTTTACTTGGGTTTATAGAGTTTTGGGCGTAAAATTAATATAAAGAAATTTATAATAGATCGGAAAGAACAAACCTTTAGTTTAGTCTGACCTAGTTATCATAGATTAAGATTCTAACATGGGAACATCTCATTCAAAATTTATGGCTTTTTTTAGAAAATAGGATTTACAAGGGTCTTTATATTAATCCTTTAAATGTATATAACAATCTTATCTTAAGGGCTAATACTATTTTGTGCAGTATTTTATTTGATTGTATCTGGGTTATAACTATGTTCACCAATTATAACTAAAGAATCCTAAAAGTATTTCATGTATGATCAACCAGAAGATAAACCTTCCTTATCAAGCATGTTATATTTTGCAGCTATTTAACTTATTTATATGATAGCCCTTTCTTTAATCAAACCATATTAATTATTTTATTCTTCACTATTAAGTGTCAAATAATAAGGAGCATTATAATAGGAAATAATAATGAAAACATTAAGATTTCCTATCTCTCGTTCCAAACATTATTCAACAGGAGAACTTATTAATATGATGCAAGTTGATATAAATTAGGCTTCAAATTATTTTTATAATGCAATCATTATTTTTACAGTTCCATTATAAATGATAAGTGCTTTCATTGTAATATTTATCACATTGAGAAATCAAGCAATAGTTCCTGCAGTTGGAGCAATAATTTAAGCAATAATTGGATTGATTTTTGGATATTTATACGGAATTGTTTAAAAGAGATATATGATTGCTAAGGATAATAGGATGAAAGCAGTTGATGAAGCATTAATTTATGCGAAGCAAGTTAAATTGAATACATTTGAAGATTTTTTTGAATAAAGAGTAATTATTTAATAATATAAAAATAGATAAAAAATTATAGAGAAAAGGAGCTCAAATAATTAAAAACTTAAGTTTTAATGATGATTTTTATACAATTAATATAAGGTTTTATAGGAATTTTAACTTGGGAATGTGTGTTTATATTTTCAGAGTAAATCAATTTTGCAACAATGAGCATCATGATGTAAAATTATTAAAGTATTGTGAACATTTTATCAAACCTGCCATAATAATTTAAAAATTTTTAGATGTCAAGAAACTCAATGGCTAGATTAGATAATTATTTTAAATAAAAGGAATGTAATATGATAGAAAGATAAAGTGAAAATAATAATTTTGCAATAAAAATAAATAATGGTATTTATAGTTGGAAATCTAATGATTAAATGAATTAAGATGTTGTAGAAATAAAAGATGAAAATGAATAAATAAATGATTAAGATATATTTAATATAGATATTAATGTAGAAATTAAAAAAGGAGAATATGTGGCATTTGTTGGAAAGTATTTAATTAAATTGATTTATTTATTAGTTCTGCATCAGGAAAATCTACTATATTAAGATCTATTTTAGGAGAAACTGATAAGAAATCAGGAAATATTATAGTTAATGGTACTATTAGTGTAGCAACTTAAGAACCTTGGATTATTAGTGGAAGTATTAAAAAGAATATTACATTTATGAATTCATTTGATGCTCTTAAATATAAATAAATTATTAAAATATGTGGATTAGAAAGAGATATATCTTCATTTAAAAATGGAGATGATACTATTTTAGGAGAAAAAGGTGATAATTTATCTGGAGGTTAATAAAAAAGAATTAATCTTGCTAGAGCTATCTATAATGATGCAGATATCTATTTATTAGATGATCCTACTAGTGCTTTAGATATTAAAGTTAAATATTAAATACATTAATAATGTTTATCTGGATATCTAAAAAATAAGACAAGAATACTATTCACCAATTCTATATCTAATTTATAAGATTGTGATAGAATTTATTTTATTGAGAATGGAAGAATAATTAAAGAAAGCAAAATTCCTTAAACCATAATTTCAAACGGAGATCAAAAATCTTCTAAACAAGAAATAATTGAAACACAAATTGAATCAAAATAAGTAAAACCTGAATTTATTGATAATCAAGAGGCAAGATAGAGTTTATTATAAAAGGAAGATTAAGAATAAGGAGATATTTCTTTAAAAGTTTATAAATAGGTTTTCGTTTATATCGGCTAATATTTTGCACCATTATGTACTCTGGTGTATTTTGTAATAGTTTTAGGATTTTAACTTTATGGTAATGATAAGTTGGCCCAACAAAATGTTTCTAATGAAGAGTATAAATAAATTGCTAAAATTTATTATCCAATAACTTAATTGCCGGTAAGTCTAGCAGTTGTATTAATTAATGCTTATTACTTGTTGATGGGTTTATCTACCTCAAGAAAAATTCATAGCTCCATAATAAATAGATTACTTAATGCTTCTTATACTAAATTTTATAACACTATACTTATTGGAAGGTTAATGAATCGATTAAGTAAAGATATTTACAANTTTCAAGAAACTCAATGGCTAGATTAGATAATTATTTTAAATAAAAGGAATGTAATATGATAGAAAGATAAAGTGAAAATAATAATTTTGCAATAAAAATAAATAATGGTATTTATAGTTGGAAATCTAATGATTAAATGAATTAAGATGTTGTAGAAATAAAAGATGAAAATGAATAAATAAATGATTAAGATATATTTAATATAGATATTAATGTAGAAATTAAAAAAGGAGAATATGTGGCATTTGTTGGAAAGTATTTAATTAAATTGATTTATTTATTAGTTCTGCATCAGGAAAATCTACTATATTAAGATCTATTTTAGGAGAAACTGATAAGAAATCAGGAAATATTATAGTTAATGGTACTATTAGTGTAGCAACTTAAGAACCTTGGATTATTAGTGGAAGTATTAAAAAGAATATTACATTTATGAATTCATTTGATGCTCTTAAATATAAATAAATTATTAAAATATGTGGATTAGAAAGAGATATATCTTCATTTAAAAATGGAGATGATACTATTTTAGGAGAAAAAGGTGATAATTTATCTGGAGGTTAATAAAAAAGAATTAATCTTGCTAGAGCTATCTATAATGATGCAGATATCTATTTATTAGATGATCCTACTAGTGCTTTAGATATTAAAGTTAAATATTAAATACATTAATAATGTTTATCTGGATATCTAAAAAATAAGACAAGAATACTATTCACCAATTCTATATCTAATTTATAAGATTGTGATAGAATTTATTTTATTGAGAATGGAAGAATAATTAAAGAAAGCAAAATTCCTTAAACCATAATTTCAAACGGAGATCAAAAATCTTCTAAACAAGAAATAATTGAAACACAAATTGAATCAAAATAAGTAAAACCTGAATTTATTGATAATCAAGAGGCAAGATAGAGTTTATTATAAAAGGAAGATTAAGAATAAGGAGATATTTCTTTAAAAGTTTATAAATAGGTTTTCGTTTATATCGGCTAATATTTTGCACCATTATGTACTCTGGTGTATTTTGTAATAGTTTTAGGATTTTAACTTTATGGTAATGATAAGTTGGCCCAACAAAATGTTTCTAATGAAGAGTATAAATAAATTGCTAAAATTTATTATCCAATAACTTAATTGCCGGTAAGTCTAGCAGTTGTATTAATTAATGCTTATTACTTGTTGATGGGTTTATCTACCTCAAGAAAAATTCATAGCTCCATAATAAATAGATTACTTAATGCTTCTTATACTAAATTTTATAACACTATACTTATTGGAAGGTTAATGAATCGATTAAGTAAAGATATTTACAACATAGACTTAGAGTTTCCTAATGAAGTCTAAAATTTTAGTATATAAATATTTAATCTGATAATTCCATTAGTAGAATGTTTTATATATTTAAATATTGCTGCTTTACCATTGCTGATTATCTTTTTTATTGGCTTAATTTATCTCACAATAATCTATTATAGATGTTTAAGAGAAATAACTAGAATCGAAGCGGTCTCAAAAAGTCCGATATTTTCATTCTTCTAGTAAATTGTTAGAGGTATAACATATGCAAGAACTTGCTTGCCATTAGAAAAAATAGTTATTCAATAGTAAATAAATGTAGATACAGATTTGGGAAATTAAATTAATTTAGATGGGATTCAATATTGGTATTAATCTTTGGCAGGATCATCTACAAATGTATTTTAAGCTCTTTTATTTATAATATGTGTACACTATTTATTTTAAGTTAGTTTTTTTTTCCTGGAAAAAATAGTGATAAAACCTTTCTGGTATTAAACAAAATGCAAGAGATTTCACTTTTGGTACTGAATGCATCAATTTCTTACGGCAATATATAAATGTATCTAATCAGCTTTGAGAGATGCCTACACTTAGCTAAGTAATTATTATTTTAAAATAAGTAATGTCGATTTGGATGAAAGATTCATTCCTCAAATATCAATAAATGAAGAGGCTTTAGAAAATAAAGTCACTTAAAACACAGTATTAAACTTAGAAAATTGTACATTTCAATATCGACCTTTTTCAAAAAGTGTTCTCCAAAAATTGTCATTTAAATTAAATAAAAAAGAAAAGGTATCATCGTTTTTATGGTTTAGATTGGAGTAGTTGGAAAAACAGGTTCTGGCAAAAGCTCCATAATTTTAGCTTTGACTGCTNTATTTAAGGATATCTTAAAAATAAAACTAGAATCATATTTACAAATTCTTTGTCTAATTTATAAGAATGTGATATGATTTATATCATTGAAAATGGAAGAATTATTAAATAAGGCAGATTTTCTTAAATAGTGGGATAAAATGAAAATTAATAATTTTCTTAAAAAGAAATAGTTGACTTTTAATTCGAAGATAAACACTATAAATAAGAAAATCCTGAAAGTCAAGATGTAAGATAAAGTTTGATTCAAAAAGAAGATTAGGAAAAAGGTGATATCTCAAGTTCTGTAATAAAATAAGTCTTTGAATACATGGGTAAATATGTAGCCCCTATGTGCAATATAATTTACTTTGTTACTGTATTAGGTTGTTAATTAGTTGGAAATAAGTTTATGGCGTAAGGAGGAATTACAGATGAAGAATACAGACATTTAGGATTGGTTTATTATCCTTTAATTTAATCACCTGTTATTATAGCTATAGTATTGTTAAGCACATACTATTTAATTATGGGTTTATCAACTTCAAGGAAAATTCATAATTCTGTTATATATAGTTTAGTAAATGCCTCATATACAAAATTTTACAATACAATTCTGATAGGAAGATTAATGAATAGATTAAGCAAAGATATTTACAATATAGATTTATTATTTCCAAATGAGATTTAAAATTTAACCATTTAGTTGACAACCTTGTTACTTCCATTATTTGCTTGTTTTCTCTACCTAAATATAGTTGCCTTGCCTCTATTAATAATATTTTTTATTATTTTAATCTATATAACAGTGATATACTATAGATGTTTACGAGAAATTACTAGAATTGAAGCAGTTTCAAAGAGTCCTGTCTTTTCTTTTTTCTAATAAATTGTTAGAGGAATAACTTATGTTAGAACTTGTTTACCATTAGAAAAAGTAGTAATTTAATAGTAAAGAAATGTAGATGTAGATCTAGGTAATTAGATCAATCTATTTGGATTTCAATATTGGTATTAGTCACTAGCAGGATCTATTACAAATCTATTCTAAGCTTTGCTATTTATAATTTGTGTATGTTATTTATTTAGATATAGTTTATTTTCCCAGGAAAAACTTAATAAATGACAATAATGGTATTAAATTAGATGTAAGCAGTGTCATAATTACTTTTAAATTCCTCAATTTCCTATGGTAATATTTAAATGTACCTTATAAGTTTTGAAAGATGCTTACATTTAGCAAAGTATTTTTATTTATTAAATTAAGTAAAATTGATTAAGAAGAAAGAAATATTTCATTAGTTACACCATATGGGAATGATAGTGATAATACTGAAGATAAAAAAATTAATAATATAAAAGATAAAGAAGATAATAAAAATAATATCATTTTAAACCTAGAAAATTGTACTTTCCAATATAGACCAAATTCTAAATGTGTTTTATAATAATTATCAATAGACTTACACAAAAAAGAAAAAGTATATAATTTTATTATTTTTAAGATTGGGATAGTTGGTAGAACAGGAGCTGGCAAAAGCTCAATTATTTTGGCATTAACCTCAATCCTTGAATAAACAGAGGGTTCAATAGAAATAGAATAGAAAAATATTAATTTATATTCAATTAATGAATTAAGATAAAAATTTGGTATAATACCTTAAGATCCACTTATTTTTATGGGAAGTTTAAGATAAAATTTAGATCCTTTAAATAAATTTGAAGAATGTTATATTTAAGAAATAGTAAAATAATGTGGATTATTAGAAATGTAGAGTTTTAAATAATAAGGATTAGAAAGTGAAATTTCATTATAAGGTAGTAATTTATCTTTAGGTGAAAAATAATTATTAAATATTGTTAGATGTATATTAGAAAATAAAAGTATTGTTTTAGTAGATGAAGCTACATCTAATATAGATTCTAAAACTGAAGAACATGTTAAAAATGTAATTATTATTTATTATTTTTATTAGTTATTTAATAAATATTTTTAAAATGTTTCTATGATATCTATTGCACATAAAGTAACTACTATTATGAATTCTGATAGAATTATTGTTTTAAATGATGGATAAATTACTGAATTTGATCATCCTTCCAAATTATTATCTAATCCAAATAGTGAATTTAAATAAATTATAGATCTAATTAAGCACTCTGAAGCACTTTGATTGATCATATATATATATCAGTTTAAAAAAGTTTTTCTTAAAAACATAATTCTTCATTTAGAAGCAATTAACTTCTTTAAATAGTTTATGCATTAAATAATAATTCTTATCCTCATAGATATATTAAATCTTAAGAATTTTAGCTTAATTATGTTTTTTTTAATAATCAATTTAAATTTGAAAAATGACTTATTACACAATTTAATCTAATATTAGGTAAATTATTTTTTCTTTTATTTTTAGTAAAAGTCAGAATTCATATCTGATTCTAAATTACATTCAGAGTAAGGCAGGTGTATAATTTCTAATATTTTAAAGATAATGAAGTCATTGATTAATGAGCAACAGTTTTATTACAATTTTCTTTTCTCAAAATTTTGATTAGAATAAAAAGAGGACATTATTAGTTTACTAAAGCACAAGATTATTCTTACAAATGTTTATAATTTTTAAATCTATTTAATTATTATTATATGATAATTTAAGGTTTTTTTACTATTAATACAAGAAATTTATCAACTGAATCAAAATAATTATTTATGATAAATTTTATGAATTTGAGAGATTAGGCTTAATTATTAGATGTTGACAATTAAATCGAATTCAATCAAAAAAATTGTGGTAGCATGTTTTTTTTTGGCTGGATATATCGATTATTAGCAGTACATATCTATTCTAATTAATCAACTCTAGATTGGTAGGAAAAAGCCCCTCGTTCAATCTGATTTGACAATCATCGATCAAGATTGCAATATGGGGACATCTTATGAAAAATTCTCATCCATTAAAAAATAGTGCTTATGGCATCAATTATTTTTCTCTTTCAAAGGTAATAACATATATGTTTAGGGTTTAGGATTGATTTTATTCTGCACCATTCTATATTTATTGATTGCTCTTCTTTCCTCCTGTTAACCATTCATAACCAAACATTCTATATAATTCTTCTCTTATGACTAGGGTCAAAAGCCATCGGTAGCAAGTATGCTACTATTTGTTACAGTTTAACTTATTTATAAGTTGATTCTTTCATTACTCAAACCTTATTAATCCTTTTACATTTGTTTACTGAGTATTAAATTACAAGGAGCTTTATCATAGGAAATACTATTAAAGACATTAAAATTTCCTATATAGAGATCTAAACACTATTCAACAGGCGAACTGATTAATATGATGTAGGTTGATATACATTAAGCTTCAAATTATTTTTATTATGCTATTATATTATTTACAGTACCTTTACAACTTTTTATTGCCTTTATAGTTGTTTTTATTACTTTAAAGGGTTAAGCAGTAATTCCAGCAATTGGTTCAGTATTACAAGCAGTAATTGGAATACTATTTGGAATTTTTTATGGAATACTTCAAAAGAGATATATGGTTGCAAAAGATAGTAGAATGAAAGCTGTTGATGAAGCCTTAAATTATGCAAAATAAATAAAATTGAATACTTTAGAGGAATTTTTTGAATAAAGAGTATTTATAATCAAAATTAATAGATAAGAGATTATCGTGAAAGAGAATTGCAACAATTGAAAAATGAAGTTATGATGATGATATTTCTTCCCCTAATTCAAAGTTTAGTAGCTATCTTAACTTGGGAAGCAGTATTTTTTTTAACTAATCCTATTGACTTCTCAATAATAAATATCATGATGTCAAATTATTCAAACATATCAAATATTTTATCTAATTTACCTTATCAATATAAAAGCTTTTAAGTTTCAAGAAACTCAATGGCTAGATTAGATAATTATTTTAAATAAAAGGAATGTAATATGATAGAAAGATAAAGTGAAAATAATAATTTTGCAATAAAAATAAATAATGGTATTTATAGTTGGAAATCTAATGATTAAATGAATTAAGATGTTGTAGAAATAAAAGATGAAAATGAATAAATAAATGATTAAGATATATTTAATATAGATATTAATGTAGAAATTAAAAAAGGAGAATATGTGGCATTTGTTGGAAAGTATTTAATTAAATTGATTTATTTATTAGTTCTGCATCAGGAAAATCTACTATATTAAGATCTATTTTAGGAGAAACTGATAAGAAATCAGGAAATATTATAGTTAATGGTACTATTAGTGTAGCAACTTAAGAACCTTGGATTATTAGTGGAAGTATTAAAAAGAATATTACATTTATGAATTCATTTGATGCTCTTAAATATAAATAAATTATTAAAATATGTGGATTAGAAAGAGATATATCTTCATTTAAAAATGGAGATGATACTATTTTAGGAGAAAAAGGTGATAATTTATCTGGAGGTTAATAAAAAAGAATTAATCTTGCTAGAGCTATCTATAATGATGCAGATATCTATTTATTAGATGATCCTACTAGTGCTTTAGATATTAAAGTTAAATATTAAATACATTAATAATGTTTATCTGGATATCTAAAAAATAAGACAAGAATACTATTCACCAATTCTATATCTAATTTATAAGATTGTGATAGAATTTATTTTATTGAGAATGGAAGAATAATTAAAGAAAGCAAAATTCCTTAAACCATAATTTCAAACGGAGATCAAAAATCTTCTAAACAAGAAATAATTGAAACACAAATTGAATCAAAATAAGTAAAACCTGAATTTATTGATAATCAAGAGGCAAGATAGAGTTTATTATAAAAGGAAGATTAAGAATAAGGAGATATTTCTTTAAAAGTTTATAAATAGGTTTTCGTTTATATCGGCTAATATTTTGCACCATTATGTACTCTGGTGTATTTTGTAATAGTTTTAGGATTTTAACTTTATGGTAATGATAAGTTGGCCCAACAAAATGTTTCTAATGAAGAGTATAAATAAATTGCTAAAATTTATTATCCAATAACTTAATTGCCGGTAAGTCTAGCAGTTGTATTAATTAATGCTTATTACTTGTTGATGGGTTTATCTACCTCAAGAAAAATTCATAGCTCCATAATAAATAGATTACTTAATGCTTCTTATACTAAATTTTATAACACTATACTTATTGGAAGGTTAATGAATCGATTAAGTAAAGATATTTACAACATAGACTTAGAGTTTCCTAATGAAGTCTAAAATTTTAGTATATAAATATTTAATCTGATAATTCCATTAGTAGAATGTTTTATATATTTAAATATTGCTGCTTTACCATTGCTGATTATCTTTTTTATTGGCTTAATTTATCTCACAATAATCTATTATAGATGTTTAAGAGAAATAACTAGAATCGAAGCGGTCTCAAAAAGTCCGATATTTTCATTCTTCTAGTAAATTGTTAGAGGTATAACATATGCAAGAACTTGCTTGCCATTAGAAAAAATAGTTATTCAATAGTAAATAAATGTAGATACAGATTTGGGAAATTAAATTAATTTAGATGGGATTCAATATTGGTATTAATCTTTGGCAGGATCATCNTTTATCTGGATATCTAAAAAATAAGACAAGAATACTATTCACCAATTCTATATCTAATTTATAAGATTGTGATAGAATTTATTTTATTGAGAATGGAAGAATAATTAAAGAAAGCAAAATTCCTTAAACCATAATTTCAAACGGAGATCAAAAATCTTCTAAACAAGAAATAATTGAAACACAAATTGAATCAAAATAAGTAAAACCTGAATTTATTGATAATCAAGAGGCAAGATAGAGTTTATTATAAAAGGAAGATTAAGAATAAGGAGATATTTCTTTAAAAGTTTATAAATAGGTTTTCGTTTATATCGGCTAATATTTTGCACCATTATGTACTCTGGTGTATTTTGTAATAGTTTTAGGATTTTAACTTTATGGTAATGATAAGTTGGCCCAACAAAATGTTTCTAATGAAGAGTATAAATAAATTGCTAAAATTTATTATCCAATAACTTAATTGCCGGTAAGTCTAGCAGTTGTATTAATTAATGCTTATTACTTGTTGATGGGTTTATCTACCTCAAGAAAAATTCATAGCTCCATAATAAATAGATTACTTAATGCTTCTTATACTAAATTTTATAACACTATACTTATTGGAAGGTTAATGAATCGATTAAGTAAAGATATTTACAACATAGACTTAGAGTTTCCTAATGAAGTCTAAAATTTTAGTATATAAATATTTAATCTGATAATTCCATTAGTAGAATGTTTTATATATTTAAATATTGCTGCTTTACCATTGCTGATTATCTTTTTTATTGGCTTAATTTATCTCACAATAATCTATTATAGATGTTTAAGAGAAATAACTAGAATCGAAGCGGTCTCAAAAAGTCCGATATTTTCATTCTTCTAGTAAATTGTTAGAGGTATAACATATGCAAGAACTTGCTTGCCATTAGAAAAAATAGTTATTCAATAGTAAATAAATGTAGATACAGATTTGGGAAATTAAATTAATTTAGATGGGATTCAATATTGGTATTAATCTTTGGCAGGATCATCTACAAATGTATTTTAAGCTCTTTTATTTATAATATGTGTACACTATTTATTTTAAGTTAGTTTTTTTTTCCTGGAAAAAATAGTGATAAAACCTTTCTGGTATTAAACAAAATGCAAGAGATTTCACTTTTGGTACTGAATGCATCAATTTCTTACGGCAATATATAAATGTATCTAATCAGCTTTGAGAGATGCCTACACTTAGCTAAGTAATTATTATTTTAAAATAAGTAATGTCGATTTGGATGAAAGATTCATTCCTCAAATATCAATAAATGAAGAGGCTTTAGAAAATAAAGTCACTTAAAACACAGTATTAAACTTAGAAAATTGTACATTTCAATATCGACCTTTTTCAAAAAGTGTTCTCCAAAAATTGTCATTTAAATTAAATAAAAAAGAAAAGGTATCATCGTTTTTATGGTTTAGATTGGAGTAGTTGGAAAAACAGGTTCTGGCAAAAGCTCCATAATTTTAGCTTTGACTGCTATTTTAGAGCAGATAGAAGGTTCTATTGAAATAGAAAATAAAAAAATTGATCAATATTCTATAAAAGAATAAAGATAAAAATTTGGTATAATACCTTAAGATCCACTTATTTTTATGGGAAGTTTAAGATAAAATTTAGATCCTTTAAATAAATTTGAAGAATGTTATATTTAAGAAATAGTAAAATAATGTGGATTATTAGAAATGTAGAGTTTTAAATAATAAGGATTAGAAAGTGAAATTGCATTATAAGGTAGTAATTTATCTTTAGGTGAAAAATAATTATTAAATATTGTTAGATGTATATTAGAAAATAAAAGTATTGTTTTAGTAGATGAAGCTACATCTAATATAGATTCTAAAACTGAAGAACATGTTAAAAATGTAATTATTATTTATTATTTTTATTAGTTATTTAATAAATATTTTTAAAATGTTTCTATGATATCTATTGCACATAAAGTAACTACTATTATGAATTCTGATAGAATTATTGTTTTAAATGATGGATAAATTACTGAATTTGATCATCCTTCCAAATTATTATCTAATCCAAATAGTGAATTTAAATAAATTATAGATCTAATTAAGCACTCTGATAATTTGTGATAATTAATTTAATAATAAATAATAATATTTGAAACTTTTTAATATCATCATTATATTTCAACTGCTCTTTTTAGAACTAATTTTTAAGAAAAAGGATTTGAATATGTAAATATCATTCCATCTTGAGTAACATTAAATGCATATATTTCTTTTTCTTTTATAATCTCAGTGATTAGGTCAAACTTTCCTTCTATGTTTAATTTAAAGATTTTAATTTGATTTCCTGTACAGCAAAATAGTACATTTAAATCATTAATGAAAATTAATCTTTAAGTGAAAACACTCCAATATTGAAGACCCTCAAATTTAATTTCTTATTTTTTACTAAATAAATGATTTGATTGTGATTATTCCCAAATCAAGATTTCACTTTAATAACTTAAACTTGAAAATTTATATTTGTTTATAAATGCAATAATGTTAATGATATTTTGATGAGCATTTAAAACTCTTTAAAATTTCTTAATAATAATGTTTTAAACATTTGTATCTTAATATTACCATATTGTAATATTACCATCAAAAGACCCAGAAACTAAATAATTTTCATTATTTCCAGTCAAATATGATAAATTATTGCTATTAAACTCAAATCTAAATTAACATATCCAGCTATTAAATGTATTTAAATGCCAAATTTTAATTCCATTTTTCTAACTAGCTGTTATAATCTATTTATCATTTTATTATAACATAATGGAGCAAATCTAATCTTGATGTCCTTAAATTAATTAATCCAATTTCCATTTTCCATTTATCATTTTAACTATGCCGAATTAACCTATAAGATCATGAGTAATAAATAGGTCTTAGAATTTACTAAATATGATCTCTACTTAGAGTGTTCCAGTACACAAATTATATAAATATGTATAATTATTCTCTTAAAATTTCCAAAAGTATAAACCATCATTTGCTGCAGTCACTAAAGTACTACCATTATGATTAAAGCTAGATGCATAAACTTTTTCTATTTTATTCAAAACTTATATTTTTTTGTAAAAATTATACTTTTAATAAATATTCTTATTTAATTGTTGATATTTTAGAAGATAATTAATATAATTTTAATTTTCATCGTTGTCCTTATATTATTCTAAGTTTCTTTATACAATCAGTTAATCCTTTTAAGAAACCAAATTATTTAATTTTTCTATGCTTTATAATGTAAATTTGACATTTTAATCGAAATTCCATTTTCTATTATTTTATAGCTTATCTTCAATATTTTTTATGGAAAGATCAATATTTTTGATATCTTATGTAACATCATATTGATTAACTTTTGAAAAGTCTTAAAACTATAGCCTTAGATTTTTCAATTTTTAGGTTTTTTCTTAAATCTATTAATCAACCCAAATTTCTTCCTTGTTCTTCTCCTCCTCCATTATATTTAGAGCATTATTAATTTTTAAATCTCCTTTATGACAAAGTCCCCATAAAAAGTTTAATCTTTCATTTTCAAGTTGAGCTACACCATAAATCTAATTGTTTTTATTCTCCTCAAGAGTCTGAAATTCTTATTTATTCATAATGTTATTATTATTCTTTTAAAATATATTTCATCATTCTAATAAATTCTAGAAAAACAATATATATTTTTTTTTTATGATTTTTATTGAAAATAAATAATAAATAAAGCTTTAATCGTTAATATTATTCTAATTTAATTTAAATATCATTCTCTGATCATGAGAAATTAATCAGATCCAAATATAAGAAATTAAATGATATAAAATGCAGTTCCAGAAGAAAAATATAGAAAACCAAATCCTGTTGGTAATAATAAATGGGATGAAGAAAATTTTATAAATTTCTAAGTTATGCAAAGAGGATAGGAAATTAAATTGGTTACCTACAGATGTAATACAACCTTAGATTAACCAAAATCAGTTACTGTGTTTTTTCATGGTTTGAATGAACATCTTGGCTTATATGCTCATATAGCTTAGGCAGTCAGCAAATAAGCTAATAGTGTTGTAGTAGGATTTGACTTTAGAGGTTTTGGTAAAAGCTAAGGAGTTAGAGGTTGGCTGGAGTCCAGATAATAGCTAGAAAATGATTGCATTCAATTTATTTAAAAAATACATAATCTTTATCCTGGTTTATCACTATTTACATTAGGACAATCAATGGGAGGAATGGCTTCATATTTAATGGGACTGTCCAATTAATGTGAAGGTACAATACTAATAACTCCAGCCATTATGGATAATAGAAATAATTAATCTTTTATGAAATCCTTAGGTTTATTATTTGGAGCTTGTTTTCCTACATGGAATCCTTTTCCTCCAGTAAGATCACCTGGATCAAGAAATCCTCAAATTTAAGAGGAAAATCTCAAAGATCCTTATTGTACTTTAATAGCTGTACTACCTGGAACAGGAAGAACATTAGTTTCAACAATGAGATCTCTTCCCGAAACATTCTCTACATATAAAAAACCATTTTTAGTGATTACTGCAGGAATGGATAAAGTAGTAGATCCTAATGTAGGCTAAGAATTAATGAAGTAAAGTCCTTCAATAGATAAATAAATCATACATTGCGAAGAGATGTGGCATAATTGTGTACAAGAAGAAGAAATTCTTGAACTTATTCCAAAAATTGTAGAATGGATTACATAAAGATCTCATTAATGAGTAAGATGATTTAAATATTAATTTCATGTAAACATCAAATTTCTAAATCAGCAAATCTTCATTAGTAATAATAAATGTAATGATTTGACTTTATTTTTAATATTCTTATAATACAGTTATAAGTACTTTTTAATTGATTTTAACATAAAAGTTTTAATTGTAAATTTTTATTATTAAGAAATTAAAATTATGATTTGGAATCTATGATTTTCTGAATGAAATTCATTTTGATAATTAATACCTTGTTATTACTATTAGATTAATTAATACATAATATTTTATTTAATCAAAATTAGAAATATTTACAACACGCTTTCAATTAAATTTAATTATATAACAATTTATAATGAATAAATTCACTCTTAGATTTAATCAGCAAGTCTTAGAATTACAGTATCAATCAACCAGACTTGTAATGAGGAAATAAATTCTATACGGAGTTTCTTCTGGATTTATAATTATGAATACAATTTCAGCAATACTAAAAATAATTGGAAATGATAATTAAAATTTACCTTTAGATTTAACTTAATCATCTATTGCTTTTTTAACAGTTTGTGTTGTTAAATATTACCCTAAGTATATATTAGAAGGATTAAATATTTTAAATTTGCTTTTTTGCCTTGTTTAAATAAATTTAGATGAGGCTGCAACTTCCCAGTAAATGTACATCTTTGGTGCTAATATAATGGCAACATAACTAATGTTGTTGTTCGGTTCAGATTTCATATATTCTTTACCGTAAATCGCTATCATAGCATGTTCTAGATTAGGAATATAAAGAGTATATCAATCATTTGATTGGTTTTCAATATCGTTGACTTTATTAGTTTCATTGTGGCTTGGAATTGTTTAATATTAATTTGATAAATCACTTAGATCATAATTTTTACTGACATTAAAAGATCATAATTGGGGTAATAAAATTTTAAAACATAGATTAACTTTTGCCATAAATTGTTGACAAGCCTTATTTTTATTTTCGATATAACAATTCATAATTTGAAATAAAATAAATTCATAAATAGTAATAAATTTTTAATTACAATCTCGATTTTTGTTAAGGTTGTAATTTAAGACATTTTTTAAGGGAGTTTTAATTTAACAATTAAACAATAGAGACATTCATATTAAATAGATTAAAAACATATTAAAAAAATATCTATGAAATAGAAATAATAGGTAAAAATAAGAAATAATATTCAATGAGGATAAATTATTGTGAAATTTTTAGTGATTATCCAAATTTCTTGATCATTTTAAATGATACTAAATAAAATAATAATATTTCTAAACAATTATAAACATCTTTCATTAATAAATATTTTACTAGATATTCTAATCATCTTTTTTAAATGATTTTGAAAGGAGATTCAAAATTTAAAATCATTTAGCTAAATTATCATTATTTATCTGCTTTATATCTTAAAGATTATACTGTTAAAAACTTTTCTCCATACAATCAATTAAAGAAAATTATAAATCTATCAGGAGGAGTATAACTTTAATGTGTAAAGTAACTTAAAATTTAAGGATATAAGAATTTATTTTCGGTTTTCTGGTTATAAACTATATTGATAATGATAATATCTTAGAACAGACCTCATTAAGATTTGCCAATAATAATATTAAGTTAGGAATTAGATTATATTGAATTTAGTTTAGTTCTAAATTATCCAAAATAATTTCAGGAAATGTTCAATCAAAATTTGATCATTTAAAAACTAAAAGGAGTAATATTTTTTCATATTAACTACAATTTATGGAAATTTAAATCCTATTCTAACCTTGATATAGCCTTTAGCAAAATTGATAATAATTGAGTTAAACATTTAATTAATAATTATAGATTTAAAATATTATAGGATCATTTAAACTAATTCATTTTTATATAAACATTGGTAGTAAATTTATTTTAAATTTTAATCAAGTTCTTAAATTTCTTCATTTTAGTAACAAATAAATCATAAAGTTAATTTTCTTCCTTAGATATTTAAATTATTCTTTTTCATAAACTTATATGATAATATTTAATTGATTTAAATAAAAAAAGTAAGAATATTAATTATTATTTAAAAATAATAAATTTAATGAATTCAAAAAGAAATGATGTGTTTATCATAAATAAACCTCATTTATGTTAAAATCATAATTAAAAACTTGTATTAGTGTGTTCTGACCCACAATGTTAGGATCATGGATTGATTTGTATTGATTGTTTACTTTAGAACCATAAAAATTGCAAATCTTATATTAAGAAGTATGATGAATTTTTGTGGATAATGTAAAATACAATGGAAAAAGTTCAAAATTGGAAAGAGAAGGTAAATAATAGTAAAATTTAATAGAGATTTAAAGATGCCCAATCTATTTTATTAAGTTTAGGAAATTTATAACCAAAATTTAATGAACTCATTTATTCATTATAATTAGTAATAGAATATATAATTTTTTTAGGAAATTGAAACCTATTTATAATAAGAGAATTTAGAATAAGATGTTAGGATAATGAAGAATTTATTTTAGGCTAATTTCGAAGAGGAAAAAGAATTTATAAAAGAGTTTATTTAACAATAAAAAATCATGTTTTAACATGAAAAAGAATATTAATGGGAAGTTAAAGGAAGTTAAATAGTAGAATGTTTGAATTAAATTGTTAATGATATGTATAATTAGGAATTTTAAGAATAATAATAAACTATAGATTCATAGAAATATCTAAAAGTAAAAGGAATAGATGATTTAAAAGGGATAACTAGTTATATTCCAAAACTTCGATTAGAATTGTAATTATATATATAATACAACTAGATAATAAAGTAATTGGAGTGGTATAGGAAATATATTTCCAAAATTTGTAGCTTTAAATAGTTTGCAAATTAATGCCATTAAATCTCCTTTGAAGGCTCAAAGTTTAGAAGAAATAATAAATGCAATATAATATTTACCTAAATTAGAAAAATTTAAAATCAATTTAATAGGATCACATGCAAATGAATAAACTTTATAATTAATTCTAAAAATCATTAGTAATAAAAATTTGACAGAATTTGGAATTTCTTTTGGATATAGTTAAATTTTATCAGATGATTTTATAAGATAGATAAACTAATTTAAAGAATAATTAAGAGGAATATCAAGGATATATATTAGTAATCAACTACATGAATTTACTGATTAATAATAAAAATTGCTCAAAACATACTTAAATTAAATTGAATTTTTTGGATGAGGACTATATATATATATATTAATTATAGATTCAATCTTAAGGGATTTCTATTTAAAGGTTTTTTTTTTTAATTCCAACCACTTTTTTTCTTCCACTCTCTATTGTTTATTTTTTTTCTTCTTCATCTGGAGGGGATTTTGGAGAATGAGGAGATTATTAGTTAATTATCTCTCTCTCAGATTTTTCAAGATCAAGAAACATCTTACCAGTTTATTTGTTTTAATCTGGTTGTTCCTATTAATACATTCGATTAGTCTTTGTGAAAGAATTAGTTTAGCTTAAAATTTATGGTTAAGTATTAACATTATCTGTTCGACTTTCTTGTTTTCGATCACAAGAATTTACATATTATTGCAATTTATTTATTTCTTCTTCAAGCTTTTTATTTCTAGTTTATTATTATTTACGAATATAAAGGAATAAAGCAATACCAATGAAAACTAGTAATATAATAACAAACACTATAATGTAGATTTCTGAATTATCTGAGTCTGAATCCATTATTGAAATTTTATTATTTAACTATAAAAGCAATAATATTTTTGTATAAAATTGGAAATACACTAATTTATTTATAAAATAATTGAGATAAGCCTTTCTATATTTATAGATAATTCAAAATTCAATTTTTCTAATAAAAATTTTTAAGTAAATTCATTTTTATATTATTTTTATTATAAAAGCTTGATGATAATCTAAAATTACATTATCTTACTATTAATTATATGATAAATAGTTTATAAATATACATATATTTTAAATAAAATTCTAATCAATAATTAATAGATTTATTGAAATGTATGATTTTTATTAAGTTTTTATCATCATCAAAAGAAATAAGAAAAATTATTTAAAAATTGAATATGAATTTTTAAAGTAGAATTCTTTTCTATACTTTTTGTAATATTATCATTTAAAAATATACATTAAAATGATTTAATATATTATTTTTTCAATAAAATCAAAAAATTGAACATGTACAACTATTTTCTACTTGAACTACTTTTTATTCTGTATTTTTAACATTAGACCTTCTAACATAAGTTTAACTGGCTTAAATTTAAAACCTAAGTGGTTGTTATAATGGTTCTATTAAAGTTCGATAATTGTCTTTAAAATAGTATAGAACCTAAATAGTATCATCTATCCCTTATTACCATTATCTTAGATCAATATAATCAAGTTTGTTTAATTCATATTCTTTTCTTTATATCTATTATATTTAACTGTTAATTTATTTTTATTCTAATTTTCGATTTGATAAATCATAAGCAGCATATTAGATTTCAACTTCAAGTTCCTTCAAATTTTTTACTTTGTTATTAATTACTTTAATTATGTTTCTTATTGAAAGATCAGAAAATGATTTAACCCCTAAACACTCATTCATTAATCTAACAATTTCTAATGATATTAAAATAGGTTTAAATTCAATATAATTCTTATCCTTTTATTAAAATTTAACTATTTATTAAGGATATATTCTAATTGAATTATTCTAACTTATAGATGAAGAATTTTTGATTCCTTTTAATTTAATTTAAGAAGGTTAAGATTTTGATTTATCAATGGTTGGTTTTTTAGTTGTTCTTCTAGAAGCACTTTTTGTTCTTTTGTAATTAGCTGAATTATTATTTATATTTTTAGTCTAATTTTAATTATTTTTATTATCTTAATTATATGAGTTTGATATAATATAACTTTAAATCATAGATTTATTATTGAAATTTAATCTATCATTTTCTGAGGGGAGTATTAATTGATTAGAATTATTTACTTAATCAACAATTGTTTTTAATTTTTCATTATTTTCCTCAGTTTGAGCTAATTAAATAATTCTAAGGTAATTTAACAATCTCCAATATAATGATTAAAAATAAACTCTATCTTACAAATAAAGTAGTTTATGCTTTATAATTGATTCATCTGTATTCAATGATTATTCAAGTATTTAAGAGATAGAAAATGTATCTTATTAATTAAATTAAGGATCAATTTTTTCTAGTTCCAAATCATAATTCCATAAATTTTTATAGGCATTTTGAACTCTTTAATAATAATTACTTAATTATTAAAGAGATTAATCAATATTATTAGATGATAACAGATTGATCTCATTTTTTGTATTTTCAAGAACAGATTCTATAAATTCTAAATTTTCTATTTCCTACCACACAGGTTCAATTCCTATAAGTTTATTTTTTATTATATTAGATTCCTCTATCTATTTTTAGATTCTGTATAATTTAAACAAATTTAAATTTAATATAGGGTCATCAGATTATAATTTTAAACCTATTTTTAGACACTCAATAGCTTCTTTCTCTTAGCCTAATTTACAAAGAACAACGGCTTTAAAAATGATGGTTAAATTTACCTCTGTTATTATAACCGTTAATTAAGTAATTATTAAGTTTGATTGCATTATTATAACATTCCAAAGATTCTTTCAATCTATCAAGTTTATACAAGGCATAACCTATTTGTATAATTTCTATATTTACCCTTGCTAAAATATACAATATGGCATTTAGGATTAAGATCTAAGGCTTTTTCGAAAGTTTCTAAGGATAGCTCAAAAAGATTGAGTTATATACATAAAATTCCTTTATTTATTAGTGTTTCCAAAGTTGTTAAATATTTAAGAGATTAATCAAAATATTACAGAGCTTCTTCTTTTCGGTTATTTTCAGCTAAAAGCAAACCTGAGTTTAATTAAGTTGTTACCTAAATTATAATATACTTAATGATTATTAGTTCCTTCTGATACACACTTCTTATAATCTTATAAAGCTAATTATGTTTGATTTAATAATCGATAGATATTCCCTTAAAGAATTTTAGTATTTATTACCTCTAATATAATATGCATCTATCATTTTTTAATCCAGTTCAATTGCCTTACTTAAATTTAACAAAGCTTCTTCATTTCTTCCAAGAGAATGCAAAATTTTGGCTTTAATAATATTAAATCATTTTCAAACCTTGTTTTAGAAACAGCTCTGAAGTTTGGCTATTATCTGATAAGATATTTAACTGTTGACTTTTAAATCCTTACTTTATTTTAAAAACATTACCATCAACAAAACAGTGAATAGATGATTGACTCTGGCTTTCAGTGAGCATTAAAGTAAATAAATTATTAATTAATATATCTATATAATAATATATAGTAAATTGAAATTGATAATAACAGATTGAAAATCAATAAGACTTTTCTATACTTATTTCATATTCTCATCTTAAACAAATTACAATTTCAATAAATTTAAAGATAGAAAATAAATTGATCTTATGAAAAATCATTAAAATTTTAAATAAATATTCATTACAATTATTATTCATATATTTGCAATGATCGTAACTTCTTATTGATTAATACTAAATATTTACCATCATTTGTTAAAGTTCCTATTGCTTCTCCATCAATTTCTTCTTCAATTTAAAATTTCCAATTCTACTTCCTTCTAAGTATTATTGTTTTGCTATTATGTTTAAGCAATAATATTTATTTGTTCACAACAAATTACATTGGACTAAAACTAGAAAGATCAACATTCAGATATTGCAATTCTATAGTTTATGTATTTACAAAAAGATTTGCTTAATTCCTTGTATAAATCTCTATATATCTATTTGAATTTTATTAAAGCACTATTTAATTGTCCTATATAAAACAAGCTCTAAAACTTTATGATTAATGTTTAATAATTTGTTGTTTTTTCCACTCAGATTCCTTATTTAAACTCCATATTATTAAATTTCTATCATAACTACATGATGAAAATTAAGTAAATGATTAATTGAAACTCAATTAATATACAGAATTTTAATGAACATCTATATTTTAAATACACTCCCATTTATTTTGCTTCTTTCCCCAAACTAATATTGTATTATCACAACTACTGGAAATAATTTAATCATCAGATTTATTTATTATAATACTATATATATATCCAGTATGTCCTTTTAATATCTAAGTAGTTTACCAATTCTTATAGTTAATCTCTTCCCAAATTCTAATTGACATATCAGCACCTCCAGAAACAAACATGTTATTATTTTTACTACAAGCTAAACAAAAGATTTATTGATTATGACCTTACAATAATTAACTATTATACAATTGACCATTTTTAAATTACCATATTTTTACATTATCTCCTATTCCTTAAAAAACTACATCATTTTAATGATTGAAGAGTATCACATTTGATAAAGTATTTTATTCAAGAGTTTCAACCATTTTATAATTTATACAATCACCTTCAAATTTTTTTACATTTTTTTTTATTTAAAGCAGACCATCTTTTGAAATACTAGCAAACTCTTTAAATTATTTCAATAAAGGTTCATATTCTAATAAATAGAATTTATTAATTTTATCATCTAAATCTGAATTTTATTGTTATGAATTTGCTTCTTTTATTAGAATATTATCAATTATTGAGATTAATTATTGAACTTATTTTATTATTTGATCTTAAAATTACAATATGGATAATTTTAATTGAGGCAAAACACTTTTTCTTTAATTTACCTTTTTTTTAGCTAATTAGAATTTCTTTTCATATAATGTTACTATCTAATGTAATGGAATTAAACTAAATTCAATTTATTCATTTTTTTATTTTTTGAATATATTCATTAATATTTATGATTAAGTACCAATAGTGTTTTGTTTTTGATTATGGAAATTCATATCTATAAATATTAAATAAAATATTAAATTTATTAACAATTTAATTCAATAAAATAAAATATAATAATGTTAATAGAATACTTTAGTTTGTTAGAATGGTAGTATATTAAAAAAATAAATCTATTTAAAACTTTAAGTTAAAGTATGAATATTTCTTAATTAGTGGTTTAAGAGAAACTTAAGAAATTTGTTTTTCTAAACAACCAAATTACAATTGAGATAGAAAATTATAAATATTTCAAAACATCACGAAAATTTATAACTATTGACTGCTCTTTTCTATATTTTAATACTATTTTTATTAAAACAAGAATTAGGTTAGATTATAAAGTATATATATAATTTTCATTTATTTAATTTTAAGAATTCTTAAATTATAATATATTTAGAGATCGAAATAAATTAATTATCCTTTATTCTTCTCTAATTATTAAATAGTAAAATTATACTTACAGAATATATATTTTTTATAAAGGTATTATTATAATAACTCATTTTATTTAATTTGTTTATTTAGAAAAGTAATATGAAAAAGGTCTGTTGTAAGAATTGTTATTATTAATTGTATTAGTTTAGGTAGTATATTAATCTTCATGATCACTTTAAACTCTCTTAATTTTTCTATAGAATACAGAATATTTTTCTTTTCTACTTTAAGTTCTTGCTTATAACATTAGTTATCTTGGAGTCAATAATTATGGATCCATCTCTTAATAACTTTAGATTTTTATAAGTGTTTGATCTTCTTATTTATTCATGTATTTTTCAATAGATTTAGATAATCTTAATCGAAATTTGGATATTAAATATGAGGTTTTGACTTTAGAATGTGTATCCCTCATTGTTGATTTTGTTGTTAAGAGATTTCTTTAAATTTAATTTTCTACTTTTTCAATAAGATAAGGATATAAAATATTATTATTTTATGTCTTATTACAATTGATAGGTTCATTTATTAACTACTTCCTTTAAATTTCAAGTCTTTGTAAATATGTTAGATTTGTAATCTTATTTGTATTAGATCGAATGAATTTTGAACTTTTTAGATCTAAAATTTGCATCTTGTTATTCTCACTTTACATTGAATTATTAAATTAATTAGAAATATATTTTGAAAAGTTTAACTCAACAAAATTTTACATTTACTTACGAATTGTTCAAATAATTTTATAATTCAAATCTTCTATTACGATATTGAAAAGTTACAAAATTTAAGAAGATTTATTATTTTACATCTGAAATGTTTCATAACATTTTTGTTCTTATTTGAATTAAAAAATGTTATACCAGATAAGAATAATTTCTGTTTACAAATAAGAAGTTATATTATGATAGCTTAAAAGAATTAAATAAGATATTTTATTTTCTGACTTTTCAATTCAATAGATGAGATTATTAACCTAAATTTATAAAACATATTATATTACAAAAATAAGTAGATAAGAAAATAGTCAAAGATAAAGATGATTTATATATAAAAGAATTTAAATCGATTGAAAATCATTAAAATTTGTAATGATCACTTTATTTTTGTATTTTAAAACATCAAATACTTAAATTTGAATGTAAGAAAATAAAATTATACATAATAGAAAATAGACTTTAGTTTATATTTATATTTTTACACTATTTTAATATATAATTATTCATTATTAAATAGATAGAAATAATGTAAAATGAATAGATTATTATAAATGTTAGTAATAAAGAAACAGGTTTGTAAACTAAAATGATGATTAAAAAAGATAGCGATTTTATAGTTTCAGACATTTTGGAAATAAGTGAATCTATAGCAATCTCATAGTAAAAAAAATTATATTAACAGGAATAAATCATCTGGTTAAATAGGTGAGCTAGTAATTTTCAGTAAAGCGAATAATAGATTTATTGAATTAGGATAGCCAATTAATGAGGTTTTAAAGAACTTAAATTTTGATGAATTTGAAATTTAGAATCGATACTCAGAATCATACTCACTTTAACCAATTAATGTTAGAATTAATGTAGTTGATAATAAATACACTATTTAAAGAAGTTTTCAATTAAGCAGATTTGATAAATTAAGTTAAATAGGAGAAGAAATATTAAAATATTTGAATAAAACAAAGTATTGAAATTAATAATTTTAGAGAGGAATGTGAGTTGTTATTTATTATTTAAGGACAAGAATATTATCCATTCAAAATTAATTTGAGATTAGTTGATATTAATTTTATTGATAATGATGAGATCTAAATCGAAATTCCAATCAAATTAATTATTTCACTATAAGATGGAGGTAGAGATAGCAAAATCACTTTATTATCAAAATCATCTAATACTTTTAGGCATATAGAGAATTAAATTAAATAAAGACTATCTTTCGAGAAGTATAATATGCATTTATTTAATAGTGATAATGTTTTGCTGAAGTTCGAAGTTGATAATAAGATTTTAAGTGAATAAATGTACAATTAGACTCTAAAAGATTTTGGTATAAATGAAAATTCAAAAATATCTGTAAAATAATTATATACAGGTGGATTCTAGAGATAAAAACATCAATATTGAATATATCTAATTTTAAATAATATTAAATCTTTAATAATAATAATATTTTTGCATCATTAATTATTTATTACTCATGGCAAATAAGTTTCTTAATAATTCAACTTAGGATAAGAACAATATATATAGATATAAAATAAGATTTTACCAAACTTGAAGATATTTTTTTTTTANCTATTTTAATATATAATTATTCATTATTAAATAGATAGAAATAATGTAAAATGAATAGATTATTATAAATGTTAGTAATAAAGAAACAGGTTTGTAAACTAAAATGATGATTAAAAAAGATAGCGATTTTATAGTTTCAGACATTTTGGAAATAAGTGAATCTATAGCAATCTCATAGTAAAAAAAATTATATTAACAGGAATAAATCATCTGGTTAAATAGGTGAGCTAGTAATTTTCAGTAAAGCGAATAATAGATTTATTGAATTAGGATAGCCAATTAATGAGGTTTTAAAGAACTTAAATTTTGATGAATTTGAAATTTAGAATCGATACTCAGAATCATACTCACTTTAACCAATTAATGTTAGAATTAATGTAGTTGATAATAAATACACTATTTAAAGAAGTTTTCAATTAAGCAGATTTGATAAATTAAGTTAAATAGGAGAAGAAATATTAAAATATTTGAATAAAACAAAGTATTGAAATTAATAATTTTAGAGAGGAATGTGAGTTGTTATTTATTATTTAAGGACAAGAATATTATCCATTCAAAATTAATTTGAGATTAGTTGATATTAATTTTATTGATAATGATGAGATCTAAATCGAAATTCCAATCAAATTAATTATTTCACTATAAGATGGAGGTAGAGATAGCAAAATCACTTTATTATCAAAATCATCTAATACTTTTAGGCATATAGAGAATTAAATTAAATAAAGACTATCTTTCGAGAAGTATAATATGCATTTATTTAATAGTGATAATGTTTTGCTGAAGTTCGAAGTTGATAATAAGATTTTAAGTGAATAAATGTACAATTAGACTCTAAAAGATTTTGGTATAAATGAAAATTCAAAAATATCTGTAAAATAATTATATACAGGTGGATTCTAGAGATAAAAACATCAATATTGAATATATCTAATTTTAAATAATATTAAATCTTTAATAATAATAATATTTTTGCATCATTAATTATTTATTACTCATGGCAAATAAGTTTCTTAATAATTCAACTTAGGATAAGAACAATATATATAGATATAAAATAAGATTTTACCAAACTTGAAGATATTTTTTTTTTAAATTGAAATGTTATTAAACTTATATTTTAACATCTATTTAAACTGGACAATTTTAATCAGAATAATGAAAGAATATTAGATTAAACATCAATTCTGGAAATCTTTAAATCTCTTTCAGACCTTTTATTACAGATTCCTATCAACTATAGTATAATCACCTTAATAAAAGACTTTTAGCTCTTTAATAAAGGGTATTTAAAAACATCTGAAAATAAGACATGATTTAAAAGTAGAAAATATTATAACATAACCTCTTAATAATATTTTTTATTAAATCTAGAATCTTTAATAATTATATTAGTAGAGACTATATTTTATTTCAATTTGAATTTACCTAGCAATGAATAATATGTTATAAAGAATAATATATCTTATAAAGCACAATAAGTTTAAGGAAACTATATAAAAAGAAATATTGAAGATTTCTTGATTAAATAAAAACTTATGAATTTAGAACAATAAATTAAGTAAAGAATAAAGGACAGCCAAAGTCAAGGCATTTCTAGAAAATAGTATAATTGTTTATTGAAACAAGTGAGGTACATTAAATATATGATTATAAATATCACTAATATTAAATTATAGTTTTATAATACTATTTTAAGACCAAATTATAATGGTTCTTAAATATAGAAATTTTCATAATTTTGTGATGAATTGCTCTTTATTTTCATGAAATAATAGATTATCTATACATAATGAAAATACTCAATATATAATATTTATAAAAGCATAAATTTTTATAGGTTTTGAAGAGTATTTTATTTTGATTGAATTTAATGATAATTGATGATTATTAAAATTAATGCAATCATTTAATGATTAGCAATCTCACTCTACAACTTTAGAGCCATCGAAGTAACTTATCATTTTAAGTAGGTCATTCAAAACTAGAGCCATCTTTGATTCAATGGAGATTTCAACTAAATAATTCTATATGTTTGATAATGACACAGGGGAAATAATAGACCTTAGAACTTCAGAGATAGTTGAATATGATTAAATATAATTCTAAAAGGAAAATGCTTGGCAGGATTTTTGGAAAGAATCTCAGTTGAAAACATTGGAGCTTATTAAAGCATGCAAATAAGGTTAGTTTTAAATTGTAGAATCAATATTGTAATCTTCAAACTTTATTGATATAAATGCTAAAGATTCAAATGATTAAACATGTCTACACTTTGCTTGTAGTTCTGGTAACTTTTAGATAGCATATTATCTAATATAAAAAGGGAGTTTTTTGGATGAATAAGATTATGATGGATGTACTCCTTTGATGATAAGTGTAAAAGGCAACCTCATAGATATTGTTACTTTGCTATTATATAACAAAGCAAATGTTGATAGATAAGATTTTTTGATGAATACACCTCTTCATGTAGCTTTGGATAATAATTCTTTAGAAATAATTTAAATTTTACTTAAATACAAAGCTGATCCTTATATTAAGAATGCAGATACTCTAAATGCTCTTTAATTAATATCAAATACAGAATAGTAATAAATATTCAAATAATTTGGATATGAAAAATAATATGTAACAGAAAGGTTAGCATAAAGTACTAAGGAAACTAAAGAATCTAAAGAATCTAAGGATTCAAATTCATCTTATCGTAAAAGTATCAGTAGAATAATGAAGTTTTTAGGGTAATCTGTACCTACTAATTCTTTATAAAAATAATAATAATAGGCAAGATAATCATTAGTTCCAATTGGAGGTAATAATATTGGTCCAGATTCATTTACATATCATAAAGAATTAGGGAAAGGTTCTTTTGGTATTGTTTATCTAGTAAAAAAAAAGGATGAATAGAATAGTTTATATGCTATGAAAGTATTGAGAAAAGAGAAAATAAGTTAAAAATTATTACCTTATATATAAACTGAGAAATCTATATTATCTGTAATAGATCATCCTTTTATTGTGAAATTACATTTTGCTTTCTAAACACAATACAAATTATTTTTGGTTATGGATTTCTGTCCAGGTGGTGATTTAACTAAACTTTTAGATTTAAAGTCTAAATTACCAGAACATGTTGCTAAAATGTATACTGCTGAAATCATCTTAGCTATTGAAGCCCTACATTAAAATAAAATTATGTATAGGGATTTAAAACCTTAAAACATTATTATAGATAATAAAGGTCATTGTATGTTAACTGATTTTGGTTTAGCTAAAACTGATATTGAAAATGAAGATACAAAATCTTTTTGTGGAACTCCTGCTTATATGGCACCAGAAGTTGTTAATAAAAAATTATATAATCGTTCTGTTGATTGGTATTAATTAGGTACAATAACACATGAAATGCTATTTGGTATGCCACCATATTATAGTCATAATAGAGAAGAATTATTTGAAAATATCAAAAATAAATAACTTAAATTTCCTTAAAATAATCTAACCAAAGAGGCTCTTTTATTCATTTAATAAGTAACATAATATATTTATATTTTTAGTTATTAGAGAGAAATCCTTCTAAGAGACTTGGTTCAAAAAAGGATTCAGAAGAAGTTAAAAATCATCCATGGTTTTAAGGTATTAATTGGGATGATGTTATGAATAAAAAATTACCTGTTCCTACACCTAGTATTATGAATTAAGCCAATCAGACCATTCAAATTAATTTTGAAGAGGATACACAAATTCAATAGAGAAAAGCTATAGATAATTGGACTTTTATTTCTGATTGATTATATATATAAATTAAACTATGGAATATGAAATTATGCTGCTATGCAACACTTTAGGAATAGGAATTGTTGTGATGATAATCCTCTATCATTTAGTTGGTACCAAAGCAGATAAGAACACATATTGATTAATATTCATATTTCGTGTCCAAGCCTTACCTTATGATGTCCCTTTGTAAATATAAATTATGAACTCTGATTTCGTTATTCAAGCTTCTTTTATGATTAATTCAATAAATTGTTGATCGAATCTAAAGTCCCCAAACTCCCATCATGTCTTATCTAATCACCCCATAAAAATGAAGCAGTTTCTAATGCTTTGTGTAATTTATGTTACAATACTAAATAATAGATACAACAATAATACAATTTTTATTAATTGGATCTATCCTTTCCATTCTAGCTTAATATTTTTTAACATCATCAATTTGAGAAAACTTATTTTATATAATGTAACAATACCATTCCTTGTATGTCTAACTTTTTCTAATTTCCTGAAGGGAAATATTCAAATTTATTTAACTTGCTTAAAAAGTCCTATTTCTTGCTTTGGTTTTTTTCTGCATGTTATTTTTACATTTAATAGAATGGAGTTTGTTCAATACCAATACCTGGAAATCTTACATACTAATTCTTTAAAGTTTATTATTACTTCCTTGTTTTTCCCAGATTCATTTATTTTTTCCCAAACTTCCTTAGTTCCATAAGCTTTGAATGGGTTTATTTGTTCCTTTTAATTCATTTATAATTATGTTATAATATAATTCTTGATACTAGAATAAATTCATTAAGTCAACTATATAATTATATTGATACTTTATGTTTAGTATATAATAATCAATAGATAATAAGTTGGAAATAATTATTTATATCAATTAAAAATATATATTATGAATGATACTTTGATTAAATTGAAATTTCTATATGAAATAGTATCTTATAACTTTAAAGGATTAGATTTTACATAAATATTTAATTTGTACTTTGTTTAAGAATTTTTTTAACTTACAATTATCAAATATTTTCGTATTGGTGCATCTTAAAATTTAATTTAGTGTAAATTTAAAGTGATTTCTAAATATAGTTAGATATGATACTTATTAAGAACATTATAGTAAATGAGTTCTTTCATCAGAATTTAAGAGGATGGTTTTATCACTTACAGTAAAACACTGAATTAATACTAAAATGAATTTAATGATATGTCGAATTAATTCATTAATAATTAGAATGGATGATTATGATGAATTCTCTGATAATTCCATTGAGATTGTTCTCAATCAATTTTAGGGAAAAGCTTCACATTAAATAGAAGAAAATATAACTATCTACTTAAAAAAATTGGGACTTAAAATGAAAACTAATCCTTTAAGAAAATAATTGAAATATGAAAAGGAAAACAATTAAATTATTGATATTCTAACTTCAAGGACCCTGTCTTCTTATGGTAACACTTTGAAGGAAAAGGAGATCGATTATTGTTAAATAATAAGATAAAACCCTCTCTTGCTGAGGAATAAAAAATAAAGCTAATAAAAGATAATTAAGCATCAAATATGAAGTTTATATATGATAGCTATTTAAAGATTTTGTTTTAATAACATTTCTGACTTGTTTAGTTTGATTTATTGGATTAATCCATTGCTTTTTTATTCTAAATCAGTTTTTTCATAATATAATATTTTTATGATATACTTTCAGTAGTATTTGAATGGAAAAATTAAGGAAACTTAATGATAAAGTATTTTTAATAAGATGTTACTTTATTGATAGAAGCAGCATCATCTAATATATTTTTAAATTTGAAATACTACCTAAAGTTAATATCTTATTTATGTATTAGTGGTTTGAATATTGAAAATATTGTATAAATAAGGGAAAATATAAGAAGAACTTAATAGTAATGGAAAACTCTCAACAATATATTTCTTAAATAATTTCAATTTTAAATCTAGTAAAATGCTTAAACTTTAATAACTGATAAATTTCCATTATAATTAGATCCTCCTCTATTGTAAATTCTAATCTTATCAACTAATTGATCTTCAAATCTAATTCTTATAATTCCTGCAAATGAAGAATTTTCATAGATCTATTTTTCATTTTCTAAATAGCCAATATAAACTTCGAAATCATAATGAGGGTTAGCTGAACGATTCCAAATCTCAATAACAATAGTGTTAAGTTAATATTTCTTAAACAAAAAGATTTCAATTGAATGATGAAGTGAACAAAAAGTGTACCCAATTCCTGTATTTACATAATAAATTGCATCTCGATTTAGTTAAGAATTCAATAAACCACCATTGAAATATGTATTCTTACGACTAATTAAATTAATTTATTGATAATTAAGCACATCTTTATAATATCCCCTTAAGATTCTAGTATTTTTTTATATCTAATTTAAAGTACAACAATTAGTAAGAATAAGGATTGAGAATAGAACTTTAAAAATCATTTTAAATATAATTATTAAATAAATGAAAAAATCTAAATAGTTCAACAATTAAAATGTTTAGAAAAAATCAATAATCAAACTAAAATTGTAAAATTATAAATTATAGCCTTTTATTTCTTGGTTTAAATAATATATGTAACATTACACTAGACCTCTGCATCATTCCTAATTGCATTCAAATATCCATCAGTTATTATATTCAATATGCAATTGAAATTATATAAGAAATAACATAAACTGTTTCTTATTATGGAAAAAACATTGATATTTATTTAGCAACTCTAAAAAGTGAATAAATTATGCTTTCTCTATCATTTTTGCAATTTATACAAGAAATACTTAATTATTTACAGGAGTTTAATAATTTCTAATAATGATAACCATTGTTCTCAAAAGTTAATCAAATAACTTGTTTAAATGTCTATTTTTTCCACTATTATATTAATATATCAATATGTAAAGATCTTCTGAATGTTAATAAAGTTATCTATCATAATTTGAATTATCATGATTAATACTTGGATTCTTATAAAGTGATTTTAAGATAATAAAATCTGAGAAGAATGGAATAGGGATTGATTATATTATTAATCATTAAATAATCATTACTATTACTTCTATTCTTTTATTATATTACGTAATTCTTCAGATTGTTTTTTCCAATTTGGATCAAGAGGAGCTTTACCCTACTTTTTTTATAATTACTTCTCCTTTATTTAACCTTGTCTTTATAATTTTTATTAATCATTTGACACTATTCTTGCTTATTTAGAATTGAATTCTTATCTTTTCTATTGAAATACCTATTTACACACTTTAGTATGCTTTTCTAAAACATCTTATTTAAATTGTCTTCCACAACCCTCAGGACAAAGTACTAATTCAAGATCTTCAATTGGTTCAGCTTCCTCTAATTGTATTACTATATTCAATACCAAGTTGTTATTGCACTTTTGTTTAATCTGCTATTGCAATTTTATTTTCAATTGGATTTTTTGAACCTAATAATGCTGCTTCACGTTTATTTTAATTACCAATTGATGGCATATAAGAATCTGATTATATTTGTTTAATCTATTAAACTTCCTTTTTTTCTTAATTTTATTAAACTTCCTTCTTTTCAACTTAGATTTATTTCTTAAATAACTCTTCTTGTCCAGGTAAATAAAGTCCTTAATTAAGAGGAGCTGAATTTTTCTTTTCATCAGATCGTTAGATTCTATCCTTAAGAGGCACTTTCTCTTGAAATGACCCTGTTTTAAAGAATTCATCTTTAGTGTTTGTTAACTAAGGTTCTTATTCTAATGGTTAAGTGGAACGGTTGCGAATATTGAAAGATGGTTTGCTGGCAAAATTTGGTTTTGAATTGAGAGCAGAAGAATCTGACTTTTATGTGCTTTCTAAGGATAAAGCTTATTCTTATTTTTTAAATGACCCAGAAGTACTATCCATCTTTAAATTGGGCTTATAATTCATATTTTATATTTTATTATATAATTATAATACTTTCATAAAAATAATGTTTTCTAATTTAATTCGATCTTAACTATAAATAAATAAATTCACTTAAAAAATTTTTATGATAATGTTGATATTAAATATATGTATGCATTAAAAAGAATATTATATATTAAAGTTATTGGTTCTATTTTATCTAAGAATTTATATTTAAAAACATCAAATTCTTATTATAAATAAATTTATATAAAAAAATGGTATTTAGTATATATTTTGGTTAAAAAAAAAGCATAAATTTTATTGGAAAGGAAGCTAGAAGATTGGATGAATAATATCTCAAGATTGTTTCATTAAAATACAGAAAAATATTAGAAATTGCCATGTTAATATAACAAGATATTGATTTAAAATGAACTAATTGAATTTTATGAGATTAAATTATATTATCATTTATAATATGAAATACTGAAAAATAAAGAATTTATAGGTTTAAGTCAATGAATATATTATTTAAGATAATAACAATTTATAAGATATCTTCCAATTCAGTATTGAAAATGAAATGATGATTATCCCAAATGAAATTATAAACAACAAACATAAAGTTGATTGAAAATAATTAAGTTTATTTTTAATGGATTACAAAAATAAAATAACATGAAATATTGTATTTACAAAAAAATTAAATTAATATATTATGATATTAGATGTTACGTAGAGAACTGAGCCTTATACTACGAATTTTAGAGTATCAAAGGAGTAACTTTGTTAAGTTGCTTATGCATGTTAAGAAAGGACATTTACAGAAGAGATAGATAAGCTAGAAGAATTAGGAGGGCAAGAATTTCTAGAGGTTTAAGATAGTTTAATTTTAGATGGCATTATGTTCAAATTATAAAGATGGATTACAATTAAATGATGTGAATTTGAGAGAACAGAATTTTGGTCATAATCGTAAACCACTAATACTTCCAAAATCTTATTGTCAATTATTATGGGGTGCTTTAGAAGACTTTACAATGCGAATCCTTTGTTTGGCAGCATTGGTGAGTATTGCAGTTGATGTTGCAACAGCATCATCAGATTATCGTGCTTATGCATGGATAGAGGGTAAAAATATAGAAATTTAAGAGTTATAGGCTTTGCAATTCTAGTGGCAGTAATAATATCAACAAATGCAAATGCAATTAATGATTATTAAAAGGAGAAATAGTTTCAAAAGTTAAATGCAGTAGCAGATGAACGAAAAAGAGTTACAGTAATAAGAAATGGATAAAAATGTGATATCCATATGAGTGAAGTAATGGTTGGAGATATTGTAATGATATTTGAAGGAATGGAAATACCAGCTGATGGTCTAGTATTTGAAGCTTCTGATCTAACAGCTGATGAGTCAGCAATGACAGGAGAAACTGATCCCATAAAAAAGAATACATTATCATATTGTTTAGCTAAAAGAAATCAAACTGATTCAGCTACAGCTGGACATCATGAAGTTCCATCTCCTATTATGATGAGTGGTACAAGAGTTTTAACAGGAGAAGGTAAAATGATTATTTTAGTGGTTGGAGATTTATCATGTGCAGGTAAAATTAGTGCTTTACTTCGTTAAGATGAACCAGAAGGTAATTTTAATATATTATTATATTAGCTACTCCTTTATAAGTCAAATTAGCTGCAATTGCTGAAGATATAGGTAGATTTGGATTGTACAGTGCAATCTTAATAGTTATTGTTATGTGTATAAGGTTTGCAGTTGAAAAGGCATAAATTGAATGGGAAAACAAATATATTGTAGAGATTGTCAATTTCTTTATTATTGGAATTACAGTTATTGTAGTAGCCATTCCTGAAGGATTACCATTGGCAGTAACTCTCTCTTTAGCATATTCAACTAAATAGATGTTGAGAGATTAAAATTTAGTTAGGAAAATGGCAGCATGTGAAACTATGGGAGGAGCATCTATGATATGTTCTGATAAAACTGGTACTTTAACTCAAAATAAGATGACTCTTGTTAATATTTGGAATGAGAATATAATTGAATTGGAAGCTTATTAAACTTGCAATTTGATTGATTATCTGCCTTAATAATTAGCAGATATTTTTATATAATCAGCTATTGTAAATTCAAGTGCAATGCTTAGACCAGAACCTAAAGG